GTAACTATAAGAAGACTAAAGATAGTCTAAATAATTACCTATAAGGGTTAGGCAGTTAGTTAAAAGAAATCTAGTAAAATCCCTATAAATAATTAAGTAGTAAATAAGGAAATTCTAGTAAATAGCCTTATTATTTATAGTAAATATCTATATGTTATATAACTAGTAATAAATAAATTAAGACTTTACCTTATAATAGAGGGCAAATAACTAGTTACCTAAGGTAACTATAGCCTAGTTATTCTTTTTCTTTTATATAAATCCTTTTTCTTTTATAATTCTCCTTATTTTTATTATTTATACCTTATAATTTCCCCTTACTTTCTTAATAACTTATCTATATTTTTACTTTTACCTAACTAGCTGTTTTATATATAATAGTATAAACTAGCTAGTTATTTACTATTTTTTCTACTTTATTTACTATTACTTTATTATATAATTCTATATTATCCTTAATATTTCTAATAAAACTCTATCTACTAACGCTAAGTACTAAAAACACTTCTTAAATAAATTTACTAACACTAAAAGTAAAATTAGTATTTCTTTTTATAGATATTTTTATACTATTACTATTTATAGAGGTAAAGCGCGCCTAATTAAGAAGACTAAATCGCTTAGTATTAAGGTTATATAATACTAGAAACGCTTTAACACTTACTAAGAAAAGCACTATATTAAAGCTAAATAAGCTAGTATTAAAACGCCTAAAGGATTATTCTTTAATAACGTTATCTTTACTAATATTTCTTAGTTTTTTTATACTAATAGTAAAGATAAAACGTATATAATTTACTAGTAAAACCTTTAGCTAGACTTCTATAAAAAAAACACTTATCTTATTTACTATTATTAGACTACCTTAACTATAATTTAGACGCTAAAAGTTAAATAAGACACTACTAGTAGTACTATCTCTTTAGATATTAAAAGTAAAGTTAACTTAAACACTAATATTATATCTACTTATACTCCTAATAGTCACTTTACTAAGAAGCCTAACTAGAACACTTTAGAGTATAAGCTAAAGAAAGCTAAAAAGCGCCTTACTAAGCTTAAGTAGAGTAACACTGTCTTACTAAATCCCTAGACTCCTAGCGTTATATTATTAGCTAAACCTCTTTATCTACCTAGTTCTACTAAAAAAAAAGCTATTAATATTAATAAAAGTGCTAGTAAACACGCCTAGTTTACTACTAATAAAGATTAGGAAATTACTAACGCTCTTAATACTATTTATAGTATTTATATAACTATTAAGTAGATAAATAATAGTTATTTTACTAAAGTAGACGCTATTAATTATATTAATATATTTATTAATTACGCCCCTAATATACTAAAATTACTTTATTAACTTACTAATAAATTAACTATTAATCCTTAAGAAAAGACTATAAGCGCTAAGGAATATATTAAGGTAATAATATATAAAAATAATAAAAATAAATCCTTATCTAACGTTATAGTTAATAATAAGCTTAAGTGCTACTAATTACACCTTAACCTAATAGCTAGAAATAACAGACTAGTTACTAAAAAACTTTTCTCTACTTATAGTAATTATACTAGTAAATATATAAATATTATAACTTATAATCTTACTACTAAAATACTATTTTATCTAGCTACTTTTATCTAGTAATAAGGTAAAGATTTTATAGAAGTCTACTTAAATAGCTATTTTACTATTCTTTATAAAATGTTTACTACGCCTTTTATTAAGTAGCTTACTATAAACGTTTTAAATAATAATTTATACTTATAACTTTTACTTAAGGGTCTATTTTTTATTCTATAAATTACTAATATTTCTATTATAACTATATTTATTTAAGAGAATATTAATAGCTAATATATCTCTATTATATCTAAGGAAATATAAAAGAATCTTAAAAAGCGCTTCTAAAAGCAGCTTTACTATAAAATTACTAGTAAACTATCTAGTTAGCTTTACCTAGTTAACACCTATAGCTAGGAATACACTACTAATACTAGAAAAAAGGCACTCCTAAATAAAGAAAAGACTAATATAGCTATAACCCTTAGACTTAATAACTATAAAATAACATAGCTTAAGGATTATAATCTTACTATAGCTAAAACCACTATTAAGGTCCTAAATAATATTAATACTAATAGTAGACCTATTAATAAATAACTATATAATTATAAGTAAGTAAGTAAAATAATTATTAAGATTTAAAACGTAATTATAGTAATTATATAGTAAATATAACTATAATAAATAAAGGAATAGTAAAAAATATAAGGGGTAAATAAAACACTACTAGTATCTAATAAAATAAAACCTATAGGATTACCCTAATTAAGACGTTTAGGCTATATAGTTATAACTAGTGTTTATATACTTTCTCTTATAATACTTAGTAATTTTACGTTTTATTCCCTTATAATATTTAGTAATTTACTATTATACTTAGTAATTTATTTATCTTTACTTATATATATTAGAATTATACCTTATATTCTAGGATAAAAAATAATCTTTATATAAGTAATTATTACATAATAGATAAGAATATAATAAAGAATTCCTAGAGAATTACTATAATAGCTACTAGGAATTCTCTAGGGTTTTACTACTAAGTGGTAGTGTATTCCCTAGGAAGTCTCTAGGCAATACTTATGTAATCTATAAAGAAAGGATTAATAATACTCTATAAAATAACAAAGAACGTAACAGTAGCTTTACAGCTATTACACTAGGGAATTATAAAGACATGCTCTACTATTTAAGTAGGGAAATATCTATAATATAGTTAAAAAGGATTATTAAATATTATATCTTATTTTCCTATACTAAAGCGTAATAAGTAATTAAGGAGCTGCCTAGTATGCCTAAGGCACCTTTTATAAAAACTAATATAGAGGAATTAGGTATAATAGAAGTAGTAGCCTCTTTATAATCCTTATTATAAACATACTTAGCTATATAAGTAAGTAGATTTTTATAAAATATATAGTTAGTAGGAATAAGCTCTAGATAAGTAGTCTAACACTTTATAGTAATATAACTTTTCTTATAATAAAGGTAAATATTATAGCCTAACTTCTTAGTAAGAGTAGCGCTTTAGCTATTAGTACTAAAGGTAGTAGTAATTATAGCCTTATAGTAAGTAATAAGGCTTATTTTTTACTTTTTATCTTAAGTAAGTATATAAATAGTCTTAATAACTATAGCTTACTTAGGCTTTTTATTATTATTAGTATAGTACTTATATATATTAAGTAGATATGTCTTAAAATAATTAAGTAAGAGGATAGCCTAATAGTAGTTAGAGTTTTTACTATAAAGGCTAGTAATATAAGCGTATAAATACTATATATATTTAAGAGTATTATAAAAAGTCTTATAATCTTAGGCACTACCCTTAAAGAATTTATTAATAAAGGCTCTAACTATGTCTTTAGATACCTTAGGAATATATTTCTTAAGTGCTTTTATTAAGGTATAAGGATTACTATTATTTTACTATCTTATATTAAAAAGCTTATTAATTAATATATTATATAATAAAATAAAAAGGTTATATATAACGTTATAGTTAGCTTTTTATAAGGTAAAAGCTATAGTGTTTTTAGCTAGTTAAGAGATATTATAGTTAATATACTTCTTAACTTTATTAGTATAAAAAGTAGTACTAATAAGTATAATTTATAAGGACTAGTTTAACTCCCTCTTAAGCTTAGGGATAGTTAATAAGACTATTTAGTAATTACTACTATTAGCTATAATAATAGTAATATAGGTAAGTTACTTTAGACTATAGTTAGCCTAACTATATATTAATCTTTATATATTTCTTTTACTATAGTAAAAGGCGTATTTAAAACGTTATATAATTTACTACTATTTAATAAACGCCTAAAGTAATAAATTAAGGTAGTTAATAGGTAAAAGTATCCTTATAGTAATTAGTAAAAGATCTTTAACTTAGGCTATAGTAAAAATAGTAAGTAAAGTTAAGTAACTACTATAATAATTAGTAAATAATTATAAATTAATAAAAATAGGTAAAAGTAACTAATTAATTTATAAGAAAAATTAATATAGGCCTAGGCTTTATAACCTATAGGAGTATAAGAGTAATAAAGTAAGGTAAATAGTAACATCACTGATCTGTAGTGGTATGTAGTGGTAAGGAGGAAAATCCTCCTCTTAAGGCTATAGGCAGAGGCTGGATAAAGGTGAGGGGCCCAGGAGGTCACGTGACCTCCCAGCACACGGGCCCCCTCACAACATCTTCACTCATTCGTATCTCCCTATCTGCTGTGTGCTCTAGCTCGTGAGATTGAACTTGTGCGTAGGATCAATATCATGGGCTTGGCTGCGTGGTATAAGCCTGCGCCTATGGGTTAAATGAGACAAAACCTCGGCTCTTTCCTAAATATCCTGGTTACAAAAGATCTGGAACCTGCAGTCTTGACATAGATGGGAAGGTCAGACGTCGCTGCAAGGGCAAGATAATGTGCGTTAGTCGCCTAGGCAGATCGCCACAGCCTGCTTTACCCGTTTGGGAAATAAGATAGTCGGGAATTGAACACTGATTCGCTGGACAAGCCCGGATTTCCGGACCCAATTATCTAGAAGCCGCACAGACAGCCGGCCCGCCAGCCAATGTATGTACATCGTACATCGTCCCGAATCATCCTTCTTGTACATGGCACAAAGGGAAAGGTCATGCGTAGACTTTGGATACGTTGCCAAAAAGAAGGATGGAAGATGACAAGATCTAATTAAGCAAGTGTAGAGGCGATTTTCCGAATACGGTGTTGATATGGCTTACTGGCTAGGCGAGGCTCAACCCCCCATCTAGCCGGGCACATCCACACATATGTGTTGGGTTCCCAAGAACTCCCCATCAGTATGTTTCTAGCTTGCCGAACCTTTCCAGTCATCCGTCTTTCGGCCTTCTTCAACTTCTTTCTGCATTGGTCCGTGGATCGTTTGTCACCCACTATATGCCCGCATCATGAAGCTTTCCCTCGTCTTTGCCCTTTCTTACCTCATCACGGCCGCCTAGGCCGGAGGGTATCAGAACTGTCTCGTGGAGGGTTTAGCTCTTCGAGTCCTTCCTCATCGACCAGCAGAACCCTGAGGCAGATCGGAAGATCGGCTATCAGTGCAACAAGTGGAAGAACAACGCGTGCATTGGCTCCTGGGTTCCCTGCCGAGGAAAAGAGGGCCGCTCGCAGTGCAATTTTAATGACTTCCAGCTGTTCCTGGACAACACAAAACCGGGTATGGAGACTCTTCAGGCGGCCTACAGGCCCGACGACTCTCTGGACAACCGGCAGACGGCCGTGAATTGCATCTGGGCTTGGAGAGATCAGGATAAGGCGCCTTACAACTTCAGGGGGCACAAGGCGTTCAGAAACGGGCTCAACGACCACAACGACTTCATCAGAAACATCGGCCAGATCAGCAACGACAACTACAACAAGCCGGCCGTGAGAGCGGCCGCCGGTGACGCCGCCTTCAGCCGGGTGGACGATACGCTCACCAAGATCACCCAGGCCCGCGTTGCCGACCACGGCCGCTACCTGATCACGGCGGCCCAGAACGGCCTTCCCGGCGTCACCATTGTCGAGAAGGACATGGGTGCGAGCCCGTTCTATCGCCCCTCTTGGACGCCGCCACCGGTTGCCGAACCGGACACGCCGCAGTGGAAAACGGTCGACTGGGAGGCCACCATCAAAAACTCGGCCGACCCGGCCGCCACCCGCACTCAGGTACGCGGCTGGCTGGACAGCTTCTATCGCGGGCCCACGGCCAATAGTCACGCCAAAGATCACTGGCAAGTGCTTAGGTCGTACAAGACCAACAAAGACCGTACGAACCGGTGCCGGAAGCCCTAATCAGCCAAATGTCACTTTCCTTGATGTTGAAGGATAGCCCGAGGGACTTACCAAGAGAATAGGAGGGGGGGGGGGATAAATGATGTCACAAAAACGACGCCGTTAATTGCAAGCAGCAATTAACGCCTAATATTTCCTGTGATAAATGAGGACATTCAATTTTATCTAGAGGTAGTTACAATGTATATGCTTTTCTAGGACCGCCCCCTGGAAGTCGTCGTTCGAAGGGGTCTACAAGTGATTTCTTCATCACCTACTCAAGTAACTCAGGCTAGGTAGGGTTACCTCACAACGATGGTCTATACTGATCTGTATTACCACATCATTTCAAATATATGTTTTCAAGCTTCTGTAGCTGACTGTATAGCGAGGTTGGGTGCCACGGTATTTCGCGAGGATACAGGCAGTTGGCTTGAATTTGTCTACAACATTTTGACCCGGCAAAGGGTGAGCATGCCCATTGAATAGAATACCATCTTAACCTCATTCATTGCATTAAATTTATTGTTTTCTTTGTATGAGAAAACCTATTAATACTTGATTGCTCGAATAATAAACCCATTACTTGGATACCCTCCGGTCTACTTCGGAACCGATCCCATTTGTTATAACACGGCAACGCAAACATAGGCATTGGCCCACATTCAAGTGCAATCGCTCTTAACAGCGGGGTTCCAACGAACAAAGTTGGCCATGGTGATGCCGTAACTCGCGGTTATGACGTCGCAGGTCTGGTCGGAGGTGACGAAGTGGAAGGTCTTACAGGAGGTGGTCATGCCGCTTTGGATGGGCGTGGGCGTCTGGACGCCGTTGCCCGGCGTCGTGGGTGTGTGTCCGACGATAGAGATGCATATGTAGTAGTCGGGCCACAGCGCAGTGCAGTCGGACTTGACTGCCGGGTTCCAGGTCGTAATCTGCTGCACCGTGACGCCGTTCGAGGAGGCGATGGCGTCGCACGTGTCTCCGGACTTGACCTTGTAGAAGCGGTCACAGCTGCTCACCATACTCGGCTGGATGGGCGTCGGAGTGGCGATACCGTTGCCGGCGGTGGTTGTGGTTGCGGGAGGCTTGCTCGGGGTGTGACCGACGATGGAGACGCAGGCATAGGCGTTGGCCCAAAGCCCGGTGCAGGTCGCGCCCGCGCTTGGGTTCCAGCTTTGGAACTGGGCTACGGTAATGCCGTGCTTGGACGCAATCGACTCTCAACTATCGCTAGCGACGACCAAGTAGAAGGCGTCGCAGTTGTTCACGATCGTGGCCTGGGTCGGGGTGGGAGTGGAGATACCGTTGCCGGCAGTGGTGGGCGATGGCGTATGGCCAATAATCGAGACGCAAGCATAGGCATTGGCCCAGAGTCCGGTGCAGATCGCGCCAACGCTGGGATTCCAGCGCTGGAACTGGGCCACGGTGATGCCGTGCTTGGCTGAAATAGCGTCGCAACTATCGCCTGCAACAACGAAGTAGAAGGCATCACAGTTGTCCACAATGGTAGCTTGGGTGGGTGCTGGGGTAGTGATGCCGTTTCCTGGGGTTGTCGCCGTCGTCGTCGTCGTCGTCGATGACGACGGCTTAATGGTGGTAGTTGGGGGCTGAGTTGAAGTGACTGAAGTGGGAGTGGAAGTCCTGGTCGACAAAGTGGTCGACGTGGGAACAGACGTCGTAGAGGGACTCGGCGCAGGCTCGCCAAAGGCCTCGACGCAATACGACTTTCCGATCTCTACGGCACAGGTGGCGGCGAGCGAAGGATTCTGTTGAACAGGTTAGTCTATCCCGGATATATATAGGGTAGCAAGTCGAGACTCGATTATGACATCCCAATGCTGCATCACACAGTGGCGGACTTACCCAACGCTGAAATTGCTCCAGGGTGATGAAGTTCTCGCTGACAATGGCGTCGCAGGTGGTCCCTGCTCTAACATCCACCCACCAAGTGCAGTAGGTCGACGTGTCGGGAGCATAAGGCAGGTCTGGCGAAGGCCCATCACGAGCTTGCAGCATGCGGGGAGATCTTCCAGCGGCCACGGCGGATGAGAGGAGGCCAATGGCCAGAGGTAGAGTGAATGCGGAAGAAAGCATGGTGAAAGAATGACTTTGGACTGGACTCGGGATGGAAGGCTGACAGGAATGGGCTTGGATGCTAGGAGTCGAATTGAACCACCAGGAAACTTGGTCACATTATATGGACCACGATGCTTCAAAGTTATTCCTAGATAGAATATCCGTACTTCTCACCGCGCGTTGTTCTGTTGAGATCAAGGGGTGTACACTCCGGTCTCCCCGCTAGAATCTAGAATTGGCCAAAACTCGTATCAATAGTGGCTGCTGCCTGTCTGTAGGCTGACCATTGGACCAGCATACATAGTAAGGCCGTATCAGGGCGGATCTACTACAAACAAGTTGATATCACTCCCCACTCCAGCTTGACTTGCAAATGAATCCTCAAAAGGTACATATTGAGTCTCACACCTGGTCTAAAAGAATCCGCACAGGTAAGCGTAAGCTCCTAGTAGTGTTAAAATGTGGGGCTCATTTGGGTTGATATCAACTACACTAGCAGTTGCATGGATCATTCTGACTACACTACTAGGTATCTCGTTCATCCATATCTGAATATGACTAAGATTGGCAACAATAACTGCAGCCAGGGCTCGTGCAAAACACTAGCTGCATCCTTGAGTCGGAGAAACTTTGGGGCTTACGGCAACATGCGGTTCTCTTGGTGCTGCGCCCCTGTTCCTCGCAAAAAGAGCCTACCAAGGCCCTAGACTCTTAAGCAACGGAGCCTTGTGAGATCCTTTCGGACCTCGCCTATCAGAGTGATTTGAAAGGCGATAAGGTGCTCAATTCTCCTGTATTGATAGTAGTGAACATGATGATGTGTCAGCGTGGATAGCGATTCCAGCCGCGGGCAGAGAATGTGTCGCGATTACTGCCAGTGAACCTTGGACTTATACGGTCACGCATGGACAACATTATTTCGCGGATACCCGGGAGAGCCTGCGCCACGACGCGTCCAGCCGGTTGGCCTCCATCGACCTTTTCATCGACGTGCTTACCAAACGCAGCGACGTTACCCGTTTTGCTTGTCGCCGCGACAAGGACGGCAGCGTGGCAGGGGTCTTCTGGGCTTATGGCAGCGGCTTGAAGCTCTGGCAAAGGTATCCTGAGGTGTTGACTATGGGTATCACCTATAAGGTAGGCCGTTGCTGATAGTGCTCGATCGGTCTTCTGCCGTTCTTGCTAACCCTCCTCTGCCCGGGCAGACGAACCGTTTCCACATGCCGCTTCTGCAAGTTGTCGGGAACACTGCCGTGCAGACCACCTTCAACGCGTGTTTCTGTCTTGTGTCGGACAAGGACAAAAGTGCCTTGGAATGGGCCCTTTCGTATATGAAGACGCTGCTTGAGGCGGAGAGAATACCACAGCCCTCCGTTGTTGTCACAGACCTCGACCAGTGTCTAACAAAAGCGGTCAAGTCAGTGCTCCCGGCTACAACGCATCATCAGATCTGTGTGCAGCAATTTCTCAAGAAGACGGCCTCACAAATCAAGAGCATGTGGCGCGGGCCTGTCGAGAAAGCGCCTGTCGCTCCGGTAGACGATGCCGGTGGTTGGCCCGGAGCCCGTGGCGGCAATATCGTGTCCGGGGTGGATTGGCAGGCCGGCACAACAACCACCACCGCATCCACCTCCACTACCGCCACCCCTACGACGGCCGACGACGAGGCGATCTACACCCACAACCCCGACGGGTTTACTGCCGCCTGGAAGGCAGTTGTTCACGCGCCAAGCGAGGCGGCGTTTTGGAATACCTGGAGGTCGCTCAAACGCAGCTTTGAAGACCAGGAGGGTGCGCCATCCGGTTCTCTCTCTCCCCCATTCACAAACTTGGCTAATCAACTCAGAACTTATCGCTTATTTCGAGGCGCGCTACCTGCCAAGCCACTCACAGTTTGCCGCCTTCAAGATCAACAGGGTACGCAGCTACGGGGTCAAGACGGCGTCGCTCACACAGGGCGGCCGCAGGGGGCTATCATCTCACATCCTCCGCGACGGCCCCGACCTCGAAGCCCTACACCAAAAGTTTCATGTCATGGTCTTCTCGTCGGACCAAGATTGCTATACGAGGTTAGGCGCCGAGCATCGCCGTTGGCGGCCGAGGGCACACTCTCCAATGCTTAAGGGCCTTACCTTCCGAGTACCTTTCAAGGCACTTGACTTGCTATACGAAGAGTATATGCATGCCAACAATGCCTTTGCGCAGCGCGGCGACCTACCTTCATGTACAGGAAACTTCCAAATACAGTGGGGGTTGCCCTGCCGTCACGAGCTCCTCCGCCGCCTCCACGGCGGCGGGGATGGCGGGGAGGTCACGTATGACGATATTGACTCCTACTGGTGGCTGGACCAGGGTCCTGTGAGTATTCTTGTAGCCCGAGTCTTCTTCTTCTTCCTCTTCTTCTTCTTCCTCTTCTTCTTCTTCTTCTTCTCCCTCTTTTCCTTTTTTTAAAAAAAAAGAAAAAAAAGAAAAAAAGAAAAACCAGCTAATTTTGGCTGTGTCCACAGCTCGACCTTATCGCCCACCACGACCAGACCCGGGACAACGGCGTCTGATCGATTGGCGAGGATATGCACACGCATGATATAGCCTGTGGCGGGGCTGATGCTAAGTGGCACTGTATAGAAGTTGAGCTATTGTGATAATAAACGTTGCTTGCGAATGCTTTGGAGAGAGAAAACACCCAAGATCATGACTTCCACGTGCAAAGCGTTTGCTTTCTATGCCATTGTACTCTACATAGACGGCGCGATCAGGTCCCCGCCAGTGGCAAGAGAGTGCCACTCCTGGAGGCTACCTCTACATGGAACAAGAGGGTGCCAAACACAAACGCAAGAGCGCCACCGCCGGAATAGAACACGATCAGATCTTCGAAAACTAACCTACTTTTTTCATTACGCCCTCAAATCAACGACGCTCACCTCTCGTTTTGCTACCTTTAGTGAATGAGTGCCACCGCGATACCACCAGAGACGCCCACGCCCAGTAGTTTGCCATGCATAGAACACACCGACATCGACGACAGCCACGGGCAGGGGACGAAAAGACAAAACCGGGGCGCGGGTATTCCATTAAGAAAGTAATTGTGTGCATTGTAACAGAAGGGTGCTGCGCTATGTAACCATGACATTGCTAAATGCGTCCGATATGTCAGCCGGGGTCGGCGCTTGAAACTTTTCCGGCGTGTAACCGGCGGCAAGGCGCTCCTGCATGATCTTCAGAAGAACGGCGGGGACGCTGTCGTCCGTGGCGCGGATAGTGAGACGAACCATCTGAGAATAATTGTTAGCAAAGGAACTCCGTTTGATGAAATAGATGGGATGTGGAATCACCTTCGTCCCGTAGTTCGGCTCAAGGCGCATCAAGCAACCAAACTTGCCCGCCTCCGATGTGTGAAGAACGCTCGCTCCAACAAAGTTCTTGGCGTTCGGGTCAACGCCGTCAAGGACACGCCACCTGAAGCCCTCAACGGTTTGCCGAACGAAGAACTCAGTCAACTCCCTATCCGCCTTGCCGGGGGTCAAACCGAAGATCTGCTGGGCTTCGCGGGGGGCACCGCCAATCTGCTTCCAACGTCTGAAGAAGTCTTCTGCGGAGAGGTCTGCAGGGTCCATAAACTTGTGGGCGGTGATAGGCAGCTTCAGGGTGACAGCCTGAAGCGCACCAGCGAGGTAGCTGATGCGTACCGTTGGGCTCTTGTCAAATACGCTCTTGCACTCGAACATGACGACCTGCTGGGACTGCCCACCCTGGTAGATCGTGCTCTCTGGCAGGTTCTTCACGTCCCACGTAAGCTTGCCCTTCTCGTTTTCGTCAAGGTCAAGTGTTGTGGTAAAAGAGCTCAACGCGGTGGGCGTCTTGTTCTTGAAGTAGAGAATCAAGCACGCCATTTGGCCTCTGTACTCGGACCGCACACCGACTTGGATTTGGCCATCCTCGTACAAAATACCTTCTGCCTTGAGCAGCAGTTTGTTGTATCCGATTTCCCAGTTGGGGGATAAGTGAGCGGCACTTGCCAAGTTGGGTGCCTTCGTCTTGGGCTCAGCGGGTCCAATGTTGTTCATGTCCAAACCAGCCAAGTCGTTGACGCCGTTGCCATTTGTTCCGTTGGGGCCTCCGTTGCTGGCGTTAGGGTTGCCGTTTGTGCTGAAGGTTCGCTTAAGGCCGCCCTCCTTGGCTATCTTCAGCTCTACCGCGTCTGTGTTGGCATCCTTACCACCGACAATCCAGGTTCTCTTATCACTGGTATTGGCGTGCTTCTGATGCACTCTGGCGAGCAGAGCAGACTGGCGTTCCGAGAAAGGGGGCATCTCGTCGCAGACGGTTCGCAGGAGATCGTCTGTTGGCATGGTTGCCAGCGTCAGGTACTCGCATGCTCTCTGCTGAAGCTCGGAGTCGAGTGTGTGACTGAAGACTTGGAAGGCCTTCAGGAGCTGGGGCTTGATTTCCGGGAAGAGGTTGACGAATTTGACATAACAAGAAAGAATCATAGCCCTTGTACTTGACGAACAAGCGGCAATCTTGCTCTGGAGAGCCAGGAACTGTTCAATGGGACTGCACTTGGGCTGATCGGCGATGAGATGACCGAATTCGCCCAAGATGTACGCTCCGATTTTAACCAGCGTCTCGTGGCAGTGGTCTGACTTGACATACTGCAGGGAGTGCTGCGACGCGTAAACCTGCAACTCCTCATTGTTCGTCACGATCTGGATGACACGCTGCCACACCTCGTCGCTGACGTGATCACCGGCCATGGCAATCAGGCGCAGCGATATGTCGACATACCACTGTACATCAGTGGCGTATCGTTCGGTCAGAATAGCAATCTTCAGCACCATCTCCTCGCGGATTGCAAAGTCAGCGTTCTGGAGGTAATGAAGAAGCTCGCCGACAATGACCTGAGCATTCGACGAGTCGCACATGCTGTAAAGGAGGTCGAGACCCTTCCTCCGCACACTGATATCCCTGTCCTTGAGAGACCCGAGGATAACGTCCTGGTGCTGCTTGATAGGCTCCAGAGTGTCGATACGAGCTGCGAGATGCGTCATGGCCTCCAATCCCAAGTAGCGGACGTTGGTTTCCCTAGAAGTCAAGAACCGTCCCAAACGAGACGAAATCTGCTTCAGTAACGCATTCTCGTTGTCGAGGTGAATAATGAGGTTGATGGCTTCGAAGAGAACGGCGTTCTGGGCGTTATTCTGCTGCACGTTCTTCGTCTGCTCCATCGCGAGGTTCAAAATCTTTTGCAGGGATTCTCGGATCATATCGCGGATGTGGGTATCGTCTGGAGTAATTTAGTTCTCCGTCACTCAATCCGGGGCCTCATTCACAACTCACCCGAAGGGGGGAAGTACTGCAGTAGGCGCAGAAGCTTGACCTGGAGCCAGGGACACGGAACCTTGTAATAAAGATAGTCCGGAGTATACTCGCCATCGATGACTATCCTCTTCATCCTTGCGGCGGCCTTGGCGTATGCCCCCTTGTACGCGTCCAGGTTATCTTGGGCAAGGGCCATGACGAGTGATGTGACGGACAAAGCTACGCCGACATCCACGTCATCCATCAGCGAGATGATGCGTTCGGCCCATTGTGGTTGAACAATGTCGGGGTTCTTGCGGTACAAGCGGAGGAGTGTGAGGGATGCCTTCTTCTTGACGAACGCCTTGGAAGTCCTGCGTCCCTGTTAGCCTACCATTCTAGAACCATTTCAGGCCGTTACATACGGCGAGATCAAAAGTCTGTGGACCTCTCCGCTGAGGGCCTCTCCCATTTCCCTGCCACCAACGTTGGCGATCGCGTGGAGAGCTAGACAATTGAACAGCTCGTTGTGGTCCAACAAGTCCTTTCGTATACTGTTGACGACTAGGTGCAGCAGCTCGTGCTTCTCGTGCAGGAAGAGGGTCATGGCAAGGTAGCCAATCTGCTTCTCCGAGTACTTGTTCGCCGAAATGAGGTTGACGGCTTCGAGGTGGCCAAAGTCGACGTTCCATCCGAGGATGTAGATGTAGAGGAGCTTCGCGGATCGTCAGCCCACTGCCTCAAGCCCATGCTTCAGCAAAGCTTCCTTACCTTGCACACATATTTCTTCTTGTGGTAGCCACTGAGATTTCCGTCTGTACACAAGTTAGCACGACCTCACCCCGCCTGCCAAACATCAAAGTCGATCCTCACCCTTGAACTTTTGTCTGTACGCAGGGGTATTCGTCAGTATGCCACGGTGGAATATTGCGGGTCAGCAAACCCGGTGAGGGGTGCTTTGCTCACCGAATGTTGGCCAACTCCTTGTTGATTCGCTTCTCCTCCAACTCCCTAGCTCTGGCGTTTCTCAGGTCGGCAATGAACTGTACCAGTCCTCGCATGTTCGAGTTGTTGCTGGTCGAGCGGCCAAGGAAGCCGGACGCTGCGGACGACATGTTTGCGGTGGTTCTCGAGTCGGACAAGGGGCTTTCTTGGTCGGGTCTTGTCTATCTCCAACGGTTCTTCCCCCCCTCCTCTTCGCGGGACGGGACGGACGGAGTCGACGGACGGACGGGCGTCGGTGGACCTCGGCCACAGGTGTTTCGCACAGGTGGCGCGATTGCGGCCTCGATTCGATGTTGGGATACGGGGAATCGGTGGGCGTGGTGTTGTCTGCTCTGGGCGAGCGTCGGGCTTTCACTCCATGCGCGCGAGGGGTATTGGTTGGAATTGCCGCTCGCTTACCCTAATAGCCGGTTCGCTTGCTAGATTACTGATGCGTGGAGTTTGGGGAAGGGATCAACGGTCGGCTCTGCGAACAGTGAACGACGGACTCGGCGGCTCGAACTCGAATCCGGGCGGCAAGTCCCGCTGCGGGCGTGTCTTGACACTGCCTCTCGGGGGAGGGGCGACTGTGGACAGGTTTGCTTCCCCGGGGGGTCGACGCGCACGCGAGTAAGGGCGTGGGCAGTAGATTGGCGGAATAGGGGGCTGACCGATTCGCGACGTTGCACCGGAGACAAGGGAAGTGGGCAAGACGGGAAACAAAAACACCTAGGAAAGGGGCCCAGGGGCTTTGAGCTTCGCGGATGAGAGCGGGAGAGCGAGAGAGTGTGTGAGAGTGAGAGTGAGAGAGAGAAAACGACACTTTAGAAACAGTGGAGGCTCAGGCTCTCGTACTATGCCCGGAAGGCTTGGGAGCGTTAAGGCCGTAGGTAGCAATGTGTGGAGATGGCGAGCCGGCGGTCAATTGGCCCTACGGACCGGACGAAGGGTGAAAGCGCAGTCGAACGGGCCTGTCAAACCGCCCACCAGTCAGTCGACCGCTGCAACTCTAGAGTTCCAACGTCCCAGCGCTGCTTGTTGCTTGTTTCTCGAGGACCGGGGGGACTTGGCGCATCAAGGGTTCCAAGGTCCGCCTGGTGATTAGCGGGAGCGTGGAGCGTACATAGTACCTCGGTTTACCTAGGTACAAACATATGTAGGTAGGTACCATGGCACGAATGCAGAGCGCCTACTTACAAATTGCAGAGTATTACATATCAGTAAGTAGACATGAACCTGCTCTCCGGCGCTGACTGATGGGCAACTCGACCTGTTCCGCCGGGGTGGATGTTCCTGAGCGCCCAAGACGGGTGCGCATCCAACCCCGTCGAAAGATACGTATGTACCTCGGCACGCTAACCTAAACTTGTTCCTGTCAATTGGCGAAGCTCCAAATGTGCTGCATCATCGAAGGTCGTGAATTCCCATTGAAGCTTCTAGTGCATCTCCCACCCCCCCTAGCTATCAATCCAAAGATAAGAAAACCTTCTTTTTTACACCTCCCTCCCGCCCTCCCTCTCTCCCTCATACTTGCAACCATCCCAATTCCAGATCCGAACTCTCCCCCACCCATGTTCGCCTTCGCCCGTTCCAGAAATGTAATGCCAGTAATGAACCGCACGATCAAACGCCTGTGCCTCGCGGCGGCTGCTCCGTCCGCGCCGGGCTCCTGCCTCCTCGCCGGCGCCGTCCCCCGCCGCTCCTACGCCTTCGCCTCCGGCGGCGGCGGCGGCGGCGGCGCCCAGGCCTTCCAGGTCTTCAACCGCCGCACAAAGTGGTTGCAAAAGGAGCGCGCCGCCTCCAACGTCGAGGCCAGCCGCCAGGCCGATTACCTCAAGGACGAGGTCGCGAACCGTCTCTGCGAGCGGTTGCTTGTAAGTCTCACCTCCAAACAACCCCCGCACCCCTCTTCCCCAACATGGCCACAAGGGGGGGTCCATTTGGGATATGGCTCGCCGAAGAAGGGTGGTCGCTGACATGCGCGTGTGCAAAAAACGACAGGACATCAAGCGGAGGTTCCCCCGCGTCCTCGACCTAGGCGCCAACTCGTGCAACGTCGCCCGCGCCCTCACCCGCGAGAACCCCGATCCGGACCCCGCGAAGCCCATAACCCCGGCCCTGTCGGCGCGCATCGACGAGCTCGTCGCCGCCGAGTCGTCCCATGCCCTCCTGCACCGCGACGCCGACCTTCCCTTCAACGCCAACATAAACATCACCCGCCAGGTCCTTGTCGACGAGGAGCATGTCCCCTTCCCCCCCGAGACCTTTGACCTCGTCCTGAGCTCCCTGAGCCTTCACTGGATCAACGATCTCCCCGGCGTCCTGACCCAGATCAACAACGTCCTGAAACCCGACAGCCCCTTCATGGGCGCCATGATCGGCGGTGACAGCCTCTTTGAGCTGCGCACCTCGCTGCAGCTTGCCGAGCAGGAGAGGCGCGGTGGCATCTCCCCCCACGTGTCGCCGCTGGCCGATACCCGCGATGTCGGCGGCCTCATGCAGCGCGCCGGCTTCAAGATGCTGACCGTCGACGTCGACGACATTGTCGTCGACTACCCCGACACGTTTGCTCTGATGCAGGACCTACAGGCCATGGGCGAGGGCAACGCCATCCTGGGGAGAGAGATGGGCCCCATCAGGAGAGAGGTGCTCCTTGCGAACGAGGGCATCTACAGGGAACTCCACGGCAACGAGGACGGGAGCATACCCGCGACGTTTAGAATCATCTACATGATCGGTTGGCGCGAGGGCGGAGATCAGCCCAAGCCGTTGCCCAGGGGCACTGGAGATGTGAACCTCAAAGACATCCTAGAGTCCAATTAGATGTTGTGACACTTGTAACAATACCCCGCCCACCAAAGGAGGCTGGTGTAACATAACAAAAACATGAAGAAAAATCTATGGCTTTCGTTGTCGACACGCCAGTCTGTCTAAATTTGGAATCGTTGAAGGCAAGCTTGCATTTGCCTACACCGAGCATGGCCCGCGCTCGTCATGAACTTCATTATCGCCACCTCACCACCCGTCTGCCTTCTCCTTCTCTCTCTCTCCTTGCAACCCGCCCCCACCCTTAAACCCTTCTCCAGTCAGTCATAACACGGCCAATGGTACCCAGGCCAGCCACGTCGACAACCTTCTCGTGCCAGCTGAGCAGCACGCTCATTGCGCTACCCACGCTCTCGTTCGTGGCTCCCGGTCGGCCACCCATCTGGCTGAAGCCCGTGGGGGCGGCCTGCGGCGGCGGCGATTTCAGGCCGCCAGAGCCGGCCGCGGACCCTGCCATGCCCTTGTAGATGTACTTCATGAGGACGTCGAGCAGCTCGGGGCCGCCAGCCGAGCCGTAGATGGCCTTGAGGAGGGGCGTCATCTCCGAGGCCTTGATGGACTGGAGAACCTCGGTGATGGTCTGGAGGTGGGCGTCCTGTCCAAAAAGCACGTTAGCGACTACGTTAAAAAGCCTGACGCCAATATATATGGTGCTATTCCGGCGTAAAAAACACCCAACTGGAGAAGGGGTCCAACGCACCTTGGCGGTATCGGGACCGTTGTAGACGGGAAACTCCAAGCACCCCCTCAATGCACCCTCGGCGTCACCGCCACGGAGCAGCTGCCGCACCTGGCCGGCGAGCTGCCGCACCTCGTCCTCGCCAATCTCAGGCTGTGGCGGGCGCAACGTTGACGTGTCAAAGTTACAAGCCGAGTCCTCTTGCAGGGCGTCGATGTTGATGGTCCGCCAGGCATCGCTGAGCGTTGCGGACGTGTGTTGCTGGATAATGGACATTGTCGCAAGTGTCGATCGAGTCGAGGTGAATGTGTTTCGCAGAACGGCAAAGGGATCGAGGGTTGCCGGTACACAGTCCAATGGCACAGGGTTCTCGATGTAGGCTTTGCGTAGCAACTCTCGTCTTGCGTCAGGTAAGGCAGGGAGGTGAGGTAAGGTAGGTAGCGGTAGCCGCAGGCATGGTGGGGAGTTGGCCCAGTGCGGAGGATGTGGGGTTCGATGAGGCGGTGCGCCTGGCTGACGACGCTGGTCCGTGCAGATGCTCCTCAATGCCAACCAGCTGCAAACCGGGTCTTGGCCATAGTGCCAGTACATCATCGGCTTCGATGTCATCGTCAGGCACGATGTTCGTTATACTAAACAGCAAAGTTTCACTCATTGTCATTTTCTGCAATTAACACCAAGAGTGAGGGCACGTCTGAGCTAGAAAGAAACAACAGATATTGCAGCTCGTCCTCTACAAACAGAAACATCACTAGAAGACAAGCTGGTTACGAACTGATAATTTGCATGCCATTGTCTAGGTCCAAAAGCTGCCCGACACACTCATTCGTGCCCCCCACATACGTATACACAAACGTCAACCGGTTGTCATTCCACGCTGCCGGCCTCTGGAGATTCAAGCACCCGCACGGGACGTCCCTCCACTTATGCGTCAATCAGGTTCTCCTCGTTTTGCTGCACCTGCTCTCTCTGCTTGCCCTTATCCTTGGCTTCCTTTGCCGCACGCTGGTAGAACTCGTTGAGGATCTTGCCGGGAATACGGTTAAGGAGCTCCTTGGGGTACAAACGGAGCAAGCTCCAAGCGAGGTCAAGAGACTCGTAAATGGTACGCGCCTCATACTGGCCCTGGTTGATGAACTGGCGCTCGAACTTCTCGAGGAACTCGAGGGAAAGCTTGTCCTCGGCGGACAGAGCCTCCTCGCCGACGACAGCCTTCATGGCAGCGGCGTCACGACCGATGGCGTACTTGGCGTAAAGTTGGTTGGAAACATCGCCGTGGTCCTTGCGAGTCATGCCCTCGCCAATGGCGGACTTCATGAGACGGGACAGAGACGGCAGGACGTTGATGGGCGGGTAGATACCACGGTTGTAGAGACCTCTGTCGACGAAGATCTGACCCTCCGTGATGTAGCCCGTCAAGTCGGGAATAGGGTGGGTGATATCCTCGTTGGGCATAGTCAAAATAGGCACCTGAGTGATGGAACCGTTACGTCCCGACACACGACCGGCGCGCTCGTAAATGGTGGACAAATCAGTGTACATGTAACCGGGGTAACCACGACGACCCGGGACTTCCTCGCGGGCGGCCGAAACCTCACGAAGGGCGTCGCAGTAGGCGGACAAATCGGTGAGAATAACGAGGACGTGCTTCTCGAGCTGGTAGGCGTAGTACTCGGCGGTCGTGAGGGCGAGACGAGGAGTAATGATACGCTCGATACTGCGCGATTGTCAGTCCGTTTTATTGCGACTTGCGCCACGGCGCCACGGGGTACTTACGTAGGGTCGTTGGCAAGGTTGAGGAAGAGAGTGACACGCTCCAGACTGCCGTTCTCCTCGAAATCGCGGGTGAAGAATCTGGCCGTCTCCAAGTTGACACCCATGGCACCGAAAACGATGGAGAAGTTCTCTTCGTGGCCGTCGTGGACGCCCTTGTTGGTAACACCCTGCTTCTGGACCAAACTGGCCTGTCTGCAGATCTGGGCGGCGATTTCGTTGTGTGGCAGACCGGACGAAGAGAAAATGGGGATCTTTTGGCCACGGGCGATGGAGTTCATGGTGTCGATGGCAGAGATACCGGTCGAGATCATTTCTTCGGGGTATTCCTATGCTACGTCAGCGCCTGGGCTACAAGCCGCGAGGGGGACGTGAACTTACGCGGGAGAAGGGGTTGATGGGACTGCCGTTGATGTCGAGGTAGTCCTCGGCCAAGACCTTGGGGCCCTTGTCGATGGCACGTCCGGAGCCATCAAAGATACGACCGAGCATGTCCTCCGACACACCGAGCTTCAAGCTCTGGCCCGTGAATTCGACTTTCGTCTGGCAGAAATTTAGCGCACGCATTCTTTGTCGAGATTGCCATGATCTCATACCTTCTGGACATCGATGCCTGATGTACCCTCGAAGACCTATTTCCATCGTCAATCGGTGTTTTTCGCATGATCGCTCGGCTCGCATACCTGGACAACGGCTCGGTCACCTGTAGATGTTGGTCAGCAAGCAGGCTAATGCAAACGGGCGTGGAATGGTAAATACCTCGGGCCTCAAGGACCTGACCCTGTCTGTTGGTTCCATCGGGCAGGGTCAAGGAGACAATCTCGTTGTATCTGGGGAATTTGACCTAGACGCGAAGTCAGCGTTGCAACTCCAGCATCCCTCTGCGATAGCCGGCGCGACGGGCGACACGCACATTCTCGAGAATGACGAGGGGTCCGTTGACACCGCCGACGGTGTTGTACCGAATCCTCGGCACGATGGAGTAGGAGGGCTCCCGGGGGTCACTCATTGCTTCTGACTATCAATGAGACAGCGCCCGTGTAGAAGACAATGCGTGTTGAGTCGAGAGGGTCGATTAGGAAGGGCGCGGGTGGGCGGATGAATGGAGACGTTGCGAGGCGACGTAGGTTAGCTGGAGGAGGTTGGCAGGTCGTTGCAGTGTCGTCAAATGCACAGCACTGGAGCTTGCTTCGTCTTGGTGGAGCCCACTCGGCAAGCTGGGTCACAGTCACAGGTGGTGCCCCCCCGATTAGATCAGTGGTCCTCACTTCACTGAGGGGGGGGGGGCGCCTGGGAGAGCTTCCCAGCGTCAGCGTCAGTGTCAGGTTGGGCGTTAGCGCCAGTGTGCAGTGACATCACATGACTGCATCTCCTCCCTCACAGTCTTTTGAGGTACCTAGATCCTAGGACTGACTGCACCATTGATATGTGAAAGACATGCAACGTTTTTCAAAAAAAGGAAAAGAAAAAAAAAAACAGATGTCTCAACCCCCAACTATTTAGGTAGACTTGAATTCCATCAAGAACCGTCACCCAATTACGCCGCCTCTTCACGATCTCTGGCTCCTAATACCGCCTTGCCAACAGTGCTGTCGTTGGCCTTTCCCAGCTCGCCCGTGATCCAAGCACCGATATCCGACATGGCATCCAGATCAATGCCAGTCTCCATGCCCAAACTTTCGATAAAGTAAATCATGTTCTCTGTGGACACGTTGCCGGTAGCACCAGGGCTGTACGGACATCCTCCAAGCCCACCAACACTGCTGTCAAACGTGCGAATGCCGTGTTCCAAAGAAACGGCCGTGTTCACCAGCGCCTGGCCGTACGTGTCGTGAAAGTGCATGGCAATATCCTCATTCCTGATGCCCGCAGCTCTCATACAGTTCAGCAGTTCCTTCGTCCGTGGAGCCGTGCCCATGCCGGTGGTGTCTCCCAGCGAAACCTCGTCGGCCCCCGACTCCAACAGTTCCGTAGATATCTCGGCCACCTTGTGCGGGTCGACGTCATAGCCCTCGAAGGGGCAGCCGAGGACGACGGAAACGTATGCGCGGACGCGGAGACCGGCGGCCTTGGCATCGCGGATGACCTCACGGAAACGGTCGAGTGATGTCGCAATGTCGCAGTTGAGGTTCTTTCTGGAAAAGGACTCGGTCGCGGCCGCAAAGACGGCAATTTCGACGGCGGGCTTTGATGTGTCTGCTGATGGCTGGAGCTGCGATGCGAAAGCGCCGGGGTACTTCGCCAGCAGCTCCTGGGCGTTTTGCAGTCCCTTTATGTTCGGGGTGAGGAACGAGTATGATGTTTGCTGCAATGGGGAGGAGATGTTTCGTTTCAGGATGTGCTCGAGGATGTCGCTTGAATTGGCCATCTGCAAGTATTCAACGTTAACAATACGACTTTCCGAAGATTGTCAGACCACATTCAGTAAGTAGACTTACCTGAGGAACCCATTTAGGAGAGACGAAACTGCCGCCTTCAATCGTAGAGACGCCCGTTTTGGCGAGCCTTTCAATCAAATCGACCTTGGTGGCAAGGGGTATCGTCTTCTTTTCGTTCTGCAGCCCGTCGCGAGGACCGACCTCCACGAGCTTCACGTAGTTGTCGCGGGGCGGCTGGTGAATTGGGCTGCTGGCGGTCGCGAGCCCCCTCGCAGGGATTCGGCTAACCTGAACCCTCTTGCTCGCCCTACAGATTGCTGGACGGATGGCAAGCATTTTGAAGTTGAATTGTTTAGAGATTGTCAACGAGGGGTTGATCGGCAACTCGTAAGTCAACTGGAGGAGAGCTTGGCCGCATATCGTCGGCTTCTGCAGAGTGCAGTGCCTCGGTCAAAGCTGCCGGCTGCCATCTGGTGCCAGCTGGCGACGGTGACTTCCAACCCAAATGGGCTTTGGAGCCCATTGTTTCTGCAACTATTACAAGACCACTGAGTGTGTATTAACAGTCCATGCGATATGTCTCGCATCATCGTGAATAAACTTCATCGCATTTTCCCTCGACCTGACAGCCTCCCCTCCTTCAGTATTTTTCGCTGTTTGGCATGGGGCCCCTATATCAATTGAAAGTGAGGACCTTTGCGGACCAGACTGATGCGCATCGTCTTTGGCCAGTATCTGACGATGCAAACAAGCGGTACAGCAGACGGGCTGGAGGACGAATTGAACCAAGCGCAATGTCCCCCTGACCACACGTTACCATCGGAAGAGCATATGTCGGCATATGTCGAGGGCAACTAATTGACGCATCCCCGCGGGGGTTCTAGCTTCCTTCTAGGATACATACATAGTGACTAGCTACCGCGTGTCGATGCTGCTTTGGCTCATTTTATCTGTATGACTGCTGAGATCTGTTTGCTAAAACGACTACCAAAATGACAACGAGAAGGAATCCGACTCGGATAACGGGCCTCGTGCTTCTCTTCTCGCCCTCAATGTCCTAATTGTGCCTCGACTCGCAGCTGCGCAGACGCCAACGTATGCATCGGTGCCAGCCATCGTGCCTACATTGGCCGGCCCCGCGAAGCCGAATACAACGCAGTGGGAGGAACTCTGTACGACCAAATGCTTAATCGCACCGTGGCTGTACGCATCGGCATATGGACACCAGGTCTTACCGAATCGCTGACCGGCGTGGCCACGCAGGTCCTGGACGGAGTGCACAAACTCGGCGACGTTGGCGTAATTAATAAGGAGCAATTGTTCGCCGCACGCGACGAGAACACTCGACGGTCATGACTGACTGCTACTGCCCGGCCTTACGAAACGATCGGGGTGTATGTCTCACACGCGGGCGGCTCTCCATGACGTTTCGGGCCAAGATGATTTGCCAGGAACTGCCTCCATATTGTTTGCCAAACCGAGGCAGCGAACTTATTCACAAAGCAACTGCTTGAGGGTGTCTGCCCGGGGTTACGGCAGCGGATAATGTCAGCTTACCACTCCGGACAGGGACGACGACGACGGCGACGAGCGCGGAAGCGACGGGGCAGAAACGTCGAGAGGAAGTGGCCCGGATGGCGCTACCGGGGTTTTGAGTATTTCACCAAGCCTTTTTGCGGCAACTGTGGTGAGAATGGTATTTGCGTTGCTATGACGTGGGAACCTGGTAATAATGGGTGCAACATCGAAGCTTCAAGTGCAACTTATCATCATAGTGGTTACCTTTTTTCCAATGTTGAGATAAAACGATTGCCTTTATATTACTTATCAAAGACTTCAACGTCCTAATGACTTATTTAAACGTTCATATTGCATTCCAGCCGCCCCAGCGAGGGCCTGGCGTCCTCCAGTGCTCTTCATGGATCACCTCGATCGTGTGTACAGATATCGAGGCCTGATAATGTTAGATTGAGAGCTCGTAAAATCTGACGTTCGGTCATGTTTTCTGTTTGAGTTACTGTACTTTACATTTTGTTTCGTTCCGCAGTGCCAAAGTTGAGCATTAAAAACCAACGTTCTCTCAATGAGGGACTTTTTGACACTCGACATCGTCATGTCATCTATACCGGATTTTGATCCTAGCAGATGAATCGCAGGACTAGAAAGGCTTGGTTACTCGTCAATTGATCTTCATCAAGAGTTCGATGTCTGGTCGATTTGAGTATGTCGCTGGATCTGGACCATACTCGGTCTCCTCCGACCGGCGACACGGCAAAAGGGTAGCTGTGAGTAACATCAAACCAGTCCATAGGCAGCAACACGAAAAATAAAGGATAACATTGCGATAGTCTCTTGAGATTAACAGATCCATATCATGTATTTCAAACAACCCGCCCAAGGGAGGCACCCCTCGATAACGCGGCGTGTTTGCCCGACAGGTGGGATTGTCCCCATCACAGTGACACTTGCAGGGGACGCTTCCAAGACAGTTTAGCACTTGATCATATCACACGTATTACTGTTGAGCCTCCTCCCACCCGTATTCCTACGATATTCCTATTCTTCTTCTGCACCCTTAATTGAACTCTAGAGGCACCACACACTAGGCACGGCACATTATCAGGATCACCTCCTGTATGGCTGCCAGAATGCTGAGTGATCGAGTGACTCACATGTACTTCGCAAACAGACCATAACTCTCCATACACTGACTTTGCTTCGGCTACTAGGTTTGCTATGAAAACTGGGCCATCTGCCACCCCTTTGCCTGGTACTTGACCAACAGTTCCTCCATCTCCCATACGAGTAACGCACGCGTGCCTGTACATCGAAAAGCATGGCCGGGCTCTCTGATCTGGTGTACCCGTTACCAACAAAAATCCTAGACGAGACAACCGGGGACAAGACATGCTACCTGCCCTCTGCCGGCACGGGTGCACGCTGCAGCCAGATTTGGCCATTAGGGCTATCTGAGCCAGATTCTGACAGGAGCTTGTTTCTCTACATGTCTCCGATATGACCAGTGGAGACAGCACCGGAGATAGTTGGCTCGCGGCGACGCCTCGCAACAAAGTTTCCGGGTGAGATGGTATGAAAAAAGCGAACAATCATGTACGCATGCCCATTGGTTGCAACTGAAACCTTGGTTTGTACTTTGAAATACTTCCCATTCATCAATGGCATAGACATCGCGAGTTCGCTCGTCTTCTCATGCAGACGAAGCAAGCAAATAAACAGGCAAAGAAAACAAATGTCGTGGCTCGTTGCTAGGGGCTGCCAAAAATAAGGTTAAAATTGAGTGCTCGAGTGCAGCGGCCCCAAAATATCAGCAGCCTAAACCGCCTGGCTTGTCCCACCCGTTCGCCGCGGAAGCCAATCAAATGCTCGCAAACGCCGCCCGAAGCAGAAACGTGCAGTAGTTCGCGGCTAGGACCGGGGGGCATTCCCGTCCTGCAAAGCGATGTGAGTGCGTTTAAGTCGACTACATTTCGTCGGTGTCGTTCATGACGAGAACTGGAGGCCACGCGTTGATGCGTTTGAGGACATTGGGGGATCTTCTGACCAAGAAGAAGGAAGAGGAGGGTATAGATTAGGACGTACCAAGCTAGGCAAGACTATACATAAGGTACTTACACAGCAGATGGATGCCTGCACAGTGCAGCCCCAGTACAAATCGCCGAACGACCAACCATTGACGGCCTCGACTTGCAAAGGACGGCACCCGGTCTCTGGTCCAAATTGAAAGTCTATTCCCAAATTGAGTGGAAAGTTCAGAGTCGAAAGTATGCCACACTGTGAGCAGCCCTAAGGGGGGGCAGCACAGATTTTCAGCATTCCTAGGAGTATTGGCAGGTGCCATTGGAGTAGGTAGCCAGAGTATTGGCGTCTAGTTTGGACGAGATTCAGTCCGAATTCCTAATAACTGGCTGTTTTACTGTATCCATACGACAATAGCGTCTTCTCTGCTTTGGATGGAAAAAGAATACACAGGACTGAAGGAGCTGCTTGAGCGTCCTCGCCGTCCCCTTGTCATCAGACCCCCCAGATCAAATCAGAGGCAGGTCCAAACTATCCCTCATCCATACTTTTATCTTCACCCGGTCACTCTAGAACTGAAGGAGTCCTCGACCCGTCAGGGCTTCAACCGTAATGGTTTTCGGAACTACTGCTCCTGCCTCTTGCCATTGTGCGAAGAAAAGAATAGGGACCTTTATGAGTGAACTCTCTCTAAGGGCAGTATAAAATCCCCCCCCCATCGCCCAGATGCTGGCTTTTCTTCCTTTCATCCACCAAGAAACACAGGCACTCGACTATTCTTCTCCTTACTTCTTGTTCATAATCGACTTCGGTCCCAACCCTTCTTGTTCATAATCGACTTCGATCCCAACCCTTCTTAATACTTCTTGTCTATACTTGACTTCGGTCCAACCTTTCTTCTTTTACTTCTTCTTAATCGATTTCACCCTTCTTCTTCTTCTTCTTCTTCTTCTTCCTCGCCTTCTTTTTCCTCTTCCTCTTCATCTTCTTCTTCGTCTTCTTCTTTCCCTTCCTCCTCTTCATCTTCCTCTTCTTATTCCTCTTCTCTTTTTAAATATTCACCAATCCATTCACAATGGACGCCGCCGGTGAATATACTTTTGGAGACTTCCAGTCTCTTTCCAACAACATTTGGGCCGAACAGCCCTCGCAGCAGCAGCAGCAGCAGCAACAGCAACAGCAGCAGCAGGTCTCCGACGACATGATGAAGCAGTTGCTTTTGGCGGCGATTGCCGAGCCGCAGCAGCAGCCCCAGCAACAGCAGGAGCAGCAGCCCCTTCCCGACAATCTTTTCGAGGGCCTGAATTGGGAAGACCTTGCGCAGCAGCCCCTGTCCCAGGAGCTCCTGCAGCAGCACGATCCCATGCTGTTCCTGTCTGGGGAGGAGCAACCCCAGCAGCCCGAGCTGCCCGAACAGCCCGGGTCTCAGCTCGAAGGCCAGTCCGAGGGGCTTTTCGGGGACGATGACCTCTTCGGAGATGAGGAGAGCTCAAGCCCTGAAGTGGGCAACGAGAAGTCCCTTCCCTCTCCTCCTCTTCCTACACCCTCCTGTTTCTCTATTACTCTCCCTACTTTTGATAATATCCCTCCTACCCCTACTCTTCCTTCCTTCCCTTGCTCCCTCCCCGCCCCTCCTCCCCTTAACGCCGGGGACAATGAGGTGCAGTGCATTGACCCCCGTCTGTTGGGGATGCCGGCTTCTGTGGCTGCTCCTGTAGCCGATCACCCTCCTCATGGAGTGGGTGAATACACCCAGGGCGCCCAGGGCACCGAGGACGCCAAGGACGCCAAGGACGACGACGTCAACATGGCCGATATCCCTCTGCCGTCCACGGAGACTCCTTCGCCGCGTCGCGCATCGGTGGAGGGTACCGTGGAAAGGGCACTCGCGCCCAACACGGAGGGCAACAGAGTGGCCAAGAAGGCCGGCAAGAAGGCCGGCAAGAAGGCTACTGGGGGCCCCGTCCGCGCGGTCAAGGCCAATTCCTGCGACGCGTGCCGCCGCAGCAAGACCAAGTGTGTGACCGCCGAAGGCGCCACAGACTGCAATGCATGCCTCAAGAAGCACCGTACGTGCAACGTCTCCGGTGTCGACGGCCGCACCAACAAGACCAACCGGGACCTTCTCGACACCACGTCGGCCGCCGTCAATAATTACCTCAGGCACGCCACCCTCCTCTGTACCGACCTCGCAGAGCACCCCGACCAGAAGCTCATGGTACAGGCGCTTCTGCAAACCATGGGCGATTTTCAACAGGTCCGCTCCATCATCTCGAAAGTCACCGGAAGCCCCATGAAGGCGTGGCCGTTCGCCTCGGGCCCCTTCCGCCCGCCAACTCTCGACGGGCCTACGAAACTGACCTATGTGCGCAACTGCCGCGATACCCAGCTCCGGCTAATGGCCCAGAATGACGGCAAGATCCTCGCGTCATTGTTGATAATGATCGCTTTTGGCGAGGCTCCTCAGATCACGGCGGCATCTGGCCTCGTCGACCGCGTGATGGGCCACAATACCGCCCTGGTCGCTCTCGAGAGGTCTATCCAAGAGAACTGCTCTTTCTATGCTGAGCATCCAATTTACGAGCACATGCGTAAGGGAATCGAAAAGTGCTTCGAGGCGTGAAGCTCCCGCACCTGGCCTGCGGACCGGTGAACGAAACGGTGCTGCATCGAACCCCAAAGAAAACAAACATAAGAAGACAAGAGGAGGAATTAATAATGGTGCTCGAGCTTGAGGCTCGAGAACAGGAGTTTTGCGGTGATTCATGGATACCCGGTGCAATAAGTCACCACAACAATCATGGGAATGGCGTTTGGGTTTGAGGCTCAAGAAAAGGAGCATTCGTGATGGTTCATGGATACCCGGTGCAACAAGTCACCACAACAATCATGGGAATGGCGTTTGGGTTTGAGGCTCAAAAAAAGGAGCATTTGTGATGGTTCACTGAGACCAGGTGCAATAAGTCACCACAACAATCATGGGAATGGCATTTTGGCATTCACCGCTTTTGGGGTTTGAGTCTTGGGTTTCATTTCGGCTTGTTGGATTATGGGTTTTGGTTCAGTTTTTTCGGAGTTTGGATACAGGAAAGGGCCTCTTTCGGCATGGTGGACAATCAATCAACGCCATTCCCAACCACATTTGTTCGTGTCTTTTGTGATGTGATGAAGGCTCTCGAAGCCATCTCGTATTTGGCTGCTGTTCATATCCGAGTATTCGATCTAGACGGCTGCTGCCCATCTCGCTCTTTAAATGCCGGATCCTACCGAGGAGTGCATTGTCCCTGGCTCTCCAAGCCATCATGTGAACGTGTGAAACCGATTCCTATCGTCCTCTGTTGCGGCGACGGAAACGATAAAAGATCAGATGCTGTGCACTACGCAGCGGTGATGTGGAATCGCCCTGTCGGCAACGAACTCGGAACCTGACTATGTCGCCCAGACTGCTAGAAGATGTGGAAGGCGGGCAAGGAGAGGATGCTGAAGTGAAAGATGATATGTGGACGAGACGGAAAAGGCGGTGGTTATTGGAAAGAAATGGGCCAGAGAAAGTGGCGGTTCTTGGAAGGAAAACGATGTTTCCACCCTCCAGTAGGTGTAAGGGTAGATAAATGACAAAAGGAGACGATGGAACTACCACCATCTCATCTCATATGTGCGAAGAAGAACAAGAGATCATCTCGGAAGCAGCCGCCCCAGCTTCAAGAGCCCGCGACTTCGTCGACTGCTCATCAACGGCAACGGGGAATATCAGAATGGAAGCCAAGCCACGAGACCGAGAGATTGGACGAAAAGGTTGCAAAGGCAGTATCGTGTGCTCGGGAGCTGCTCTGCGCAACAGGGACCGAAGATGTTACTGCACCTCTGAAGCATCCCAGGTGTCCGGATCCAACACATTATTGTATGACATCAAGACCACAGAGGTCCAAGACCATTTTCTTCTTGCCGCAACAATGCCAAAGCCTTCATACGTGTCTACCTACGACCAGGTCAGTAACGGCTTATTCTCTCCTCTTCCTAGGCTGTCAGCACCTGTTGTTCATGGCCCAAAACCCACCTTGGCCACTTTAGACTTGCAACCCCCGTGGTAAACCACCGTTGGACCATCCACCCACCCTTCCACCACCCCCTTAGCCACTTTAGACTTGCAACCCCCGTGGTAAACCACCGTTGGACCATCCACCCACCCTTCCACCACCCCCTTAAACCACAATCTTCGCCTCGCTCTTCGGCCCCCTCTCCCCAAAGATTGTGCTGCCCACTCTCACCTCCCCGCTTCCCAGCCTCACGGCGCCCTCAAAGTCCTCGCTCATGCCCATGCTCAGCTCCAGCTCCCTCTCCAGCCCCAGCTCCCCGGCCACCAGCTCCCTCTGCGCCCGCAGGCACAGGAAGTCCTCGTTCTCGTTCTCCGCCGTCGTCGCCTTGCTCCGCGCGATGGCGCCGATCGTCATCAGGCCCAGCAGCCGCAGCGCCGGGCACTCGGTCTCCACGGCCCGGCACAGCGCCACAGTCTCCGGGCCCGGCGCCACGCCCGACTTGGACTCCTCGCCCGAGGTGTTGACCTGGACGTGCACGCCGAGGGGCTCCACCGGGGCGGCGCCGCCGTCGTCGGGCGGCGAGGACATGAGCTCCGCGCGGGCGGCGTTGAGGAGCTGGGCCTTCTTGAGGGTGTCCACGCTCGAGACGCAGAAGAGGTTCGGGATCTTGGCCAGCTTCTTGGCGTGTGCTGCGTCGACAAAGTTAGGAAGTTCTCTCTCAAAAGAATATATATATATATATAAAAGAAAAAACACCTCCGAGACCTAGGCTAGTAAAGACTGGCAAAAAGGGAGAGGGCATACTTGACTGCAATCCACCGATGAAATGCCACTGAATGCTTCTCGGCAGCATCTCCGCCTTCTGCCCCAGCTCCTGCGCGTAGTTCTCGCCAAAGTGCACCTGCGGCGGCGTCGCCTGGTGCAGCGCCAGGATATCGTTGGCGGGCTTCAGCTTGGAGACGGCCACCAGCCGGACCTGTCGGTTGTTGGTTTCTCTATCAGTGAATTTGCCCCCCGCCCGTCGCCATCCATCTTACAGCACGAAACCGAGGGGAAGACTCACATTCCGCCCCGCAGCAACGGCGGCGACGCGCTCCTGCACCGCCTGCAGCTGGGAAATGAGAGCCTTTGCTCTCGCCGGGTCGATCTTCATCTCGGGCTGGGCGTCGGTCATTGCAGGCCTAGACAAGGAGGGGGGGTTGTGGTGTGGTGAGAGGTGCAGACAAGACTAAAGGGCACTTTTTTTCTCTATGAAAGTCGGAGTGAGGTTGACAGTGTATAGTCATGGACTTCCAGCGTCTTCCAAAGCGCCCTACTGATTGACTAGCAAAATTGGGTCCATTCTCAAAGCGGGATTACGCGGGGTTCAGTGGAGACTCTGTTAGCAGGCTATTCCCTGATCCAGAGGGTACGGTTTGGAAACTTGGAGGGTCAAGTGAGGCATGTGCTGTATTACCTCAGATGCAGGGTTTCCAGACATTTTGGTGCTCACTGTATGTACTCAAATTGCTCGTTCAATTCACTGCAGTTTACAATTGTGCTTTTTCCCAGTCGTGTGTCCCTTGTTTATAGGCCATACTCTCTTTTTCTTCTTCTTCTTCTTTTTTCGCTTTTTTTCTTCTTCGCTATTTTCCCATCTAGAACGCAAATCCCCCAAATTTTCCTTTGGTTTTCAGAGATTTCCTTTTATCTAACATGCAACCCGGTTTTGAAAAGACGTGGAGGTGTAATACAGTCAGTTACTTAGACCAAAGCGCCACGGCCTCCAACTCTCAGCAGCGCCTCTTTCTGCTCAGTGCTGATCTCAGCAGGGGGGATGGCCAGCTGGCCAGGCTTCTTGGGCGCCTCCAGGAAGCCAATGGCAATGAGGTAGCCCAGGTAACGGCCGATAGTCTCGTCCTTGACGGAGCCACCGGCGGAGAGGTCCTCCCCTGTCAGCTCGGCGTCGCTGCGCAGGGCGGCCGCAGCGTTGACGTCGTCGAGTTCGGGAGCGATGGAGTCGGCTGGGAGATCGGTAGTTGCGAGGTGGTACAGACCCATCCTGTGCTTTGTTAGCGCCATTCGTAGTTGAATGCTTCAGCGTTGAAACTTACAGAGCGTGCTCCTTGCCCTCGGCGACGTAGTCCTGCAGGCTCTTGCTCCATTGGCTGTACTCGACCTCGGGCACATTGTAGCCATACTTCTCCAACGCACCCAGATACGTCCGGAAGGTAAGTCTGGGATGGCTCGTCACCTGCGCAACACCGAGAGGCTGGCGGGGAGGGTGCAGCGCCGAGGCGACCACGAGACGGGCGACATGGTCAACGGGTACCATGTTGATGGTGTTCTCAATCTTGGGCCTCGAGTTAAGCTGGATACATCCCTTGAGCATTCTCAGCAAGAAATCATCCGTATTACTGGTGCCGGTGTATTGCTCGCCGGTAATGTAGCCAGATCTGACGATGGTGCCAGACAGGCCTCTCTTACCAGCGTTGCGGACAAGGTACTCGGCGACCCACTTGGTCGAGCCGTAACCGTTGCCGAGGTTCTTGGAGCTACCGGAGAGGTCGTCCTCCTCGCTGACGAGACTGCCTCCCTGAGAGAGCTTGACAAAGTGCGGGTGGTCGAGGACGGACGTCGATGACACAAACGCCAGCTGCTTGGGCTTGCCCGTCGCGCAGAGCGAGAGGACATCGAGCGTTCCTTGGACGTTCGCCGGCTTGAGGTTTGAGTACGGAAGGACCCAGTGGACCTGGGCACCGTTATGAATGATGATGTCGACCTCGTCGGCCAACGAGTTCCAGCGCTCCTGCGAGAGGCCGAGGAGAGGCTTTCCGAGGCTACCCTGCACAGCAGTAAGACTGTTCTTCCAGCTGGGTTGCCATATGCCGTAAGCCTGGCAACTCTTGACGACTCTGTTGTAAGCGTCGATGTCGTCGATGGCACGGACGTGGGCGATGACTCTGACATTGGGCGCGTTGCGGGTCAGGAGATCTTTCAGGATGTAGGCACCCAAGAAGCCAGTGGCGCCTGTCAGAAACACGGTCTTGACGTCGGCGGCCTTCTTGTCGAAAGGGGTGAACTTCTCGGGCAGAGTAGCCAAGAGTTTCTTGGCATCCTCAAAGTAGTCTTCTCCTTCAGGCGTGGCGTTCACACTCTCAGAGGCCTCTCCAGAGAGCTTGCTATCGATCTCGGCAGAGAAAGCTTTCAGTGAGGGGCTACGGAACACAACAGCCATGGTGACGTTGACACCAGGCCATGTCCGGTTGACCTGGAAGAGCATCTGCTGTGCCAGGATACTGTGGCCACCAACGTCGAAGAAGCTGTCATCATGCCCAAGACTTCGCTCGTCAACGTTGGCGAGGAGGGAGCCCCAGATACCAGCAACCTTGCGCTCGGTCTCGGTCAAGTCAGAGGCCTCGGTGTGCGGGCGGGCCTCTGCCAACTGGGCGGCGTCAGGGAACGGCAGTGCAGGCTTGTCCTTCTTTCCGTTGGGGTTCAAGGGAAACTTCTCGAGAGGGATGATGATCTCGGGGATGGCGTAGTTGGGCAGCTTGGTCTTGAGGTACTTTCGAACCTCCTCTCCAAGGGGCCAGAACCTGCGAAGGCGACCCATCAAGCAGTCACCGCCAGAGGTGTCATCCTTCTTACCGTTCTGGACCAACCACTCGGCCCATCTCTGCATGTCGGGTACAATGTAGCTGATCAGGGTCTTCTCTTCGTCCTTGTTGCGGCGGACCAGAGTGACGTTGTCAAGAATCATGGGGTGATCTGACAAGTACTAAAATATGTCAGCTGGCATTGCCGCGTCTCTCGGTGGTGGGATTTTACCTTGTCGATCTCTCCCAGCTCGATACGGAATCCACGAATCTTGACCTGGTCATCTGCGCGGCCGACACAAACAACATTGCCGTCCTCGGTATACTTGCCCAAATCGCCCGAGCGATACATGCGATCCCTGGGACCCTTGTAAAATTCTCTCCACGGTTCATTCTTGGATGCCTGCTGATCGAGCTCCGCCCATCTGTTGTCCTTGACGAACCAGTTGCTGACGAACTTGGCCTTGTTCAACTCGTCGTTGGCCAGGTAGCCTTCGGCCAAGCCGGCCGCTCTGACGTAGATTTCACCAACCTCGCCGATATTGCAAACACGTTCAGTGTTCTCGCGATCCACGATGATGAGCTGCACGTCCTTCATGCCCTTGCCAGCGGGAATGACGTTATCTGGAAATCTATCCAGGAAGGTGGGGTCGGCACTGACGCTGGGGAGCTCATAGTAGCTAACTGCTCTTTGCGTTTCACTGTTTTTTTTGTTTAGCAAACCTCCTCGCCGGCGTCAGTGGCGTAAACCTGATACATACGTTGTACCGTACATGTTGACGATGTAGCAGTTTCCAGCCAGCTTCTGCAGGGCCTTGCAATCTCTTTTGATCAAGATGTCACCAACAAAGAAGGCGTGGTGGAGAGTGGGGAATTCGGCGCTGGCGTTGCTGACGAGAACGTTACCCATGGCCGGGGTCAAGTGAGTAACGGTAGCGCCATATTCTCTCATCCACTCGGCAAGCTTCTCATGTTGGATATCCTCCTTGGAAGGAACCAACAGCTGGGCACCGAGGAATATCGGGGTGAAGATGTCTCGCTGGATAGGGTCATGAGCTGTCGCGTGTTAATGCGCTTCTCTCAGCACCTCCGAATCAGAAATTTTCTCACGTACCAATGCCGCTGAGCATGGTGAACTTGTCCTTCTCGCTGAGGCCGAAACGCTCGGCCATCCAGTCAAAGTAGTATGCTAGAGAGTAGTGCCTGCCGAGGACACCCTTGGGCTTGCCCTCGCTGCCAGAGGTGAAAGACAAGGTGGGGTTCGAATCGGGGCCCACAAGGACGTTCGGGCCGTTCTCCTTCTCAAGGCCGGCGAAAATTTCCTTGCCGTCGACCTGGCCACCAACGAGGGTGCCGTCGGCTCTGAGCTCGAGGGCGGGGACCTCGGTCTTGAGGTCGAGGTTCTTGGCGATGAAGGTGCGGACCTTATCGGTCAGCTTGCCGGCCTCTTTGGTTGCCTTGTCGATCACCACAAGGGCTCGTGGCCGCGCAACATCGAGATAGATGTTCTGGCCTGCGGGCTTCAATTAGCATGGTCCCCTCAAGCCAATGAGGGGTTGCTTACGGTCAGGAGGGTATGATGGATCGATAACGCTAAAGGTAGCCCCGGCCTTGAGGATACCAAAGACGGCGACGACAAGGTCAACACCACGGTGGGAGTAGCTCCTGTAGGTCCACATCAGCATCCACCACCAGAAATGCAAACATTTCATGCCAGGAAGACAAACATGACGACATCTCCCCTCTGGACACCAGAGGCAACCAGATGGTTGGCGAGAAGGTTGGACGCCTCATCGATTTGGCGGTAAGTGAACTCCCTCCTCGGGGATGTGGAAGAGGCGGTTTCAACGACGCACAGCCTGTCAGGATGCTGCTTGGCGTTTTGAGAAAAGATGTCCTGGATGGCGCCGCGAAAGGCGGACCAGTGCAGGTCGCTGCGATGTGTGTCAGCGCGCGTGGTTCATGGCATTCATTTTTTCCCCCTTGATCGTAGGTGCTCCGAACTGGCACATTCAGTCACACTCACCTGGTGGGGTCTGGGAGCTCAGGAGCCATAGCGGGGGAGGGGTAAATCTCAACGAAGGGGGGAATGAATTGCAAAGTTAAGGGAAAAAAAAGGCTATCAAGGAAAAAGTTTTCAAGGCCTCGGAGAGTCTCACTAAATTCCCCGGTGAAAACAATCAGGACATGCAAATTGCTTCAGAAAGGGTGGTGTTCGCTCCTGAGATATCCTTGAACCTAAGGAACCGACAGGGTAGAAGACGATGACGGAATGTGTTGGTTATATTTGGATGAAGTTCAATTGAGTCATAGGGGAACGACAACCGGGATGGAGGGCGGTGTAAGTTTTTCTTAGTTTCTTTTCTTTCGTCGAGCCTTTGGACCACAGTGCACTGCGCAGCGTCGACGCGGGAATGTATGCAGAGGAAATGCGGCAAAAATTTACATCTTTCAATGCAATCAATCTCCTTTTAACTCGGGTACCTACCTACCTATACAGATAGTTCTGCCCTACACCGTTCCGGGTTGGTGGTTCCCTGTATTTTTTTTAATTCTTTTTTTGTTGGTCACTTCTCCGGTTCAGGTCCGGCATCGCTCTCCCCGCAAAATTTCTTCAGGTCCATGGCGTGCCCACCACCGCCACCACGTACCTTTCAAAGAGACATCCTTGACTTGATGCACGGCGAGGGTTCCAAGACAAGACTAGGTGTCATATTCGAACGTGTACCGAGGCCGAGTCGACCAAAGATCATCATTGCCAGCATTGGATTACTCAGGATATATCTACGCATGTTCGCCCCGCCTTCGCTACTGTTCCCGTTACGCCGCCCTACTCTCTGTTTGTTTAACTCTGTCAACTCCTCCACACGGATGGACCCCTGGTCCTGACGCGCCGGTAGAGGACCGAACACCCTTTAGCACAACTTCATAACCCAAATAGAGCACAGGGGGGGGCCATCACACACATGCCCGTTTCACCACATCAATATCTACCTACGAGAGCTCAATAATTCAGACGGGTAATTCGAGTTCGTCGACGACACCTCTTGCGGCTCCCGCACGCCAGACAACTCCGTTCTCGGCCCCGAGTACTCATCCATCGGCAATACATACGACGGCGGGGGCGTGTTTCGTCTTACCGGGCTGATCGGACTGACGTTGCTGACCTGGTGTGACAAGCTGGAACCATGTGCGGGCGAAACGATGAACATGCGGTCACCTAACGAGTTGGGGCTGCTGGCGTAGGCCGACGCATCACGGGATGCAGGGTAGGCGTGGGATGATGTCGTGTTTGGTCCTCATTTGGGCCGGACATAGGGCGTCGCTTTCGGAGGCAAAAGGACCAGACTCCTAGCACCACTAATCAGTCGCGTTTGCCTGGACAATGAAGCCACGGCTCTGCAGCTCGTTGCCGATGAAGTCCTTGGGGGAGCGGAAGGGGCAGATTCTGTGAGAATGTGGTGCCTGATGGAAAGAGTATAACCATACGTCTTCAGATGCTTGGGATCGTTACTAAATTCCACAATGGACGGATTGAGAACCCTATCCTATGGTTCGCCAATTGCCCCATCCGTCTTCTTGTCGCCCATCAAGCCCAGCTTTACCAGCCACAACTCTAGCCACCACCACTACGCAGGCAAGCCACCTGAGACCCTGTCCGAATGTCTCTAGCCGAGAAAAAAAAAGAAGAAAAAAAAGTGGTGTGTGCACCAAGGCACCTTAAGCATTCAGCAATCCAGGGGGATCCGTGGACGGAATGATGGATGATATCCTGTAGTGTACGAATACTCCGTACTCCGTACAGCTTCTTGGTTGGCTGACTGATACCTGTGGCTCCCTGCTCCCCCCATATCTTATCCCAATCGTGTCTGCGTCAGCTGCCTATTCCTGGAAAAAAGGGGATGACGGAGGATTCAGTGAATGTCTTTCAGCTAGCTATTTCTCACCTCCACAGCTGTGCGTACACTACACTATCCGTACATGACCTTCCATCTGCTTGGCACGATCTCTAGCTTTTCCCCTTCTTTTTCGAACAGCTAGCCGTTTCTTCCTTTCTTTTAGAAATCTTCTTTTTCCCCTTGTTCTTTTCTACCTGACTCCCCAACTCGGATTAGCATATCTTCTGTATTACCATCGTCCAGCCAATCGGTTTAGCTTTCCATTGGGGCACTCTGTCCACATGTCCCACTTCTGAGGTTGCTCTTCACATATCACCACTACACTACGACCCGACCAGTCAGTCGACTCCCCAAACCGCATACCGGCCATCTCTGCCCGCCGCCGCTTCGTCGGCCAGTGCCACCGACCATCATGCCGAAGCAGCGTACCATCTTTGGCCGTCCGGTCCCCCGCTTCGGCACACGACGCATTTCCTTCCTGCTCGTCAGCATCTCCATCTTCGCCGTCTTCTCTCTCCTTGTCACCCTGCCGAGCTCCATCCCCTCCGGCCCGAGCCTCTCCAAGTACACCGACCACAAGTTCTCGATCCCCTCGGCCATCAAGAATCCCTTTGGTGCCTCGAGCCGCCTGAACCCCTTCAAGCCCCCCTCTCACCCGCCCCCGCGTCAGCAGAATGACACCTTCGGCGAGTCATCGTGGTGGGCCGACTGGAAGTGGCTCTCGGTGCCCTTCTCTTCCTCCCTGACCCTCGACGAGGAGCGCTCGCTGCTGCCGCCTCTCAAGCCGCGCCCGCCCATCTACTGCTACTACGATACCACCATCAAGAAGGACGCCGCCAGCAAGGACGCCGAGAGCGAGCTGCTCCTCCTCTGGCGCCGCGCCTGGTGGGCCCGCGGCTTCAAGCCCATCATCCTCAGCGCCGCCGAGGCCATGAAGAACCCGCTCTACGACGAGTTCCAGCACAAGAGCGAGGGCATCGACCCAGACCTCAAGACCGACCTGATGCGGTGGCTTGCATGGGACAACATGCGCGGCGGCCTGCTCGCCTACCACACCACCCTGCCTATGGGCCCGCACGAGGACCCCCTCCTCTCCTATCTCCGCCGCGGCGAGTACCCGCAGCTGACCCGCTGGAACAACATGGGCAACGGCCTCTTCGCTGGCGGCGAGAAGGAGGTCAATGCCGCCATTAGGGCCACCATGGGCAGCTCCAAGCTGAAGGAAGCTAAAGACTTCGTCGCCGCCGCCACCGAGGATACCTTCAAGATCGACAACCAGCCCAAGGCCATTGCCTACTACGACTCGACCGTCATCCAGGAAAAATACCCCAAGGTCGCCGAGGCCATTGCTGCCGACCGCGCGGGCGGCCTGCAGGTCCTCCGCAAACTCATCAACGGCCATCTGCACACGATCTGGCAGAACGTCTTCTCGGACGGCATCGCCGTACTCAAGCCCCTGCCGCAGCACATGACGCACATGATCAAGAACGCCTGGGACCTCGCCGGCGACCTCGCCATGTGCCCAGCCGACTCCCCCATGCCCGCGTCCTGTCCGCCCAACAACGCAAAGTGCAAGCCCTGCGTCCCCGCGCAACCCATGCATGTCTCGACCCCTCCCCGATACCGCAACACCTCAACCTTGTACACCATCGGCACCGTGCCGCACCCCTACACGACCGCGCTCCTTACGAACCTCCTGGACTCGGTCGAGATCCCCTGGATCCGCCGCAAGTCGGAGCGCGATGTTTGGCTCGCCGCCGTCACAGCCGAGCTCCTCGGCGCCGGCGTCAGCGGCGCGCCTCGCGTTCTGAAGTTCAAGGAAGCCATCGCCAGCGAGTTTGCCACCGCCCACTCGCTCTGGCTCACTGCGGAAAGGGACCTTCCCGAGGACCTCGACTGGCACTTCGGCTTCGCCATCCCCCGCAACGCCACGGACGGCACCTCCGAGACCCCCGTCCCGGGCCCTGAGCGCCGCCCGCAGCCCAAGCACGACCCGGCCGACGGACCCATCCCCAGCCCGCAGGAGCTCGACAGGGAGCCGCCCCTGCTCAAGAGGGCGCGCGAAATGGGCAAGACCAAGGACAAACGCGAGCTCGCGGTCCGCGGGGCGATAGAGGCATGGAACCTGGCCGACACTGAGGCGTGGAAGTTTGCGCGGGCCTTTTTGGCGCGCCGCATCGTCGAGCGCAAGGAGTGGGAGGACAACGAGAGCCATTACGCCGGCGGCGTCGGCACCGAGAAGGGACGCCGCACGAGCTGGGGCGGCCGCTGGCGTGATAACAAGGACTAGACGCGTCGTTGCAGTCCATGATGAAAGCGCGAACAGGAGAGTGGAACAGAGGACTATGAGTCGGAAAGGGCCGAGCAGCAGCAGCACCATCATGTCCAAACAGAGGCGATGCTGCTCGGAACACTGTAGTATAGGCGTCAAGGGAAAACGGTGTGTCATGAGTAAGGTGCTTTTGTCTGCGTGTATTTTTACGGATTTGTCGGGCATCAGGAGTTTCTTTGGAGTCGGCCCCCCGCGTAGGTAGATATCAACGTCGCTGTTGACAACTCGTTTCATGGTGGAGACGGCGGCGTTGAACCCGATGATCTGGAAGATACCGCGCAGAGTGAGGCGCTTGTGAACATCGTCGCCGGTGAAGTTTCGCTCCAACCAGCGGACGAATCCCCTAGCCGCCTTAGTCTCCATAACTATAAAGACGCCGTTGACGTAAACACCAGCGTAGTTAGGATTGTCACAGTCAATTAACGCCGGCGGGAAAGCCCCACAACGCGGGGCGAGGTCGGAAATGATTATGTCTTGGTAGACTATACGGGCATTGGCGGGATTTCCCTGGTTCTTCGCGGGGCGAGGGTCTGCGACGGGCTCGGTCTTGTCGCGAGCGCGTTTCTTGTTGCGGACCACCATCTCCGAGGGAGAATCATCGTCGATGACGATCGTCTCTTCCTTGAAGAGCGACGCCATGAACTTTTTCTGGAAGTCCTGAGTCTTGTCGCGTTTGAGAGTCATATCGCCCTCGACGTACTTGGTGACTTGGTGAAGATAGCCGAAGGAGCCGCCTTGTCAAGGCTTGGGAAGAAGCCAACGACAACGAGCAATACGTCACCATCAATCGGCTGGGCGCATCCCTTCTAAACGTTGAATCACAGAAATGTCCACACAAACCTGATATTGTTGGTGTTTCCCATGATGGCTAGTCTACCCGATTATTCACCCATGGCTCCTCCTTTTTTTTTCTCTGCTTTTCTTATAATGTCACCTCCATTTGCCAATCCAAGCTGAAAGGTCCCCTCCTTAGAGTCATTTCGTTTCCGCCATCTCTTTCACATTGCATGCTCACTGTAATATAGGAAGCGAGATGTTGAATTCGCATGGAGGGAAGATGAAGAAACATGAGCGTCGGATGTCAGTGGAAGAAAAGAAAATCACGGAAGGAAACAAAAGACAGGTTGAATTGCCTCCTCATCACGCTTCATCACGGGCCGAGCCCCCACGACGTACCTACTCTACCCAGAGTAGGTAGGTAAGGCCAGATAAGGGGGGGCTCGCCTTAGGCAGCGCGCGTGTCACCTCCCATCTCGCCGCCCAGCTCCCTAGCGCTGGCACCGTTGCGGCCGGCGCCGACGGCCCCGGGCTGCTCACGGGGGGGCAACGAGACCTTGGCCTTGGCGCCGTTGACGCCGTTCTTGGCCGTCTTCTGCTGCTGCTGCTGCTGCTGCTGCTGTTGCCGGCCGCCGCCGTTGCCGGTGGCCTCGGTATAGGTCCGGAGGGCGGAGCGGGCGGACTCGACGACGCGCTCGGCGGCCTTCAGGGCATCTCTCAGCGCCCGGGCCGTGGGGTCGTCGTCGCAGTCGCGGCTGCTGCCGCCGGCGTCGCGCTCCTCGAGGAGCTCGCGGATGTGGCCGTTGAGCCAGAGGCCCTCAAGCTGGGCGCGGGGCATGTCGCGGGCGCCGGCGATGGTTCCGCGGCACGAGGGGGTGCCGCAGAAGCAGTCGAAGGGCTGGGCCATGTGCCACTCGGTCGAGGGGTAGAAGAAGGTCAGCTCGTCGCCGGGCCGGAGCCCTTTCGGGCCGGCCAGGATGTTGAAGTTGCCCGTATCAAAGATCTAAAGAATAGACGCGTGTCAGTAAGTTGACCGAGTTCCGTGGGTCACGTCACCCCCGAGTCGCCGGCCCCCCTCCCCCAGCCCCGGAGGTGAGTTGATTCGGTGGAACAGGGAGAATTGTGGGAAGGGGACCGCGATCTTGACGGGGCAAGAGAACTGACGAGGGACGGTTCGCAGGAGTGGTTGATGTACAGCAGGTCGCTGTTGAGGTTCAGGTGCCTGTCCTTTCCGCACTGGACGGTGGCGTATGTGGGCTCGTCAGCCAGGTCGCAGGGGGGGAACGACATCTTGGCGAAGACGGCAAAGGGCGGCAGCGAGACCTTGGAGAAGCTCTTGGTGAGGAACTCGGTCTCGCTGGCCTTGACGACCTCCTGGACGTCCGCGTGGGACGGCTGGGTCCAATGGGGGGTGAGGGGTGCCATTGCGCGGAGAATTCGGTCTATGTCTATATGGGGAGATTGACGGCGTGGTTTCGTCTTGGTGTTGAACAGGGTACGCTCGTACTTGTGCTGGGTCAGCTGGTCTGTCAAAAGTAGAGAACGGGCTGGGGGCTTGGCCAACGTCGCGGGGAGGTATCTCTTACGGAGATGTCCGGATTGGGTCTTTCTAACAAGTTAAAATAATGTAATACTACAAGCAAGCCAAATCTTGTCTTTTGGTTGGACGGTAGACACTGAAGCGGCGAGAGTGGGCTGCGTTGCGTGACTGTGGGAGAAAAAAGAGATGAGTATAGGTTCGGACCGAAGTGAGCGTCTGGAATACCCTCAGTTCTTGTACAGGAGGGAGGGGTAACCCCAATCTGACATCAACGACATGTGCCGAGCTAATAGCAAGGTAACCCAAGGTTTCACAAGCTTCTTTCCTCTGGCAGGCGCATTCAGCCACCGGGGGCCCTCAATGGGTTGCCAGATGGTTCAACAGTTTGTCCTCCTCACATGCATTTCCATTTCCGCATGACCCGTTGCGGGGGACCGTCACCATCTTCCTGCACACGAGGGGTAGTGGGGCCCAATGGAACGGACATATGGACCCAGATTCCACAAGTGCATACGGATAGACAGGGAGACAAATACCACTTGCGAGATGTCCCGTCTGAACAATGCAAGGCCGTCCCCGTCGCCGCCCGTCCGGTTGTGGCTGTAGAATAGGGGAGGCTCTCCCCTCTCCCCAAAGGGTGGGGGAACTGGCCAATAAGTGAGGGCCCGGCGACGGATCCGGCCAAAAGCCTCGTAAGCTGCAGAATAAGTCATGTTAAGTTAAGATGCACTGTCCAGCTAGGCCGCGGTCAGCCTAGCTGCAAGTCATGATACATGCCTACACATACAGGTACAGCCCAGCACGGGGTGTGGCTTGAAGGTTGGTGGGTTGACGGGCACGAGGGGGGGTTGCTTGCCGCGCACCCTGTCCAATGCAGTCTTCTTCAGATACCCCTCCTTCGGCTCACTTTCGGCCCCTCTTTTGACAGACGACAAGCGACGGGCTAGATGACGTTGGGAGGGGCTGGGGTGTTGATGTTTGGCTTTCTCTTTCCTCCTTCTCCGGCACACACTCACACACACATACATTCTCTTTCTCCGCCCCCCGCCGAAAATACCCCTCGCTGCTTTGGCCCGACGACCGAGGCTCGTGAGCGGCAAGGCGGAAGAATGCTTGGAAGCGTGCGACGTCGAGTAACACTCGCCGTACGGATCTATAAGATAGGACCCGCGTCAGTGATACTTGGGGTCTTGGTGCCGCTGCATCCTCTCTGTTCCTTTCCTGAAGAACACTCGAAGCGGCCAAGGCGGTATGGCAGCCGGCATCAGTGTCTCCGGGTTCAGCAAGGCCGCTGTTGGCTTTCTCTCATTGTGAGGTCGCTTTCGCTTTCGCTCTGCCCGCCGAGCCTCCATGTCGCATCGGTGCTTGTCGCCGCATCTCGATGCCGCGTGCGTATCCATCAGGCGTCCGAACCTCGTCTGTTTGGTGCCGTCTCCATCTCGGCCGTTGCCGCGGAGGTCTGTGAAATCGGCCGTACCTAATCCTTTCCGATCATGGCATATTCGGCGAGGAAAGAAGCCCTCGGCGAGTAGGAAGTAAACCTTGGACTCTGGCGCTGCCGTTAGCTTCCCCCATCAAATGTCGCTATTGTTGGGTGATGAGGGCAACGAAAACCTGTCCTCACGTTTACAATAAACCCCTAATTAACAGGGGACTAAACGCTACAAGAGATGATGGCTACGCACACCCGCTCGGGCCGCCCTGACATCTCATTTTCGCTTGCGTGCGCCTCGACGGGCCGCATGAGGGAGCAGCAACTCGCCGCAGATCAATCAACGATGATCACATCAGCATGGCCAGCCCGGTGTTACTTGCCGCTTCGAATCGAACGAGGCCTCTTGAAACAAGCAGCATCATTCCTGCGTTAAACAGCGGATGGTGTCATCGGAGCGGCCGCTGCAAACGGAACGCCGCTCGCTCCCCCTCGCGTGCACAAAGACGAAATCGGGGACGTGTGCGACCATGACCGGAAAGGTTTGCGTCGCATACGGGCCACTTCTGGACGTGTATGTGTGTCCACTGTCCAGCGCCCCGGGACGGAGCCGCACTCTCCCCCCCCCCCCCGGCCATGGATGATGGCAATAGAATCTGTGAACGCGTAACATTAGCTTCTGCGTCCAATTGATTGACCAGGACCAAGTTTTGACCCGCCCAACTTATCCTTATACTAATATGGATTCCATGATATGAGTCCGCATTTTTGTGACGTAAAATTAGTTATCAAGGGGCCGCAAAGCGCAGCCTAATGTTGGAGGTCACGCTTCAAACGCCAGGTGGTACGGTGCGCGGTAAGACGACTGGCGATGGGCGTTCTCGCTATGATAACTAGGGCTCCTTACAGATTTACATCACGTGGACTTTCATGCGCCTCATATTCCTAGTGATATTCGGATGTGACTCACCACCTGGGTAGCCCCAAGGTGCCGTCTTTAAAACCTATCTATACACCCTTACACTATTTGTTGTAAGATTTTTTATACATAACCGACCTATGTCCTCTACTTAGTCCTGGTTGAAAACCACAGAGATTTTAGTCAGGGCAAATGATTCAACCCTCTTCGTATCTAGCGATGATGGACCCGGGTTCCGCGAAGTCGTTTCTGATGGGGTTTCCCCCCCGGGACGGACGCCGCCATCCCCCTACCCCCCCCCCCCCCCCCCTCTCGGTCCAGAGCCCGGTTGTGCGAGACCCCGCCACCCCGGCTGGGTTCCTGGACCTTCAAACATGGGCCTTGTCCCCGAGCCCTGGCCTTTTACCCCTTCGGGCGGCCTTATCTACGGGCCGCTCAGCTTTGATCCCTGTGGGCCCTCTCTCTCCATCTTTTTGAACGACCCTGTCGTTTCAGGACGCAAAAGCTTAGTGGCAAGCTCTCGTCAGGTAGCATCAATGGCGAACCCCATCCATCAGCAAGGGCGGGAATAACTAAAAATTGAAAAAGAAGGACAGAACCGGCATAACCGTGTGATCCCGAACACTTTCCGTCACGACCCCCTGCTGCCGCTGACCAGACTCAACCAACCTACTATGTATATGGCCAGGCCAGGCCAGTCAGTCGGTTGCTCTCGCGCGCCAATACTCAGTATGAGGCCGAACTGCCCCAGCCTTCAGCCGCGTCTCCCAATTTCTGACCGTGTCCTGTTCCAGCGTCGTCACCAGTTGGGAGTGCCGAGATGGGTTTGCATCCCTGTCCCTGCACACTCACTGTCTGGGGTGGTGATATCTCAATGTTGTATCCAAGGTAGGTGCGGCAGACCAAAGCCTGTGCGCCGGTAGGAGACTTCAGGATGAGCCTGTCAGCTCGGCAAAACAAGGCGAGGCTTCCCAAGAAGCGCCCCTTTGACGCCGTTCATCTATACCAGAGTGAGCGGCGGCTCGTCGCCCTCCTTGATCAAACCATTGAATGGTTTCATTGTCAGGGCCACGTGCTCCATCGGCAAACGTTCCCCAGGGAGGACCAAAAAAGGTATACACCACCGTATCTGCGATTGGACTATCCAGGAGCCCGTCCCCTTACCTCCCCAAATGTGTTTGTGTACTCCGCACCAGATCCCTCCCATCGCTGAGCATCCTTGGCTCACGAGGGTGGAGTGGGGTGGTCTGAGGTGGTATGACATGGCTACTCGAGACGGGATCCAGATGGAAGCTTGAGAAAGATGTAAAAGGCTGGCCATCCGTGTCAGTTGGTCTGGCTGTCGTCCTGGCCATCTCTTCGTTCCTTACACTCTCTTCCCCGGCAGCCCAACCACCCCCTGAGGCCAACTCTTTGCTCGCCTTTCATCCCCCCGCTTGGCATCTCTTGCGTCTGTATCAGGTCTAGACCACTTGGAGGCACAACCCGGCGTATACCCGCCGTGAACCGCAGAAATGACCCAGTCTCACCTCGCCCAACTCCTCGACGGTAGGATGCGATCAGTCGTCATCTTTTCCCTCTCGCCAGAGGACAACAAGCCGCATCCCAAGCCTCAGCCTGACCCTCCGGTTCCCGTTCCTGCCAACCCGGATGACCGGCATGCCTAAGCTTGGGTTGTCGGGAACGCTAAAGGCCAGGCTATAAGATGCCTGGTCTTTGGTGAAAGACCTCGGTATCTACTCTTGTACTGGGTCTTGAGCTATGGCAGGGAAGAAAGTGTCGTCCGTATACTATGTATGGTTGAAGAATCCGAAGCAAGACAACATCGCAGGTGCTAAGACAGCAAGAAGCCGAGAAGCATGCTCTTGAACACGGCTTGTAACGGTCACACCTGGAACCAAATCCTGCGGTTCTACATCCATTCAGCGACCTCTGATCGGATTGCGCGGTGGTTTCCGCGTCGTCGACTAGAGGACGAACCAGAGAACCGCCTGGGGGCACGCCTGCCTTCATCGGAAGCTCGCTGAAACGCTCTGTTCTTTTTCTTCGTGAGCATTCTATCCAAGTCACCATTGCTGGGGGTCCACCTACGGATCTTTCAAGCCTCGGGGCTTGGCGGCAAACTCGTCTTCTATCCTCCGGGATCTTTTCGTATGGGCTTGGGGTGGATTAGGAGGACCACGCGCGGATTCTGGAAAAGTTTTTGATGTGCAGGAAATTGACCTCAACTCTAATTTTCTCGCCAAGCATGAGTAGATGGAATGGGTGGAATATGGGGCTTTGTGTTGTTTAATGGGCAGGTGATACTGGGAACAACAGCGACCAAAATGCGAAACAGGAACAATGATTGCTTTGTTGTCACTATAGACGGATACAAGAAAACAGCATTTCATAGAATAATAGTCTCATATACTGAAAGCTGATTACGGCAATGGCGGTGGCTTCCTTGCCCTTCATATGTATTCCCTTCCCATCCCACCTTTCATACGCGTTTCCATATTATCAATGACAAAATAATGCTGCTCAACTAGATTTGTGTTCTCCAGACACTAGTACTCCCAAAGACATACCTTCACAAGAGTGAATTTGATTGTCATGATGCTAAGAGAAAGTGAACCACCTTTGATTGTTCTGACTCACAATGTTGTGATTCTAAAACCAACGACTTTGACACCAATATGGTAATCACCAAGAGGATGATGTTGGAAAATCAACGTTGTTCTAGTTTGCATGCTGCTTCATCATAAGTCAAAACTCCCCAGCAACAATGAATGATATATCTGGCGACCTCTAAAGATAGATCTAAATGTTTTAACAACACTGGGCTCTTGACGGCATCTAGCTTATTGGGCTGCTTCCTAGGAGCCCGACTTCCCTTCAGAATCATCGACTTCCTTTCGAACACCTTTCCCAGTCCTTGCCCACTTGCAGCTTATGTCCATTGGTGACTTCCCTGGTCCCGATGACAGGTCTTCACCCGCACCCTCCACCCGGTGGCTCTGTTGGGGATCCTCTCTTCGCTCCTTCCCGTACCTCCACTTCTGAGCAGGCACCTTCCGTCCCAAGTGTTCCAGCACCAAAACAGCTCTCGCCTCCCAAAGGGCTTTTAGGTTCGGAAGGAATAGCAAAAGGGTCTCTTCTCTTCTTTTCTCACAACCCCCGGCCAAGCAGACCGTTCTCCATCTTCTTGCACCAACACATCACGCAGCCCAATCCCTCCCTCGCCAACTCGGCCTCAATTTGCTCACCTGTCCAGCTTTTGGAACACAGCCGTCCTGTTGCCAATACCAAAACTCTTGCAGTACTCTTTTTCTGTCGATCTGGTCTTTGTTGAGATCGCCCTTCCCGACAGGAATTGTATGCTTAGCACACTCGAGACAAGCCTGTTGTCGTCTCGGTCTGCTGATTCTGGTAAGCATCTTGCTTTCTATCACCTTGTCCCCGTTACCCATCCTGTCGAATCTTGTCCTTCATGCCTTTTCTGCCGAATAATCAGCCTACGGAGAGATTGCTCTTACTGCCTTTATCTTCCAACGTTCACAACTTGTCCTTAGCATCCACTGCAATGAATCAAAGAGCTTTGATGTATTGATTGCCCATGAAGCCATGGTCCTTGTCTTGGCTGTTGTTTTTGTACTCGCACAGATATATAATCAGTTCTATCCAGTATTGTACTGACTTCATCTCAATGTTGACAGCCAAGCCTCACTTCCTGGGTGACAGTTTTGTCGATATGCTCGTCCAAATAGCCCCCATGGATTCGACTCACTACAGCATCACTCAGCTGCTCGCCATTCGTGGCTCCAAGCTACAGACCTCACTCGAGCGGAAGCTTCTTGATGAGTCCAAGGGCAACCCTGTCTTGAGTAAGTTGACATTCATGACTTGATCCATTTCTCGAGTAAAATATACTGACTTTGTCTTCCAGTGGATATCCTGCGTCAGAAGCATCTTGGTCGCAATCGAAGACTCCCATTTCTTCCCAGAAACAACATGGAGCTCCGAAAGTCTTTCTCAACCGAATCTGAGGGCCACGACCAGATCAAACCTCAAGCTCCCCAGATCACTGCTCCGGTTCGCGACAAGACCACTCGTCAAACTGTTCGCCATACCGTCGGAGATGTTAGTCAGCTTGACGGGCAAGCCGGTCGTCAGCTTGATGGACAAGATGCCGAACCCGATATACCACCCGAGGCACCTCAGCGACCTGTGCTCCCCGATCAGAAACGAAAGGGATTCGAACAGTTTTACGAAGCTGTACGATCTCCTACCCATGTTCGCGTTACTGCTGGCGGCAGAATTGTTCCCAACACTCTCGAAGCCTCCCACTCATCCCCTACTGGCAAGGGTAACAGGGAAAGACTTGTCGGAGATGTCAATGGCGCTCAGCTACCGTTGGGGCAGACCTTCAATGGCAATCCATTCTTGCCTGGTCCCCCATTGATGGGCCCTATGCATCCTACCATGCACTCTGCCTTCTCGATGATGACAACAGGACCCAGCCCGATGTCTCCTTTTGGAGGGTTCGCCATGCCGCCCTTCGCTCTTCCGCAAATTCCTTCCCAGACAGCCTTCTCCCATCCGACCGGTGTTGGAAATCCTGCAGGAAACCTGGAAGACAATAAAGAGCATGAGAACAGTGCTGCTCCCACCAGCGCTCCGCTGCCTATGCCCCCTCTTGGCGGTCAGTGGTTTATTCCGCCTCATTCCATGATGCCGATGGGAATGCCGTTCCCTGGTGGTCCAATAATGCCGATGGCATTCAACCCCATGGGCCAGCCGATGCTGTACCCGCAGCCTCTTCAACCAGTCCCGGCAACTGGCGTCAGGTCCTTCTCGCCGGCTGTGCAGACCGAAGGCTGTCCTGCCTCGTCTATTCGGCCTAGCATCATCACAAAGAACCAGCTTGCGGGTCTCCGTTCCAGTCTCAAGAAAGCAGAGGCCCAGCTGGCGTACAACCGTCACCAGATTGACGAGAAGCATATGGAGGAGTATGCTCGCCAGCTTCGTTCTGACATCGAACATTTTGAGATCAAGCTGAAGGGCGAGCTTGCGCTCGAAGACAACACTCTGCCCCAGCGAAATGACATGAAGGACAAGAGCGACTCCAACGTTTCCAAGGCATCAAAGTTTGCCACAGATTCTTGCAAGATACTCCTCTCTTCGACAGTTGATTCTGAGAGTATCAACGAGACGGTCGGCAACGCTACTGCGAAGACAACAACAGAGGAGCAGAAGGCCTCCAAATCTCGCAAGAGGGACAGAGTTCGTCTCGCGGTGGATACTTCTATGGCATCTGCCCCTTTCATCAACAACAACATATTCGCTACCATCTCCCCGGTGCCATTTGATCCTAACGGGCAGCAACAGCAACAAGAGTCGGATCATGTGCGCAAGCCCTCCACTGGCCTTCCTGTGTCTGCTGCTCGGGCACCTGTCTTCCAGCCCCGTTTGGATCTTCACCGCCCCAGCGAGAATACACCTCCCGTCTCTGCACTCATGAATGGAGAGCAGGACACACGTGGAACCCGGTTCCACGGGCCCATTCCCACCAATTTTGAGGAGTCTCGGCTTCTGTCCTCCATCGCCCCTCCCACGCCTGCCCATGACATGGAGGGGTTCTCCAACTTTGCCCGCGACAATGCTGGCCTGGGACTGCCGTACCTTATCGGCGAGATACCTTTCGGAATGGATCCTAGCCCTGACCTGAGGGATTACATCTACCATCGGCCTCTTAACCAGGATGAAGAGATGGCCAAGCACCTCTTCTGGACCAATGCCCCTGAACACTTGCGCCAAAAGTTTCCAAAGTTTAATGGAAAGGACTTTTACCCTGTCTCTCCTGAGAAGATGCCTCGCCCCAGCATCATCAGCTCTAACTTGCCCACCGGTCGACCCGAGCAAGACTTTGGCTTCACACCGCCCACGGTGGACTTGGATCCTTTCGCTCCCTTGGAACCCTACCGTGGGGACTTGCTTCGGAAGCCGACACTCAAGGAGAAAGAATCGAGAGATATGAAAAGGGATACCAAATCGGACAACGTGACCTCGCCCATGAAGCGTCGCAGTAAACTGCGACCTGTCGCCTACTTCAACAGTCAGGGTCTTGATGAGTCTAAGCAAAGCTCTGGCTCTTCCGAGAATGTCGAAACAGACTCCGAGAGGGCTTACTTCAACTCTTGGTCAGTGGCTTCCTTCATCGCTGGCTGTTTATCAATCATGCTAACTATTCAGTGTGCGTACCTGGTCGGAGAGAGTGACGGCGGCAGCGACTGCACTTCCTGGTGCGGTCACATCAGAGAATGCCCTTGGCTATCTTCCACAGTACGCCATTGGCAATGCCGCAGCTTCGCTGTCGCCTGCCATTGCCAAGGCTGCCAATCAGTCCAAATAAGATGTCAACTCCGGAACTACCTGACATCTGTTACACCTGTATGATTACGAATTTGCGTTCCCAACACTTGTACAGATTACGTCGAGACGGCTCATGGCATGGCAACCTCCGATACCATGGCATTAATTTCGAATATTCAAGGAGCGTGCGACGTCAAGCTTTAGATGGTCGTTCTCGAGACACACTTCGTGCATTTCATCCTTGATACATGGTCTTTTTATGCGAGGTGGGAAATGGGTGGTATGAACAGGATTAGTTAGGTTCTCAAAAGCATTAATGATCAAACTTTGACTTAGACGGACGTGAACGGATCATGTTCTGTGACTATGAAGTGGCCAATAAAACCTTTTATTTAATCTTGTATTAATATTCTTACTAAGACGAGGACATTAGGCGGAAGATGCATGTACCTCACCATCAAATTTCCAGCCTCATGGACAAAGCTCGGTGAAAATCTTCGGGCGAGAGTGGGAGAGGTCATTCCGATTGGAAAGCCTCCCCACCGGTTTACTCTTCGCCAGTCGTATACCTCGAAAACCATGGACTCGTGGTTGACGCGGAGATATACTAGCGGGACTCATTGATCTACGATGGACCTACCGTAGGGGAGAACATTGCAATTTCAAAGGGAGCATTTGTCCTCAAGGGGCCACGGGAGGCGGCAGCAGCAATTAGCATGGTCACGAATGGTGTAGCAAAAGGCAGTCAGCAACCCCGAGCCTGAGGAGGTTCGGGGTTGAAGATGACTTCGGGAGGACCTCCCATGGAGCATCTCACGGGTTGCAATCGTGAGGCGGCCATTGAGAAAATGAAATTTCTCGATTGGATTTTCTAGAACTTTTTTGCTTTTTAGCCTTGTGATTTCCCTCGTTGTCCTTTTGTTGTTCCCTTTCCGGGGCAAATGAGAGATTTGCCGTTTGCCCAAAAAACGCGTCGAGGTCTGTCGTGGAAGAAAACGCCGTCGTCGGAGATGGATATCATGAAAATTGGTATACCCAGCCGTTTTGTACCCCTTTTTGTAATTTCCTTGAACTGCCGCTGTTTTGGATGGGTCGGGGCAGGACTTGTCGTCTCACGTCTCCCCTCTCTTCCGTGAGAAAGGCTTTCCAGCCCGTCACTCAAGAGGACAGCTCATGCCGACCGGGCTCTTTCCGAGTGTGTGGAAGAGGGAAATTTAGGCGGTGGCCTTGCTCTTGACGCGGAGCTCACGGCCGACCTTGATGCGCTCAAGGATGGACTCGCGGTCCTTGTCGATCTTGAGCTTGGTAATGACGACGTTGGAGGGGTGGATGCCAAGAGGGACGGACTGGCCGTTGGTCTTCTCGCGGGTGACGCGCTCGACGTGGATGACGTACTTGAGGCGGTAGACGGAGGTGACCTTGCCCTCACGGCCCTTGTTGGCGCCACGGACGATGGTGACCTCGTCGTCCTTGCGCACGGGGATGGAGCGGACCTTTGTGGAGTGTTAGACGGTTTGGTTCTGATCTCGGCGCAGCGCAGGGCCGACGGGAAGTCGGGCGTGCAGTTTCAGACTTACGTTGTACTTCTCGCGGAGCTCCTTGGAGAGGGGCGCGCTCATGATGACACGACGGGTGCTGGAGGGGGCACCGAAGTGGGCAGCGCGGGACTTGCGGCGCGAGGACGCGACCACTAGGGAGAAAGAGTCAGCAATGGGCTTCAATTGAGACCGGTGATTGTTATCATCATCACCATCGTCGGGAGAGGTAACGTACTCTTGTTAACCTTGGTCATTTTGGCTAGGGCGTTAGTACGAACGTCGTTGGTTGAGGGGAGTGAGAGAGTTGAGGTCGTCGCAAGTCAGGGGAAAAAAGAGACCAAAATTATCTACCAAACGGCAGGAAAAAAAAGAGTTTTGGGTGGGTGGGTGGTGCCTGCGCCGTTCGAATTTTTTGGTGGAGAGACACGTGATTTAGGTCTGGACTACCCAGCTGTGTAAAAGCAGCTTAGTTTACCTCCGGATGGTCGGCCGAGACAAACGAGTGTGGATAACGCGATAAGATAAGAACTGGGTCAGTTGCAGCATCGAAAACCGAAACATTGCTATGCTCTGTAGCACTTTGTGCTTCGACTGGTCACTTACTCTCAAGCTATGGATAGTTCGGGGTTCAAACGCCCGTCCCATATTGTAAGAGACCGAGCAGCTGTCGTTTTGAACATTTGTTATCCCCCTTTCCCGAGAAAGAAGAAAAAAAGAGGGGGGGGGAAGATTCCGTGAAGATGTCAGACCCTTTAGAATGATTGAGCAAACTGCTCCTTTATGATATGCTTTGATCGGGAGAACGTAGCGCTGCTCCGGAGCGGCAGTAATATATTTGAGCACAGTGAGTATATTTGAACGCGCTCCCAGCCTCATGAGCCTTTGCTGCAGCCTACTTTTCGTAATCCTTGCTGCTATTATACATGCGTCCTTTCTTCAGGCCTTCAACAACGTCAACGGCAACCAACCCCAGTAACCGAAGTACAGCGCGTACGGATGTATCAGTCGGCCGGATGCCTGGCCATCAGGAGTCACTCCGTGCATCTAACCGCAGCTCGACTTATATCCTGCCAAGTTCAATAGCTCTTTTGAACGCCTGGTGATATGCTGTGCCCCCCCCCCCCCCCCCCCCCCCCAGGGTATTGGCAGAATAGTTACCGCCCGGGTTCCCACAAATCACCAACTACTCGGGTTCGGACTGGTTTTTGAATGATTTTATCTCTGAAAGCCCTACGTAGCCGATGTGGTTCAGGTAGACCCGGAGTGCAAGCGGACGGTCCACTGAAAACCCTACGTATTAGATAAAGTTTATAACCACCCTTATAGGAGGCAGAATATGTGGGTGTAGACTTAAGCGCCATGACGCAGAGCGCTCTGCGTTCGTCCAAGGACACGTGTCGCTAGGGGCTAAGCGGTTGTCATGCACAGACACACATTGAGGACTGTGGCCTGCGTCTTATAAACCAAAGATAAAAGACTATATACTAGTTTAACACAATCCGAGCACGGAGAACTAAGCAACGCAGGTACGATGGATTTCATACAATCAAAAAAAATATCGGTGAAACATGCCGGAGTGGGGAATGCGGTGTACGGCAAGGTCGAGTCTCGTCCTCGGACAGAGGCTCTGTCTATCTCCTTAGGCCATAGGCGAAGGCGCTTTGAACTTGCCATTGTCGTCGTACTTGGCCTCTGCATAGAATCGTCAGCAATTTGGCCTCCATCCGGAGCACAGCGAGAAGAAAAACTTAGAGGACTTACTAAAGAACGTGTAATTCAACGTCACGGTTTCGATACCCTTCATGTTGACGTCGTTCACCATGTCCGGATCTAGGTAGAAGAAGACAGGCATGTCGACCGTCTCGCCCGCGTTCAGCCGCTGCTCCTCGAAGCAGAAGCACTGGATCTTGCTGAAGTACGGCGCCACCTGGCCCGGGGTCACGCTGTAGGTGGCGACGCCGATGATGTCCGTGTCCGAGTTGTTGGTGGCCGTGTAGAAGGCCAGCGCCGTCTCGCCGGGGAGCACGCGTACCTCGCGCTGCTGCGGGGTGAACTTCCAGGGCAGCACGTCCGAGACGGAGGAGTTGAAGGTGACGCGGATGCGCTGGGCCGAGGTCACGGGCACCAGGCGCGAGGCGAGGCCGTCCCCGCTATAGTCGACATCGGGGCCGTGGGCGCGGACGGGCTGGCCGCCCCAGCCTGTTGTTTGACAAATCTGGTATGTTCCGTTAGCCGGAGGCACTCGGTGTGCGAGGAGGGGAGGGAGACGAAACCATCTTGTAGAGAGGCACAGAGCCGTACGACAGGGCCACCGTCCCGAGAATGACGCTGAGAACGTAGTATCTGCGCGTCGACCTGCTTAGCCCACCGAATCCCCAATTCCAGTTGTTTTCTCTTGGATGTCTCCTTACGCTGTTGACGCATTCTTTTTTCTATAATGCGCGTGCACCTGCTCCATTGACGGCGCGCCGCCGAAGCTGGGACCCGTCTGCTTGGGTGGTGTCGTCGAGGCCGCTCGGCGGATGGCAGGCGCTCGGATGTTGATGCGCGGCGCAGGACGAACGGCGTGCTGGCAGAAGAAGCAGCTCCATTTCTGCGTCGACTGCGGCGAAGCGTGTCGCGGGAGGCGAGAGAGGGTATTCATGATCATGGACGGCGGCGGCGTGTGAGGGAGGATATGTCGAGGAAGCTTGGGTTGCTCGATGTCGCGCCACAATCCTCCCTTCCGGTCTTCATCGGGATTTGGGTACCTAGGTAGTCTAGCTCTGGTCACTGTACAACGCGGGCGGACACCAATCGCCCGGGGTGGTTGTTCCGCCATGTGCGGTGACTCTAGTGGTTTTAGGGGCCCAGGCGTTGGAGGACCCAGCAGAGACCCCGCTGAAGCTCCTGCTTCTACGGGAAGTGAGGACCAAGCAAGGAGACGATGCATTTTCGCAGGGATAGCATTTATTAGTTCTTCGCTAGTTAGGTGATTTGCAAATAAATACTTTGTGCACTTCCGCTTCTTCCATATCCCGATAACAGCACACTGCATTCTCTCACTCTACGCGGCTTTGACATTCTTCAGCCTCCTCGCACGGGGGTATATCGCCCTCTCGGCCACGCCCACAACCCTCTCCAGCACTCTGATGACAAAAACCTGAATGCTAAGTATAACTAGTCGCACAAAGAGATCGGCGAGGCCAAGAGAGGGTTTCCTTCCGCGACTGTAGGTTGAGTCCACGAACTGGAAAGGCAGCTTGGCATAGAGGTGATCTTGAGCAGCATGCAGTCCACTGCTAAAACCGTCCTCATGGAAGCCGTACTTCGTCCATGCACCAGCATAACTGATACCTCGCTTGTTCTGTATACGAGGCAAAAGCTTTTGAGCACGAACGGCAGCGGGCGTGTAAAGGGGGTGGCGGTAGGTGAAGGAGGCTTGGATCGTGTCTGGGTTCGGCTGGTGCAGAGGGTTCATCGTAACGAGGACGTCACCGAACGTTTCGCGAGGGATGTGCTGGAGAATGTTCATGTTGTAGGTAAGAGAGACTTGGTCGATGTTCTGCTTGCCGGTCGAAGGTGAGGAGAGGGTAAGGTAGTTCCAGCTGGACCACGCCTTTTCAGAAGCCGGCATCAGCGAGAGATCGGAGTGGAGAATGACTGTGTTCTCCGAGGTTTGAAACGCCGAGAGGATGTCCTTCTCTTCGCGCGTAGCCGATCCTTCAATGATCTTGAGAGCCTGGTCTCCATGTGTTGCCAGGATGACATGGTCGTAGACATCTGACTTGCCATTGTGAGCGTGCACTCGCACTCTGCCATCCTCCTCACTCGTGACCTGTGTAACTTGCGTGTTGAGGAATAGGTGATTAGAAGGGAAGCCGTTCATGACAGCATCAATGTACGACTTGCCGCACTTCTTGAGAGTGAGCCACTGGGGTCTTGTAGAAACCGTCGACAGGAGATGGTGATTCCACCTGTTTCCAGTCAGTATTGTTTCCCGTTCGCGCGGCGTGCCAGCACTTACATGAAACGGACGAGGGTGACGGCCGGGAAGTCCAAAGTGCACTTGTCCGGGCTTGTGCTCCACACGGCGGCAGTCATAGGAATGAGATAATCGTCCCTGAAGGCATCAGAATAGCCTTCACGTTCCAGATACTCTCCGATCGTTTCTTCCCTCTCGGCTCCTTTACTGTCGCCATTCATAGCGGCAGCGTCGTTCTCGTCGTCATCGGCCATCAGCAGGTCCAAGGCGAACTGGTTGAAGCGTATGATGTCAAAGATCATGCGCCACATCCGAGGTGAAAAGATGTTTTTTCTTTGGGCGAAGACAGCATCCAAGCTGGTGCCAGCCCATTCGAACAAGCCATGATCTCGAGTGACACCGAATGTCATCTCAGTCGGCACCGTGTCCACCTTGACCCTCTTGAGGAAGTTGATGAAATTTGCTGGAGGTCATGTGAGTGCGAGTCTGATGAGGATCAACGAGGCTAGACTCACGATATGTTGCCGTGTTGAGAACGATGAAACCGGTATCTACAATGGTCTCGTATTTTCCATTTTTCCAAGTTGCGGTGTTAGTATGACCGCCAAGCCTCGATGAGGCCTCATACATGTAGACATCATGGTAGCTTCGGTTCAGCGCCCAGAGAGCAGCGATGCCGGCGCATCCACTGCCGACAACTGCGACCTTCTTCCTAAACTTGACGTCAATGGGAGATCCTACAGAGACGACGGAATCCAACGAGGGTGTACGAGGCATTGTTGAAGCAAGAAGCTGGACAAAGGAGGTGTAGTATTGGAAAAGCCTCGGATGTGTGTCGCGCGCGCGCGTTGGGGTACGAACTTGGGGTCGCATATATAAAGCGGCAGCAGGAAGAAGAATTAGGGAGGCCGGTAGTGGCTTGTGTCTTGACGTGACGGCAAGAACGGGCAGTTTAGGTGCAAGCCACGGACGACGTTTTGGGGAAAGAAGAATGACTTGCACATGTTGCACATGCCGCAACGGCCAAGCCCCTTCAACTGTACTTGAACACGACAATCGGCGGGTCAAAGTATCAAGTCTGCGCTGGTGACATGGGGAAGTGACATGTCGAGTATTGTCAGACCAGAGCACCCACCTAGCGCTGCAACTTACAAGTAGCGGACGGGTTCGATGGAGGTGGCAGTGATGGATAGCCCACCCAGCACTGGCGCTGGCCAGGTGCTGTGCGTACACGTGTGAAGGTGGAGAGACGGCAGTGGGACAGCGAGTAAATGGAGACGAATACGAAGCCAGATGAGAGACAGGTGGACGCGAAAAACAAAAACTTACAGCGGCTGACCGGGTGGCATCTTGGCTTCTCGTCCTTGGGCGTATGGTGATAGGAAGCTCCAAAGTCAAAAGGGGTTAACGCGGGGCTGCCGCTCAGTGCGGAATGGAGGAGACGCGAAAACCTTAGATGTTTTCTTGGGATAAGTTCTGCAGCGCAGACAGCATCACAGACGGGAAGGAGGTCTGTTGGTTGGGAGGGATGTCGACAGGAGTCGCGCAGATCACGATGCGATGAAACGAAATTCAGCTCAGCCTCTCTGCCGGACTTCCCACACGCCATGACGCTTGCATTGACCACCCCTGCAGTTTGTCAGTTTCCCCAAGGTGGATTCCGCCCGATGGCTGAAGACTCACGATCTGGGCGCCACAGTGGCTGGCCGAGGTTTTGTTGAGTGAAAGAGGCTGAGAGGTTGCAACATCCGCTCCGCTGCACTATTACAATGTAGGCATTGTTTGTGGGTTTGTTTTTTTTTTTTTTTTTTCGTGGAGGACGAGGTGCGGGTTGGAAGAAATATAGTTGGTTCTAGAGTATGGCAATGCGAGGACCAAACCTGCCAGCCATTCTCGAGAAACCTCACAAAGTGCGTCACGAAAAACACCGATACACAGACAGCTCTAATGGCTCCGTATCACGAGTTCTGCTGGAATCTTGTTCATGGCCGGACTGATCCTCTGGGCAATCGCCATGTCAAATTCACCGTTGCTTAAACCATGACCATTTCCATTCAACAGCGGATGTCGATTCACAACGGCGTAATAAATGAAAACTTCTTCCTCACTACCAGAGACAAGCTCCAATAAGCAACGAAAAAGAGATAAAAAGCCTGTCAGACGTCCATCGACACCCACCCCGACCATGCGCCCGAAGGCAAGACCACAATCGGGGACGAGATCATCACCGCCCTCTATACAGCAAAAGACAAAGTCCATATGCCGCCTTCCTGACGGAAAGTGCGAGGGCAACCAGAGTTCTTCACTCTAGGGTGTCGAGGATATCAATCATCAACCAGGGTGGGATCTGTGGCTCCTTTAGGGAACCAAGAGAAGGTCGAATACTATAGAAATGATTCTCTGAAGTATTGTCGACATGAAGAAAAAAGAAGAAGAAGATCCTAAGATGCGCGGTGGGAAGGTGCCCTTATATAGATTTCTGGCTGGGCAGGTCATCGTGCACGGGCCATAGGCCGCTTGGGTAGGTTTTCGTGAGATTTCTGCCTAAGGTGGGCACCGACTGGATGAAAATTTCGACAAATGGCTGGTCACCGCCTGGCAGGGTGCCCTTTTTGCCGGTTTTCGATGAGGGAAGGGTCCAACGTGAAGGCTTCCTTCTTCAAGCCAGTTTTTGCAGTCGCTACTTTTCATTTCAGAGATTTAGTGTGACCATTCGGTGAAAAACGTATTGGTATTCACCTCTCATTTTTAAAACTGTAGATACCTACTTTCCTATAGCCCGACTGGCAGCGCTTCGGGTGGACGGCTTTACAGCACTGCTGAGGTTCCCAGAGCTCACACGTAAACACATGCAAAATTGCTCGGACGCGTAGCCAAACGAGGGACGCGTCAGGCAACCATCCGGCAATATCCGCGGAAAACTCTGATGGCTGGGTCTTTGACGCCCTTAGCGGGCAACGAACATATTGTCTGTCTGTGGCACTGCTTGTTTTGGCAGCGGAGTGGAACTCGTACCAAGCCGTCTGGACTTGACGAGCACTATAGTATAGACACACTCTTAGCGAGGCAGGTCTGATTCAACTCCAGCCCAGCCTCATGGGGGCAACATGATCTTACGACGACGCGCAAATCCGGCATACGCGCTTATCCTATGAGGGAGAAAATCAGGCAGGATTAACTGCTTCCCCACATGCGTCTAAGTCAAGCAAGTTTTATGCCATCGCCCTAAGGGCTAGACAGCGTTGTTTCCCAGTCACAAACATGCCTTTCAGGACGAAAATATGTCGTACACTCAACGGGATCGGAAAACGGTGGTTCGAGTTTCCAATTCTTAAAAGCGCCGTGACGTTTATTCAACGCCATCAGTCTGCCCAGCTTAAGTTCAACTCAGCGTCCAAGTGGAAGGAGGCATAGAAGTGTCTCCCTCCCTGGCGACGCAGAGCCGGTTTTCTTCTAGAGCCGGGGTAAATAATCAACTTGAAGAAAAAAAAAGAGAGGAGAAGAAAACGAAGTTTTGCGCAGCGCGAGCTCTCATAAAAGGACTGCGACAGGAAGCGGGCTGCAGGCGCTGGGACCATGTAAGTCACGTGCCTTATGGAGAAGGTGCCTGGAGAGAAGTTCCCACTCAGGGGGTCAGTGGCTGGAGCCTAGCGTCCGGTTGCCTCAGATTGGGGCACCAGCCACTCGGGAGCATGATGTCGCCAAGGCCGGTCCTAACTTACGCAGACGTACACTACCTACGACGACGACATGCGACTAAGCCGAACCAGCCGCATCTAGACCGTTTCCGGATTTCTCACCTTTACGACCTGCAATCCACCTACGAACCTGCATTGACGACCATCGAGAAACGACGAACACCTTCTTTCTCATTCAAATAACGAGCTAAACAGGAGGCCGTTCCACCTACCCCATCATCCCCTTTCGCCCCCCACAAGACGAGCACGAAAACAAACCAACCGCCACCATGTCAAACCCACTCGACACCGAGCCTGGCTCCGAGCGCTTCAGCGACTACGAAGCGGAGCTGAAGCTCGTACAGGCCGACCTCGTCCAGAAGCTCGACCAGATTCCCGAATTGACGGGCGAGCCGCGCAAGGCGGCCCTCTCGTCCGCCGAGCGCGCCCTCGAGGAGGCCGACGAGCTGCTCGCCCAGATGCGCCTCGAGAAGGCCAACATCCCCACCACCCTGCGCTCCAAGATCAACGCCCGCTTCCGCAACCACGAGTCCAACATTGACGGCCACAAGCGCAAGCTGCGCTCCCTTGCCGACGACCGCGCCGCCCTCTTCGGCGCCCGCTACACCGACAACCCCTCGGGCAGCGGCCAGGACGTCCAGCTCGAGCAGCGCCAGCAGCTGCTCTCGGGCACTGACCGGCTCGACAGGTCCACCCAGCGACTCAAGGCCAGCCAGGCCCTCGCCAACGAGACTGAGGGCATCGGCGCCAGCATCCTCGGGGACCTGCACACCCAGCGCGAGACCATCCAGCACACCCACGACCGTCTGCTCGAGAGCGAGGGATACGTGGACCGCAGCGTCAAGACGTTGCGGGGGATGGCACGTAGGTAAATACCGGCCCCTTACACCCCGTCAGACTGTGAAGAAGACGACAGTAAATAGGCTAACGTCGTGCAAGGATGGCTACCAATCGGGTGATCACCATCTCCATCATCACCATACTGGTTCTCCTCATCATGGCCGTCATTTACAGCAAGTTCAGATAGAGGGCACGCAGCGAGGAGCGGTAGCAGACAGAAAGCCCTTCGGGAGTGCCGGTTCCGGAGTTTTGGGTTGTATAAGGGTTCCATCATGATGTACTTGTGTTTTGTTTGCTTTGTTATCTCCTCTTCTTTCCATCAGGGGAGCTGCGGGAGAGTGCTTGGTTGCTGTCTTTCATGCAAAGAAAGTGGCCTCAGGTGCAATGTTAATTGACGAGTGGGAAAAAGCCCCTGGTCTGGGTTTGAAGCCGGCAGAGAGTCGAGACAGGGACGTGTTAAATCGACCCCGCCATGACTGCCGTCCCTAATGCATATACGTATTCCAGTCAATCGTTGTAAATACCAATTTCTTTTTTTCTTCTCTATTGACCGTACCCGACAAAGACGCCGACATTTTGAGACCCTTTCCCTTTCAACTCGGGGTCGCTTTTAACCTCATTGAATGGGTATAATCACACTAAAACATCATGAAAACCCACAAACATCCGACAACAGCTTATCTGCGTCCACCTCCTCTCCGGCCCTTGTTGACACCTCCGCCCGACGTGGGCCCTCCCCGTCTGCGGTCCTCGCCGAGGCCCTTGCGGCCAGCGGCGATACCACCCTTGCCCCCCCGAGCGCCACCACGGCCGCCATCGCGTCCGCCGCGGAAGGGCTTGCCACCGCCTCGGGTTTTGTTGACCTGGGCCTTGACAGCAGCAGCATCGCCATCGTTCAGGTCCTCCATCTCGTCATCGTCCTGTCCACGCTTGTTGCTGAACTTGAGTTTGCCGCGGAGACCCCGCTTGGCGACGTCCTTGCCCTTGAGCGCGGCAACGTAAGCGTTGACGCCGGAGCCGTCGTTCTCGGCGCCGTCGACTTCCATCGCCTCGTCGTCGTCCTTGCCGAGGACAAGCTTGCCATCGAGATCGGTACGGGCCTTGGTCTTGGTGGGCTTGCGCATCTTGACGGGCTTGGTGGATGAAATGTTGGCCAGAGCGTTGCGGTCGAGCAGGTCCAACGGCTCGTCCTCGTCTTCAACGATGTACGTGTTGCCGCCCTTCCTGCCAGCGCGCTTGCCCCTGAGGCCTGCGGGCGCGCCTTCGTCGTCGGACTCGTCGGAGCCGTCCGAGTCGCTGCTGTAGAGAGCCTGGTCCAGCTCGTTGTCGAACCTGCGTCCCTGGCGGCCATCTTCCTCGTCACTGTCCTCGCCGGCCTGCTTGGCTGCCTCCTTCTTCTTCTTGCTGCGCTCCTTGGTCTTGCGGATGTTGACCATAAGCTTCCTGTCGCTTTCAGGGCAGTTCTTGTTGACGAGATCGAACCCGAACTTGCGTATCATGCGCTCCAGGATGTGCCTGACCTTGCTCTTGAAGTGACCCTTGTGCTCGTGGCTCCAAATGATGAGGTTGGGAACAAGAGAAGACAAGCGAGGGATCACGAGTTCCGAGGGGAGACTGACAACGCAGATCTTGACAAAGCCCAAGACACTCTTGACAATCTCGCGGTTGTTGGAGGTCAGGAAGATATCCATCGTCTGAACAAGGTCGGCCAGAATCTGCGTGCTCAAGGACCTTCTAAACTCGTAGAGCACGCGGCTAAGGGCGGTGATGGACGCTGAGATCATGTGGGGAGTACTGCCGACAAGACCAGCGCTAACCATGGTGAGGAACTCCTCAAGGTTGGCCTTACCGGCAGGCGCATCCGCAGGCATGTGAGGGACCTTGGAATTATCAATGGGAGCGCCGTTCGCAGCTTCCATGCGGTGGCCTATCTGGACAAGGAGATCATACGCGGCCTCTCGTGCGCGCTCGTTGTTCTCCTTGCAGCAGATGACGACCTCGCTGAGGATGGAGGGGATGAAGTGAAGAGAGGTATCGGGAATGTAGGGGAGGAGGGCAGACAAGGCGCCCAGACGCTCTCTACGAGCAGGGGCAGACACCTTGTCAGCGCTCGTAAGGAACATCTGCTGCAGTTCTTCGATGCGCGCCTCGAGTGCCAACTTCCCGGTTTCGGACTCGGCAAGACGGGGAACCAGCTTGTAGGCCTTCTTTTGCAGCTGCGGCTCGTTCTCCCTGAAGATGACGATGGCGGCGATCTCGAATAGGGCCGTGTAGCTCTCTCGGGGCAGGTAAACGGAAATCGTGATGACCAGGTCCATCAGAGTGTTGCTTGTTGGAGGCATCGCGTTCTGCTTTTGTTGCTGCTTGGGCTTCTCCTGGCCAGCAGTTTGCTGCAGTTCCGCTGCAAGCATCTTGCTGACCCGGTCGAAGGTGTCGATAAGCTCGTTTTCAGGGGTGACGCTAAGGAAAGCATTAATTGTGAGGAGGATGGGGCCTCTTGATTGGGGCAATGTCTGAGTGTAAACGTTGAACAGAACAGCAAGCATGTTACCAGCAAAGCTGCCTAAGTGCTTGAGGTTCTCCTTCGCAGTGGCTCTGGAGACACGGCTTTGAAGCACCAGGTCCTCCTCGCCGTCATCTTCAATAGAGGCAATAGCCTGGTTGGACTCGATGAGGATCCTAAGAGCACGGCAAACCTCCAGACGCAGCTCAACTTGCTTGTACAGAATATTTGCGAGAAGCTCAGCGAAGGACTGGTCGAAAGCCTCAGTCACATCAAGCGGGAGATCGCAGTAGCCAGGCAAAGTTGCCCAAATCTGCTGAACAAGAGTCTCGAAGATCTTGACCTCCATGGTCTTCTCTGCCTTGCCGTGATCCAACACCCGTTGGAACATGAGCTCACTAAGGGGCACCATCTCTTGACGGAAGTGAGCAAGGTTGGTGTTGCTGAGATAGTCACGCAGAATGGGAAACATCCAAGCGCGACCCTGTTGACCCTTGGCTGGCTTGGCAAGGTTCAAAGGCAGGATAGACAGGACGGCCTCGGGTCCCATAGCACGAATAGCCTTTCCGATGACTTCGTCGGCCTCCTTCTTGCCCTGGAACGAGTTGCTACCGCGGAGCTCTCCGACGGCCTTGGTGATGTTGAGCATCATCGGATGCGCTCGCCACCTCAAGGAGTCGAACATGGCTCCAAAAACGTTGAAACTCTCCATCCAAGCCTGTTGGTACTTGACACTAAGCAGAGATTCGGCAATCTTGGCGATCTTGTCCAGTGTCTTCTCGTCGTAGACAGACGGCTCAAGGATGACCTGCTTAGGAATGCAGTTCGCCATGAAAGAAACCAAACACTCGGAAGCGGAGATTCGGATGTTGTGGGCGGGCGACTCCAGGTACTGGGCAACCATGGAGAAGATCTCGGGCAGATTCTGGAAAACATCCTCGGGCTCGATTTGTGCGGAAACGTCGTATCCTCTCGACAGAATCGCCAGCCATGGAGGAATCAGCTGTGTGTCGTTCGCGGCGGGCCGCAGCTCGGAAATAATCTCCATAAGTCGGGGGAGCTTGGCGGAGGCGACCTCATCGGCCATACCCTCAAAAATCATTTCAAAAATTTCGAAACTAGCCACCGTCATATACTCGTTGCCCGATCTCGAAATTGCGAGCAACAGCTCGCACAAAGATTCGATTTTCTTGCTAGGCCAGCCTCCACTGGCAGAGGCAATGGTCTTGATGAGCTGGAGGGCATGGATCAAGGCGGGATCGTGCGCCGACTCGTCTCCCTTCTGCTTCCTCGCTTGCGCAGCCTTGCCAGCGATATCCTCGAGGTTGGCCAGAGCGGTGTGGGCGCACATGTCGGCAGCCGGGTGGTCGAGCGAGGGACTCGGGGGAGGGTTCTTGAGGACATTTCGCAGCGCTTCTTGAGCCCTCTTCCGGATCTTGGGGCGATGCTCGAGGGAGAGGTTCAGCAGACCGGCAACGGCTCTGCGAGGGCCGACCTGGGTCACGCCGAGCTCCCAAGCAGCAGCGTCTTGTGCCAAGAGGAGGGACTCGAGACATCCGATGGAAGATCGCAGGACAAGTGCTTCGGCATCTTGCTGGAGGAGCACGGGGGCGAGCGAGGTGAGAATCTGAGTGAACTTGGCGCGAAGAATAGGCTGGGGCGCAAACGGGGTGACGATGTCGAGGAGGTAGACGACTGACGTGGTTGTGTCGGAGCTGACGTTGCCGCTGTCGACAGCCTGGGTGAGGAGGCCGAGAAGGGCGGCAAAGTAGCCGGTCGGCGTGGGCTGGGTGTTCTGCTCCTTCAACGTTGTGTCGACCGCTTCGAGGACTACCGCCGTCTACCGACAGTGTTAGCAACGTTCCCAGACGACGAAAAACTGGGAAAGCCTCACCCTCTTCTGGCTCTGAAGACCGGGAGAGCGGATCTTGTCCAGCTTCTCGGCAAGAGTTGGAGTCGACATTGTGCTTGTCGTATCCAATCCGTCGGGATTAACTGCTGTTGGAGACGACAGAAGCCGGTGTGGTCGAGATTCCCGTCTGTGCAAACATTTTCGGTCGCAAAAAATCCTTATCGAACACCCCGCCCTGGATAAGGGTCCGCTTTTGCAAGGATCTGAACGATGTAATGTACTGTGCAGAACCCCAATTCTGCACGGCCTTCTACCGGTATGCATGGTCATTTCAGTGGGCAAGAAAAGGCATCGGTCTCAAGCATACCGAGCAAAAATACGAAGTGTTTCATTCAGGGTGAGTTTACTTTCAATGGCCCAATAGCCCTTTTTTTTGTATTATTGACCCAACCGCTGTACTAATGCACTGCCATTGTCGGGTGTTACTAGGCTGGATCTCGCGATAGTTGAGAGCAGCAGCCAACTGGAGCAAATATGGATGAATTCAACTCCAGTCCTAAACTTCTGTTCTTGCAGTGCAACATAGTAATAGCTAACGAGACAAGAGAATGCTCTCTTGGTTCAAACCCGCCACTTCTTCAATCTGGCAACGCTTGGATAGGTTGTGATTCAGTCGTTTTCTAGAACTGTGCATTGTGAAGTTTACAAACTTTTCATTTACATAAACAATGAATGATGATGCACGCCGACTGTGGAGTTGCTTGGATTGCAACGCGTACAAGACTGCAGACAGATTCTACGCTTGAATCATCCATTTCCTTTACTCTAACAAGACAACCTAGCCCGAACCCAAGTTTCAGTACGCTTCGTGCCGTTGCTAACTTATGCGAGCACCCTCATCACGCTCTAAGCATCGGTCTGCGGTTGAGACTTGGCCAAGCATCGCCTCGACTGATCCTGTGGAGTTGCAACTCCTAATCGGGACAAGAGAGCCACTTGCAGGTCTAGGCGACATGTCGAGAACGGGGCATAATGTTCTTGGTTGGGCGTATCGACTGTTTCCCTCCACTGGTATCCGCGCCCTTTCTCTGACTTGACGCCCATGTCCATCAATGGGCGTAGCTATCGATTGAGCACTTTCAACAGAGATGTGTTCACTAGGGAATGTATATATCTATATGGATATTCATAGTTATATTTTCACAACTTGTATTCCCTGACGCAGCAGACGTTGCCGTCTACCTGCTTCTCCCCCATTCATTATAATGTCGGAACCTACCGAGACTGTGATAATCGTCGGCGCCGGCATCGTCGGCTCCGCCTTGGCCTATTTTCTGTCCTCGTCACCCACGCCCCGAAAGATCACACTGATCGACCGCTCTTTCGGTCCGCTCGTCGGCTCCACCGGCCACGCACCGGGATTTGTGGGCCAGTTCAACGAGTCCGAAGTCCTTACCAAACTGGCCGTCGAGACCGTGTCAGAATACACCAAGATCCCTGGAGGCTTTGACTCCGTGGGCGGAATGGAGGTCGCCTTCCAACCGGCCGGGGTCGAGCGGTTGAGATTGAGGTGCACGAGTGCGGCGCACCGGGGTCTATCGGCCGAGATGCTAAGCATCGAGAGAGCGCATGCACTTGCGCCGGAGCTCATCAAGGAGTCAAGTGCCGGGGTAGCGGTTTTGTATCCGTCCGATGGGACTGCCGACGCATGCAGAATCACCTCCTTCTACCAGAAGGAAGCAACAAAGTTGGGAGTGCAAGTCTCGCAACGCAACGTCAAGAAGATTATCATCCAGGACGGCCGCGTGGTCGGCGTAGAGTTTGTTGACGGCGGTTCTGTCAAGCAACTCAACGCCGACAAAGTTGTCATCACGACCGGAATCTGGGCCCAAGATTTATGCAGCAATCTCGGCTTCCCGGTGCCCGTCATCCCCGTCGGTCACCCATACATGCATGGTAAACCGAGAAACCCGTTACCGCGGAAGTTGCCTTTCGTCCGTTGGCCGGAGCATCACGTCTACGCCAGAGATCATGGGGACAGGTACGGCATTGGCAGCTACAACCACGAGCCCCTCGGATGCAAATCCAAGAATGGCACGGCCACTGGAAGTTGGGTCAAGGGCTTTGAGCAGACGCTACAATCCGCAGCAGAGCTCTTGCCGCTGGATGCTGCTGAGGAGTTTGACCAAGGAGCAAGCTTCAATGGGATATTCTCAGTGACTCCCGACAATATGCCGCTTGCTGGGTCAGTGCAGTCTGTGCCGGGATTGCATATAGCTACTGCGGTTTGGGTCACTCACGCAGCGGGCACGGCCAGGTTTCTGGCAAGAATGATCGATGGCGAGGGTGTGAATCAGGGGACTCGGACAGTTTTGGATCCTGAACGATTCAAGGGACAAGACTTTGCAACATTGGAGAAGATGTCACTTATCAGATATAATGACATATACAAGACTGAAGGAAAGTCAATATAGTCGAGGGGGCGGGCTGAAGGATGGTCGTGTGTAGTCGTTTGCTCCAGCAGAACCCGGGTCTCGTGTGCTCGTTTGCTAACGAGCTCGGCGTCAACGTTAAGACGACAACCCATATCGGGTGCATTTTCGGTGGGCTAAAGGAAAAGGAACGGTTCATAAATATAACCAAAAATTCGATCCAAGTCTCGCTATAGACCCACAGACAAGTGACAAACGTACGTTGCAGAATTCGAATTCGATGTTATCTTCTTCTCAATATGAGGGAACGGAGGCCGGGTCTTCTCTTTAGGAACTGACAACAGCAATAACTTCGACGAAGCAACCAACACAAAAAATCCAAGCCTTCGGACTGCTTCCCAATCTACTACAGCCACACTGATGGCGACCGCCTCCCGATGGGCGGCTACTCCAGACATTGCTTTGCGGTCGGTGCTCTGGCTGCCCAGTGTGCCCCGAGTACTATGCTGGCTTCCTGTTGCGTAGGCCCGAGGACCGCCTTCTCGCATCATTATTTCAAGCCCTCCAGCTGCAACGTCCACTTCGGATTCTCGTAAAAGCTACGTCTCAAGTGACAAAAACTTGTAATTATCTAGCACGTAACATAAGTGACAGAGAAGGATTGCTGTTCAAAACTGATATTTGCCTGTTTTGACTACAATACACCCATTAACGCCACCTTCCTTATTCGTTACAGTTTGCTTGAATTTGGATATACTTCATAAACATTATGAAAGGCCGTAAGAAAAAAGAAAAGGAAAAGAGGGCCCATTTCCTCGATGCTTTGCTTCATCTCGATTGATACAAAAGAGGAGGGAATCAGACTTCCGTCTCAACATCAGGCTTACGCCCATTGAGAGAGCCCAACTTGGTAATCTTACGGACGGCAAACTTGGCCTCGTTTTTCGCAAATTGCACGTTACGCATCGGGCGCCATTGCATCAGCCCGCGGTGTTGGCGATGCAGATCTCGGCTCCTGCTTTTGTAATCCTTGAGAGCCTGAATGGCACCGTTGCTCTTCTTGGAGGCATTGGAAGGTGTCTCGCTGGCCATACTGTCGATCGACTGCCGGGTTTCATCGCTATCTGCCTTGGTGCTGGCGTCCGTAATTCCGAGGTCGAGATCGCTGCTGTTATCATCGTCATAGTCTTCATCGAAATCGTCGCGTCCCTCGGAGTTGAGATCTTCCTGCTCGCCATCGATCATATGTGTCGGATCTTGGCCGAAAGCTGTACTCCAGTCCGTCCCATCTTTGGACAACCACTTCGCTTTCTCTTTTGGATCAGCCTGAGCAAGAACGTCTCGACCATGAGTAAGAGATTCGTCATGAAGCTTCTGTACTGCGGGAGGAATCTCAGCCTTGACTTCTTCGCCTCGAACACCTTCTGCGAAACAAGCTTCCCAGGTCTCGATTGTCTCGCGTGAATCGTTGTCAGTGACAAACTTGATATGGTCGCGGTCGGTCCCGGGGGAAAAACGACCACGGAATTTGAGTCGGCCAAGCTCTTCAATGTGAATATCGGGCACGTCCTTGAAATTCTTCTCAATGATATAGTTCTGCGACAGACGCAGACCCTTGTCGCACTTCCAGATGGGAATGTCGAAATCCCGTTCCTCCTGATCAGGGAAATCTTGGAGCCATAGTGACGCAAATGCCTCGGCGCGTCGCTTGCCTGGCGGGTAGAATTCAAAGAAGACGGGGGATCGGTAACGGTAACGGACAGGTAGCCGAATCTTGTCATGCTTGTTCTCGCCACTAATGTCCCAGGAGAATCCTTCTTGGCCCTCAAGCTTGGTGCACGTGTCCCTCTTGACGCTGGCCGAGCTTCCGCCCGTGCGGAGTCTCACCTTGGTCTTCGAGTGACCGTAACCGACTGCTGTCATCTCGCGGGAGGTGAACTCGAACGTGCCAACGTCCCAGCCCAGTTGAGTTGGCGGTAGGCGAAGGTCAACGGATCTGAAAAGGATTGAGATGCGGATTCTTCCGTATCCAACCCCGCCGTCTAGAGGGTACCATCTCGTGGCCTCACTCCCGGTTTGCAGGATGTCGGATAACTTGAGAGGTACGACACCAATTATTGGATCGTGCTGACGATTGCGCGAGTCTCGAACAGTGATGGTAACGACGCTTGATCGCCAGTCACGAACAAACTTTTCCGTGCCGGCGTTGAAGATGGGTTGCGAGGACACTGCCTTGGTACGTGTTTTGTAGACCAACTCATCGTTGACAAGAATTGTGCAGTACGAGCTTGGCAACTTGCTTCCCTGTTCTTCCTTTACCTCACCGGCATCGAGACGGGCAGGCTCATATTCGCGACCTTTGCGCTTACCATTGGAGCCCTTAACGTTGGCAAGCTCCAATCCGACAATCTGATGGACAACGATGCTAAGGATTCCAGAGGGCCACAAGGGGTCGGGCGGGGTGTGCTCAACGGCATCTTCCTCTTCGTTCTCAATAGTCCCCTTCTCGTCCTGAAGCTCCTTCTTATCCTTCAGTTCAGGGGGCAGGTTGACATCCTTACCATCGGTGCGAAGAGCCTTGCGGAACTGGGTCTTGCCGAAGAAGCCAACCTCCCAGTGAAGCTCGCCGGGCATCGTAGTGTCAGCCTTGACGCCAGCAAGCTTCGACACCTGAGGGAACATCTTGCCAGGATGCTGTATAAGCTTTTGAATGCTCAATTCGACTTTGCCGACGATATCGTCCGCCGATGAGCGATCACTGTCCCACAGTTCGACCGAGAGCTGCTCATCTGCCTTGATTAGGTCGGCAGTGACCAAAAGGCCACAGCTTTCCTCAAAGATGGGGTTTAAGTCATCCTGAATGACACGAGTGCAAAATTGAGGCTTCGAGAACTTGCTCCACGCGATGGTGATGTAAGGGTCAGAGCCTCCACCTTCGCTGCCCCGGCGATCCTGCTTGCTGAGACCGACTGCTTTGTGGACACGTATGAAGAGAAGACCAAGGGCGAGAGTCTCCTTCTTAATGTCGTCGCCCTGGAGCATCTTGCTCAAATCCAATGTCATACTTTTGGGGGCTACGTACTATTATCATTGTCAGCGGTGGATCCAATGGCTCAAGAGTCGCCAAACCTTACCATAGAAGCAGCGGTGCCTATAGCCCAGTTCACGAAATTAGAGATGAGGGGCAAGTTTAGAATGTTGACACCCTTTTCAATCATTGGGGTGCAGCCTGCTTGAACCTTGGGAATGCCCATGAGTGTGAAGGTAAGGGTCTTGAGGAAAGGAGGCTCAGGGGTAAGCTGGAGTCTGATTCTGGCCGTAGCGACGAGACCTTGAAGTTCAACCCCTACAAGCAGTCAGACAATGCTTTTCGCAAGACGGAATCGTTTTTTCTCACAAATTGGAAGTGGAACCCCAAAGAGGCCCCTGATACCTAGGTAAAAGATGAGTTGCATCCCCATGTTGCGGGCTTTAGACGAGACATCAGCACCGGATGGCTTCGCATGGTATGCGACCGACGCCTCCAAGTTGTAAAAAGAACCGGCCTGCTCCATGGCCGCCAGCTCGTTGGGATCGGTGTTCTGCTGGTTCTGTTTGTGGGCCTCGTCCTTTATGTCTTGCACGTGGTGATCCGGGAGGGCGCGCAAGCTGAGGATTCGAAGCGGGTTACTTCCCTGGGAGATGTCGGCGACGCGGACATTCTCAATGATTCCGGGAACCGAAGCAACCATGACGTCCTCGAGAGTGTCGGCAAGACCGGCAAACATCTCAGGGTTAATCAGATTCCACATGATTCCCAGTGCAGTATTCATCCACTAACAGTTTATTAGCAAAGAAGCAGCAGACGGGGAGAAACGGTCATTACCTCAACGGATTCGGGGACAAGGTTGACTGTGGCGGTCTCACCGCGGTCCTTTTCACTAGACCATTCCATATTTCTACCTTGGGTGATGAGGTCCTTCACCCACAAGAAAACCCCGGACGCAACGCAAAAACCAAGAGGGATCAGGCCGTAGAGTGCTCCGCCGAAGAACTTGCCGACAATGATGACGCTGAAGAAGATTCCGGCGCACAGTACGTTGGCTCGCCGTTCAAGGTGCTCGAACATGGGCTCATAGCTAACACTCGGGGTCTTGAAGAAGTTGACGTTTGTCTTTTCGCTGTGAATTGGCACGTCGGTCGTGCTTCCGGGCTCAACTGGAGCAGGGGGTGCCGTAACATCTTGCGCGTATCGGTACTCCTCGCCTGACTGGTCCGAGGACGTGGCGATTGTGGCATCCTTGCCGAGGTTTTGGTTAGGCACGGTAATCTGCACCATTGCCATGTTAGCATTATCATTTCGAGCATAGCAGACAGGATATGAGATAATGTTTGTCTACCTGAGGGTTTTCAACGACTTCTTCGAAGTCGTCCTTGGGATCTTCTATCTCAACATCTTTACCAGTGACGGGGTCCCGGACCGTTTTGGTCTTCTTGCGGTCCTTCTTCTCGGGGACATGGGCCTGGGAAGAATTGCCGTTGGGTGGGTGTTGGGCCTGTCTCTCAATCTTCAGGTGCTCCTTGTCCTCAGCCTCGATGGCGGCATCGCGCTCCCGCTTCTCCTTGTCGAGCTGGGCGACGAACTCGTGGATGTTGGGGATCTTATTCCGGGCGCTGTAATGCTGGCCGCCGGTGGGCAGCTTGTGCTCGTCAATGTTCATCTTGGTCCCATGCGCAGCCCTGCAGTCAGTCGTAGCTAAGATTATGCAGTCGAATCCAAAACGAAAGCAGGTATTGCTCCGTCAATTAGCCAGCGTGTATGGTTGGATGGACGAGAAGGTGAAGACAATCGACACCAAGTAGTCCAGCCAACAGAGCCGGAAGAGCGGAGGTTCAAGAGCTTGGGAGATGCAATATACAAATATTAGCGATGCGGGACGCGGATTGCCGAGAAGCAGCATTAAAAAAGCTGGCCAGAAGGTGGAAAAGGAGCCCCTCCGATTGCCTCATAGCTCCCTCAGCTTCACCCATTTGCACCCTTTGTACACAAACGCACACACAACCAGCACCTTAGCTTGGTCGAGTTTCCTTCCTTTCAGCTGCAGCTTGCATTCCGGGCTGGACTGGCTGGGAAGCTGTGATGGTCAATGACGTAGCTTGTCTTGCGACCTGCTGCTGGAAAGCCCACTAAGTGACGGTTTGGCCCCACCCCCCGGCAAGCACCCCCAGCTCCCTGCAGCCAATGATTATGACGGAACATGTCTCCACGGCGCGAACGCCTGCCATAATTCTTGCTTCTTTCATCCCTCGCCTTCCCTCCCCCTCCGTGCCTCTCTGCTCCGTCATTCCTTTACTGTATACCCTGTTCCCTCTGTATCGGTAGGTGGTAGGTAGGACTGTCTTCTGGGGCAATGGTTCGTCGAGCCAAGGTGCCGGTATCTGTACACTCGGCCGCACAGGTATACAACACAGAACTGTGGCTGGACTACTAGGTACGTGCTAACTGGCTGCGACGGAATTGCTGTGCGTGGCGTTTTGTAGGAAAAGACAAGAGGTCGACATTCCCGCTACCCTTCCAGCCTGTATACCTATTTCCCCCCCTCTTCGATGGGCTGTGTGACAACGATGCGACGAGCTGTGGCCGATCTGCGGTAGGGATCGCTACGTGTTTGCGTAAATGGCTGCGGAAAGACATTGGCTCTGGCCGCGTGTTAATTGGAGTTCATTGGTGTTCACTGCTTTCGCTAGCGTGGCTCCCTCGGGTTATCGCTTCTTGGCTCCGGGTCTAGGTTCTGCCTCTTGTTTTTTGTCGAGCTTGGCAACAGTTGGCTAAGTAAGTCGGAGAGATCAAGGGGTGTTCAATTGGATCGTTTGCTCCGGTCATTGACGGCTGGTTTGTGGGAATACATCTAATGGTAATCAGTGGCTCGGCGCATACAGTGAATGCTTCCCTGATGGGATGGGGAACCAGAAATAAAAACCACGGACCCATGTGAGCGATTCGGTTGAATCATCGTGGATGCAGTTCAGGGTCTAAAAAAATCTCAGCCCCCTCGTCTGCCCAGGTGTACGTACGTGTACTAATTTTATGTTGAGGTCAGTCTGTTGTAAGCTTTCCCGTGCGGCTCGTGGACATGGATATGGACATGGGTGCCGCCGTTCCGAGACGACGATTGCGTTTGCAGGGCTTGTGGCGCAAAAATACCACAACCGCTTACGCAAGCCAAGGTTCTCGTCAGTCCACTCTCCATCTTGTCTCCGCTTCTGACAATAAGGTGGGTGTTTCCAAATGCCGGACGGGCTTACCTCATCATGCGGTTCTGGTGCAAATCCATTGGCCGGTTTGTACTTCATACTGGTTTGATTGGCACCTTGCCGGCCAAGTTCGCTGCCCAAACATCCGCCCTCAGCCCGGGCAGGGTCTTGGCGGAGACCATTGAATCCCTATTCCCTCGCCATTCCCTAGATCCAATGCGCCTTGAGAAATCACAAAGCCATTCATCATAGGTATGAACAAGGGAGGGCATGGTCATATTGCTTCGTGTTATCGTTAGCTTAAAATGATTACTAGTACATATCCTACACCCGCAAATTCACGTTTATCGACGATTCGAAGCACCACCCAATGCAATGCCCAAGCGCTTTCAAACCCAAGCAAATTAGATAACATCCAGTTCACCACCACCGCGTTAACGGACCGCCATATCTGAAGGTATGGGCGTGTCCCGTCTGCTACCGGTCTCCGGGTTAAACAGGTCCGCTGATCCAAGCCGGTCGCTCTGTGACACGAGGCGCTTGGGCACCGTCGGCGTCGTTAGTTCAAGATCCATATCCCCCGGCGTGAGGCCCTGATCGCGCGAGACGCTGCTCGTGCCTGACATGTCAACGTCGCCGCCGGCCTCCTCAAACGTCTCGATGCTAGGCGTCGGGAGATCTCCGCAGGCCTGCACCGCCACCGCCGGCGCCGTATGCCTCTTTTGGGCAGGCTCTGATATTTGTCCCGCCGCTTCGGCCGCCCGCAACGCCGCCACTGCCCCGCCTAGGTTCTCCTCATCCTCCTCTTGATTGCCTATGGTCCAGACCCAGCAGCGCTTCTTCTCCTTCCGCTTCCGCTTCCTAATCCCGCCCGAAGGGCTTGCCGTCGGCGAGCTGGCTGCCATCCCAGCCATTCGCCGCCTCATCTCCTCAAATGGCCCCGGGGTCATGCCGCCGTCGCGCGTTTCGTCGCACGTGAAAGCCATGGCAAGGTCGAGGACGTTGTTTGGTTCCTGGGCCGGGGTCGGTGACGCCGGTGACACATCTTCGGCGAGCAAGTCAATATGAGACTTGGTGTATGTTTCCGTGATGATGGTTTGCTCGATCGGGCTGTTGTAAGCGACCCGGCGGGCTGCCTTTTCCTGCAGGCGCAGCGATTGGCGCCGCGGTGATATGGGCGTCTTCGCACTCGGAGGAGGAAGAGGCGAGTTGCGAAGGATACTGTGAAGGGAGCGAGGGTGAGTGTATGGCGGCTTCGAGCCCGACAGGCAAAGGTTGTTGCGTTTCCGTTGGGAACGCGGCTCTGGCGGGTTAGTGACTCCGATTGCCGTCAAAGGGGTCCTTGTGTCGATTGGAGAGAAGCCAAACATCTGAGGGCCGCTCGAATCCATGGGACCGGCCGACAGGGGCGGGGTTGCGGTCATGGTACTCGGAAAGGTCATCTCCATCGATACACCGGGAGAAATGGGATGTGCGGTCAACGGTGTCTCGGGATATGAGACGGCATACGGTGTATGGATACGTAGCTGGGGAGGCTTCGGGCCCGTCTTCAAGCGCGAAGGTTGTTGTTGCGAAGTGTCGATGGCAGTCAGCGGCTCGGACGTTGACCTCTCAATGGCGGTTACATAGACATTGGACAGAGTGTTGAAAGCTGTCGGATCCCTGGGGTCGACGGCAGACAGTGAGTTTTTAACCCTTGTGTGAGGGGCCGGCGACGTCTTGATGGACAAGGACAACTTGGGCCTCTTCGAGGCGGACCCGGTCTGAGTAGCCATGTCGACCACGTGAGGTATTGCTCAAGCAAAGATGGAGTGTATGAGACAACGGAGCGTCACAGCCTTGACGGCCAGCAGTCCGGTTGGTACAAGGATCAAACAACGGCCTCGGCCTCCCGGGAAACTGGAATCGCCAGAATGAAAACAACCGGTCCCAAGAAAAGAGGGGGAAACAGTAGCAATAGGATATGTTTGGGAAAGAAGGGAACTGCGGCTATATAGAGTAGGAAGCGGCGCTTCGTTGGAACTGTGACTCTCGTTTGGGGTTCGTCCACAACGGCGGCGGGCGTCGAGAGAAGCGCCACTAAGCAGACATATATACCTATGCAATGCAGTGTGACTTGTGAAGACACAATAGACGCGATTGATGCAGGATGACACCCCCTCGTCTCAGGCAGCTCCAGTTCTGGTTGGCTATTTTGGGCAGCAGGATGTGATGGGGAAGAGGCGCAAGCGCCGGCCTCCGAAGGGATCCCTGTCGGCTCGACTCGCATCCCTGCATGTTGGCCAATCAAGGCAGCGGGGGCGGTTGGCTGCTTGCTCGAGGCGGCGTCTACTACTATATGGTTGGAGCGACTGGAGTCTTGTTGAAGGCTCTTGAGGAGGAGCCTTTACCATGTCCGGGCAGAAAGACGGTGAGAAAGGGACTGACTAGGTAAGCAGATGATACCTAGCTAGATAGCCCGAGGAAAACGGCGTATCGTTGTGGCATACACACCATGCGCGCACTTGTACGACCACGGCATGATTGGAAGGCGCACTTCATAACAGACGCAGCCAACATCATCCAGTCGCGTTGTCGCCCGCTCGTGTGAAGGTTTTCACGAGCGACTCAAGATCTCGTAAGAGATTTCCAAACCCCACACTCTTGAATCTTGGTATCGTCTTGGCAAACAATCGTGACATGAGAGACCGAAAAGTTGTGAAGGCGATTACGGCGACTCAGGTGCGCGGATAAGATCGGACGATGTCAGTAGTGTTTGAGCGAGAGGGGGGGAAAGGGCTGAGCTTTCGGAAGAAAGCGAATTTTCAGCCCATCTGGAGACTGGAATTAAACTACATACTACGTAGTACGTAGCAAGGTGGTTTAGGTAGCTGCTGACAACGTTTCCCCAGTGAAACCTACTTTAGAACAACAAAACGCTCTTCCCCCACTTTGATCTGTGTCGATACCTATTCGGAGATGTGACAGTCGGCTATTGCAGGCAGGATTCCGTGAACCTGGTGCTCAGTGCAGCTGCCGAGCCATGGCGGAAGTGCTTGATTAGGTAACTCGGTACCCAAAATTAGGTAATCCCCACGTTACAAGGGTCGAGCTTGACCAGCCGGTGCCGGCTGGTAGGTAGTTTGACATCAAGTATCGTCCCCAAAACCAACCTCACCCTCCCCCTCCCCCCCCCCCCCCCCCCGCCGGCGGCCCTACTGGATCTTCAAAGCCGCCGGGCTGGCCGAGGTCTACCCTTATTGCCAACATCCCCAGAAAGCCAATATTCCGGTTGGTATCCACCCTTTTGACAGCATCTTGCTCAGGGGTCTGTGCTATCCGACGACTCGGCCGACTCGCCCATATCGCACCGCATCTGCACCTGCTCAGCGTCATTGCGATAAGCCCGCACCGCTCCCATCATTGGATCGGCCATCTTGACTACCTAGGTACTGCGGGCTAAACCAGTCTCAAAAGTCTTGTATGGATCGAACACAATAACGCCCGCCGGCAACTCACATGAGAGCCCGCAGGCTTTGCCGAACAGTACATACGGGGTGGACGGCGGCCACTCTCATGAACTTGCGCTTGCAGACCAGCCCCTTACCATAAATAGGGATCCGAGTCCAGTTCTACCAGTGCTATCCCTGAGACGAGCAGCGTTCGGCAAATAACTCGCAGTGTTGTTTAATTTACCCCGACACTTTTGGCATAGTACGTGATGGGTGCGTTGAACCCGCCCTGCAAACCTGTGCTTCCTGGCTGGGCCATACCAATCGCTAGAGGGGTATACTGACACGAACTCACCCTTCCACAGGCACCACTACTCAAGAAAATTTCCCTCTCACCATACCGGAATGGAGAGAGGCACAGGAGGCCGGGGGCGGCCTTGTCCGTCTTTTGTCGCTTCGTGAGTCTGAAGCGAGGTTGAACTCAAATGCGTGGATTGCCCTGGCCACCCAACTCCAGATCGAGCAGCAATGGGCTTACGCCGAATCCCTACGCATATCGGGTGCTTCACTGCCACTCTTCGGAGTTCCATTTGCGGCCAAGGACAACATCGACGTCGCCAGCTTCCCTACAACCGCTGCCTGTCCCAGCTTTGCAACTGGGCCTGTGGACAGGGATGCCACCATCATCGCCCGCCTCAAGGCAGCCGGTGCCATTGTGCTTGGCAAGACCAACCTTGACCAATTCGCCACGGGCCTTGTGGGTACGAGGTCGCCGTATGGTCCAGTGGCCAACTCCTTTGACCCCACGAGGGTCAGTGGTGGTTCAAGTTCTGGAAGCTCCGTGGTCGTTGCAAGGGGCGCCGTTCCCTTCTCCCTGGGTACCGACACCGCTGGCAGCGGTCGCGTGCCTGCCGGGCTGAACAACCTGTTAGGATTGAAGCCTACAAGAGGGGCCCTCAGTACAACCAGAGTGCTGCCGGCTTGTCGCAGTCTGGACTGCGTCTCCATCTTCGCTCTCACAGTCGACGACGCTGAGGCAGTCTTGGCCGCAGCCGAGGGCTTCGACCCGGAAGACTCCTTCTCTAGAGCTCGTCCTGACACGCCTAGTATAGTCAAGGGCCATCGCATGGCAATCTGCGACAGCCCTCCATGGTTCGGTAAGGCGGAGCAAGCGGCAGCCTATGCGCAGGCTCTGGTCAAGGCAGAGAACATCGGGTGGACCCTTGAGCCAAAGGATTTCTCCCCACTCTTCAAGCTCGCCAGCCTGCTTTATGAGGGTCCTTGGGTGGCTGAGCGTTACGCTGCTATCAGGGACTTCATAGAGAAACACGAAGACAAGATGGACCCAACTGTGCGAGAAATCATCCTCAAAGCCAAGGGCTTCAATGCGGCGGATCTCTTCGCGTCCGAATATCTTCGCCAGGACCTTACCCGTGAGATCCAAGACAATTTCGGCCACTTTGACGCTATCCTCGTTCCTACCACTCCCACCTTCCCTACGATCGAGGATCTCGCTCGTGAGCCGATCAAGGAGAATGCCTACCTTGGCACTTACACCAACTTCGTCAACTTTATGGACTGGACCGCCCTGGCGATTCCTGCTGGCTTCAGGTCGGATGGACTGCCGTTCAGTATCACGCTGATCTCATCGACCTGGGATGAACCCAAGCTGCTCGCTATGGCCCGAGAATGGCTCTCTACCGAGCCCCGACCATTAGGCGCAACCAAGGTGGAAACGCTTGAAGCACGCAACTCTGTCGCTATCGTCGGGAGCGAGCCGAAGACGACTCGTCTTGTGGTGGTAGGTGCTCATCTGACGGGGTTCCCTCTGAACAAAGACCTGACGTCTCGTGGAGGAAAACTAGAAACAGCCACGACGACCTCCCCAAACTACAAGTTATATTCTCTCAGCTCCAGTGGTTCAGTGAAGAAGCCAGGGTTAAAGCGCGTCCTAAATGGCGGAAGTGCTATTCAGGTCGAAGTCTGGAACCTGCCTATAGCGGAGTTGGGCGGCTTTTTGAGCACAGTTTCCTCGCCTCTCGGAATTGGCTCCGTTGAGCTTGCGGACGGAAGCTGGGCTCTCGGGTTCATATGTGAGCCTTACGGACTCGACGATGCTACCGACATCACATTGTTCGGAGGCTGGCGTACATTTATCACATCACTCACTTCTGGAGCCCCTCTTCCAGAATCTAAATCGACAGTCAGTGCCATCAAGTCTGTTCTCATTGCGAACCGTGGAGAGATTGCTGTTCGTATCATCAAAACCTTGCACTCACTGGGACTGAAAGCCATCTCAATCTACGCTGCTTCCGATTCTCGCTCGCCCCATGTTCGCAAAGCCGACATCTCGCTTCCCCTCGAAGGCAAATCGGTCTCGGAAACTTACCTCAACGGTGTGCAGATCATCGCGCTCGCGAAGTGTGCCGGTGCAGACGCCATCATTCCAGGTTACGGTTTCTTGGCCGAGAATGCTGATTTTGCCTCTGCAGTAGAGGCAGAGGGCATGATCTGGATCGGGCCAACAGCAGACCAGATGAGACAACTTGGGCTGAAGCACCTTGCTCGTGATGTAGCCGTTGGAGCTGGGGTCCCTGTTGTTCCGGGCAGTAAACAACTACTCAAGAGTGCAGAAGAGGCTGTCGCCGAGGCAGAGCGCATCCAGTATCCTGTGATGCTGAAAAGCACTGCCGGCGGTGGCGGGATTGGTCTGGAGCGCTGCAATGATTCTGCTTCGCTCGTCGAGGCATTCGACAGTGTCCAGAGATTGGCGCAGGCTAATTTTGGCGATGCTGGTGTCTTTGTGGAGCACTTCATCGAGAACGCCCGTCACATCGAGGTGCAAGTCATTGGTGACGGATGTGGCAACGTCACGTCGGCAGGCGAGCGAGACTGCTCCTTGCAAAGACGGAACCAAAAAGTCATCGAGGAGAGTCCTGCCACATTCGTACCACCAGATGTTCGAAGTAGGATGCGCCAAGCCGCTGTGGATCTTGCCTCTGCTGTCAAATACCGCAACGTCGGCACCGTTGAATTTATCTACGACGTCGACACCTCGGAGTTTTACTTCCTCGAAGTCAACACCCGACTGCAAGTTGAGCACCCGGTGACGGAGTCTGTGACTGGCCTGGACTTGGTTGAATGCATGATTCGCGTCGCGTCTGGCAACAGTAAGGACATTTTCGCCGACAACCCAAGAGGCTTTGAGATGAGGGGCAGCTCCATTGAGGTACGCATCTACGCAGAAAGCCCGCTTCAAAACTTTCGTCCCTCTCCCGGCCATCTTCTGGATGTATCGTTCCCAGAAGGCGTACGTGTCGATGCTTGGGTTATGGCCGGTATGGAGATGTCATCGTCCTACGATCCGCTTGTAGCCAAAATCATTGCCACGGGCGAAAATCGAGCGGCGGCGGTTGCGAAGCTGGCTGATGCCCTGGAGCAAACGGTGATAACGGGCGTTGAGACGAACTTGGAATACGCCCGCTGCATTGTCGCATCGGATATGTTCAGATTCGGGGCTTTCACCACGAACTCGCTCGACAGCTTCCCGTTCGATGCGCCCATCCTCGAAGTCGTTGACCCAGGCACTCTCACTACTGTTCAAGATTACCCAGGCCGCAAGGGGCTATGGCACGTTGGCGTTCCGCCATCGGGACCCTTCGATAACTATTCTTTCAGGCTTGCCAACAGATTAGTTGGCAACGACTCCCGCGCCGCTGGCCTCGAGTGCACTATCCACGGACCCAACCTTCTCTTCCACTGCGATGCTGTTGTAGCTGTCACAGGGGCCTTCGTCGAAGTCAGGCTTGAAAATGCCTTTGTTCAGCCGAACACATGCATCGCTGTCCGGAAGGGACAGAGGCTCTCGATTGGTACCGCAACATCCGGGCATCGTAGCTACATTGCCATCCGCGGGGGCATTGCCGTTCCCCAGGTCTTCAACTCGCGCTCCACCTTTGCCCTGGGTAAAATCGGCGGTCACAATGGACGAAGCTTGAGATCCGGTGACCTCATATCATTAGGCCGCATGGCCGCTACATTTCCATCGGTTGCTTCTGGGCCCTCCATACCCCTCCCAGCCGACCCAAACAATGCCTACTGGTCTATCGGTGTCGTCCCTGGACAACACTCCGCACCTGAGCACTTCACCGAGCATGGCTTCAACACACTCTTTGATGGTGAGTGGACAGTTCACTACAACAGCAACCGCATCGGCATCCGGCTCGACGGTCCCAAGCCACAGTGGGCCCGGCAAACGGGCGGCGAAGCAGGCTTGCACCCGTCCAACATCCATGATAGCCCCTACTCCGTTGGCAGTGTCAGCTTTACTGGTGATGAAGCCGTCATCCTTACCTGCGACGGACCCAGTCTCGGCGGCTTTGTCGTCTTCTGCGTTGTAGCTTCAGCCGAAATGTGGAAACTCGGCCAACTCCGCCCAGGTGACAAGGTGAAACTCCAGCCCATCACCGTTGACGATGCTTTGTTTCTTGAATCCGCCCTTGAGAAGTCCATCGCCGACCTTACACCCCTGGCGGTGGACGTGACTCCCCTTGCAAGCAACCCAACAACACCAGACCTGAACCCCCTCCTCGGTGACATCGGCAGCGCAGGCCGGCGCATCACCGTCCGTCAGGCCGGCGACAACGCCATGCTCCTCGAGTTCGGCACCGAAGACGTCTTCTCGCTTCGCCAGAGTTTCCAGATCTTCTCCTTTATCGCCCGCCATAAGACACACCCCATCCCAGGCGTTCTCGAGCTCTCCCCTGGGGTTCGCACATTACATGTGCAATATATATCTAAAGCCCTGCCCGCGACGATTCTCTCCGCCCTCCGCGCGCATGAGGCCTCCCTAGGCGACGCGGTCCCCTCCTCCATCTCCTCTCGTACATTACACCTGCCTCTAGCTTTCGACGACTCCGTCTCCCGCGCCGCTGTAGCCCGCTATGTGGCCACCATTCGTGCAACGGCGCCTTGGCTCCCGAGTAACGTCGACTTTCTCCAGCACCTCAACGCCCTAGACTCACCCGCAGGCGTCGAGCGCATCTTCCTCGACGCCACTTTTCTAGTGCTGGGCCTCGGCGACGTCTTCCTCGGCTCCCCCTGCGCCGTGCCCCTGGACCCTCGCCACCGCCTGTTCGGGACAAAGTACAATCCCTCTCGCTCTTTCACACCGCGCTCAGCTGTTGGAATTGGCGGGCAGTACATGTGCATTTACGGCATGGATTCGCCTGGCGGGTACCAGCTCGTGGGGCGCACGGTGCCCATCTGGGACGACGTCACCGCCTCCGCTGTTGTGTCACGGGGTGACTCCAAGCCCTGGCTGTTCCGCCTCTTTGACAGGATATCCTTCTACCCCGTCCCGGAAGCTGAACTTGACGCTGCCATCGCCCAGGATCAGATAGCGGACCTCATCAAAGTCGAAGAGGGCAGCCTCGACCTCGAGGCATACGAATCCTGGCTGGAGGCCAACAAAGCCGACATCGAGGCCACCCGCAATCTCCGTGCGGAAGCGATCCGCAGCGCGCCCTTTATGGAGGAGTTGCTCCAGCCTTATAACCCGCCTGAGGCCGAGAGGCGCGGCGTCTTTGGGGAGGAAGGCCAGGTCGACGTGCCGGGCGAGAGGGTCAAGGCTCAAATGCCGGGCCGGTGCTGGAAGTGCGACGTCAAGGCCGGGGACGAGGTACAGGTCGGCGACGCGCTGGTGTGGATCGAATCGAACAAGATGGAGGTCAAGATTGGGAGTCCGGTCAAGGGTAGAGTCGCTAAGATGCTGGTTGCGGAGGGTGACATTGTTGAGCCGTACGACGACTTGCTCATTGTTGTGACGCAGTGAGGGTAGATGAAGAGCTTGGCTTTCTTGTTTTGTCTTGCCTTTGCACGAGCCTTGATGACATATAAATCGGTTTTCTTTATTTAAAGAGTTGGATCAGACTAGAGGCACTCCACACCGTTGTTTAGATAGATTTGGATTCCTGTAGCGCTCAAAAGAGCTTCTGCCAGCTTCATAAGATAGATAACACGGTGTAAATAGTAAAGCTCCGTCCGCCTCTCATCCAAGGTAGTGTGTACGGGTATCCCAGAAACTAAAACAAAATTCGAAAAGTTTGCCGCATAAACGAAGCCCACCCAACTTTCCCCAGACAGAAAGAGAGAAAAAAAGAAAAAAACCGTGTACATTTTTATTCCACATGGCATCATGACCGCAACCCTGGGCGGTTCCCTGGGGGCAGTGACGGACGGCCTCTCGAACCTTACATCTTGACCTCGGCGGCAGCCCTCACGGCGTCCAGCCCGCTGACGTCTGACTCGAGCATTCGCAGCGCCTCCCTCACAAAAGGCGCCGCCTGCGCGCGCACCCTCAGGCTCCAGAGGTACTCCTCGACGCGGTCGGCGTAGTACATGGCCTCGGCGTCGTCGTCCGAGGTGGCCCATAGGAGGCCCGCGAACGAGCCGATGCCGGCAAGCTGGGCCGGGGCGGCGAAACCCCAGAAGGACTGGATGTGCTCCATCTGCAGGTTGGCAATGATGCTTGAGGCGGAGGCCAGGCGGGCGCGGGCGCCCGCGCGGATGGCGGCGCGGAGCTCCGGCGGCGCGCTGGAGGAGATGTTGCGAACCAGGGAGCGGTGGAGGGCCAGGTCTATGGAGATGTAGGCGAGGTGGAGGGAGCCTGGGAGTGTTAGTGGTTTGCAATGCAGAGTGTTGGAGAGGGAGGAAATGGGGGATGACTACCGTTTGCTGAGAGCTTCTTGAGACGCGTCTCTTGCAGCTGTAGGGCTTCCGGGAGTTTGGCGTACCACTCCCGCAGCATCATCACGATGGGCTTGGCGAGCTCGGCGACGCCTACGGTGCCGATCTGGTCGAGGGTGCCGCCGCGACGGGTAGCCTTGGCCGTGTAAAACGTGCTGAGCACGTCGCTGAGTATGAGAGACAGCTCGATCTGGCGCAGGAACAGTTCGCGACCGACAACGACCTCAGCGCTGCCCTCCGGGTCGTGCTCCTCGTCCGCGGCGTTCTCGGGGAAGTCCTCGACGCAGCATGGCCGGACGTCCCAGTCCTCGTCGAGACGTATGTGCGACGGCCGGCCATGGACGAGAGCTCCCCACTTGTCCTGCATGAAAAGCGCCCAGGCGAGACGGCGGCGGAGGCCTTTTTCCCAGTCCGGGATCGCCCAGTCGCTGCAGTCCACGTGAATGCCGAGGCCCTGTGCCAGGGCGATGAGCTGCGCGATGAAGGTCCAGGTATTGTTCCGGAAGCGCTGCTGGATAAGCAGGCCCGCCTGGAGGGTCGAGATCTTGGGCCGCTTCATATCATCACTCATGGTGCGAAGGGCCAGGGCCTCCAAGGCGGCCTGGTCGGGCTGCCACGAGGAGGTTGCCAGGGTGCGGTCGTAGAGAGACCAGTCTAGGGCCAGGAGGTAGACGGCGGCCAGCAGTGGCGGGGAGAACTCATGGTAGGAGCGGGCGTACTTCTCGAGGAAGACTTTTTTGTGGAGGACTGGGAAGCTGGGGTGAACGATGCGGAAGTAAAGGTTCACAAGTGTCGAGCCGAGGGGGTGAACGACCTTTTCTATGGCGTCGAGGTCGGCTATTCTCTGAGGTTCTGAAGAAGTTTCTCGGTCGCGGTGGATGAGAAAGACAGTTGATTCATCAAGGCGGCGGACGGACCTGACGGCCGGGTCATGAGGCCGGTGTAAGTCCAGCAGGGAGGGCTCCCGGTGATTTGTGTTGCCAACGTACTCGGAATGAGTCTTAAGATGCAGACCAAGAGTGCCGTCGAGCAGGGAGGGCTGGTTAAAGGTTGCGGCGTGTTCCGAGCCGGCGAGGGAAGGCGAAAGGGCCTCTAGTAACTCGGGAGAGGGGTGCCTATGCGTACGAGCAGATCTGTCAGACCAGGGATATCATTAAATGGAGGGAATGAACCAATGATAAGGAGATGTGTAGATGGAGGAGGGCAAGGTCGTCTAGGGCCGGAGCGACCAGCACATTGGCTTCGACCAATAGGAAAAGCGAGAACGTATAAAGAAGGAAGGACATGGTGCGCCAGTACAGTTGACTGAAGTCAGCCACAGATTTTCATTCATGTAGAGGCGTATGCCGCGATAAGGAACTGTCATCACACTTACGTTATCTCTTCCTGAGGGTCCAGCGGGACGGGAGCGGGTGGAGGACCCGCGGGCGCTGCGGGCGCTGAGACGGAACCATTGGTGGACGGGCGCTGTTCCGGGGGATCGGTAGCCTTCCGGCGTTTGCGCGGGAGCGGACCGCGAAGGTACGTGCACGGTTGTCGATGGAATGAACACATGACACATTTGTCGAGGCCCTCCTCGCGGACGCATCGCGTCTTGCGCTGGCGGCAGATGTCGCAGGGGCGGCTTTGGGCGGCTCCTGTCGTGGAGGCAGCTACTGCGGCGGCGGCGGCGGCGGCTGCTGTTGCTGCTGATGACTGCCCCGAGGCCGCCGAGGGATGTGACTCGAACGAAGGGATATGAGCCGACGACGAGAGCGCCTGTATAGTCGCCGGGTCGATGCCGGCGGAGACGGGGATGCCGCATGGCGCCGGCGTGGTGTCCATGTCTATAGCGGGCGGGCGGAACCAGGCGACAACCGAGCTCGGCGCCGGGGGGAGCGTAGGGGGGCGGGTGACGAAAGACAAGAGCGAGTGAACGGTTACAAATTGGTATCTCAGAATACCGTAGGTACCTAGGTTGGTACGTGTGTATGAAACGAGATGGGCCCCGGGTGAGTGAATGGGATTAGGCGCGAGCTTGGCTGCCGGGGTCACGTAGAAGCAGTAAGACACGCAAAGATAGATATGTGTGTGCAAGTGTGTGTATAGTGCAAAAAAGAAAGTAAGAGGAATTGGTTTCCCCGCCTCGCTGATTTTCGTGAACTCGGTTAGGATGTGAGGGACAGACAGACTCTCCTCCCTTGCATATCGAAACAAATGTTAGGGTGATGGAGGGGCTACGGCAGCCATGAGACTGACTGGCCGATCAAGACTTGAGCTGAGCTGAGCTGCAAGTGGGCGTCATGTCATCCACGACCCTTGACAGCCTGTCGGTACGATAACTTGGGCCCGAGCGAGTGGTTGTCTTCAAACCTCAGCGGGCGTCCAATCGATTTTAGTCGGCAACACGCAGGCAATGTCTCAGCTGTAGGCAATAAATAGGTAGTCAGCCTGACCGAGCACTTATACAGGCGCAGTGTCTTACCCTGGACGTCTTTCGGCGGCTCAAGGGCACGTTGCAAAGGCTCTTGTCGTCTGACTGCGCTGCGAGCTGCGTGCTGCCCGTTATTGTTATCGCAGAGTTGGGTGGGAATATTTTTCATCGATAAGTCGCCCGCTGGCCGTGAATCCGCCCGATTTTCTGTGTGGAAGACCCAGGTGAAAAAGAAAAAAAGAAAACAGGTAGGGAGGGGAGCAGAAAAGGCCTAGTCGGGTACTGAAAGTAGCCAAATGTACCGTTCCACGTTGATATCACCAACTGATACATTCCAGTACATGACCACCCCCATTAAACGGTGCACGCATCCCTGTCTAAGGCGCTTCGGTATGTTGATCCCGGTCCCCTAACTTTCTGAGAGAGAGAGTAAGAGAGACGGTACGTACCCTCATCTGAGGTCAGCTAAGCTCCAGCTTGCAACGTCGACAGAACGAAACCGACAGTTAAACGCTCCTGCCATTACGAACACAGAAATAGTCAGTCGCACATTTGAGTTCCTCCTCTACCACGATCGAACCTAGACGACGACGAACGACGACCTTCAACAATTACGAAGCCTCGCCCGTCCAACCATCCCGTCGTCCTCCCCCCAGACCCCCTTTTGCCGGAAAATGACATCGCAATAACTTACAATGGCCAAGGCCCCAACTCATGGAGCCAACCGTAACGACTCCCACCACCCAGAAGCTGCTTCTGGACCAAGCCAAGAGGACAGAAGACTCCTCTCTGACGACCCCCTCGCCCACGATGAACCCCACGACGGCAGCGTCGCCAGCGGCGGCGGCGGCGGGTACTTTGTGACGAAGCATGCGACATCCCTCCGCTCGCCCGGAACGCCACGGACCCCGAACCGCGTCCGCTTCAACCCAATACCCTCCATTTTCGAACCGCCACCGCCGCGCGCCTCCATGACGAGGAGCAATGGCTCCGCTCGCCACAGCCGCGACAGTTTTGACGTCGACGACGAGCTCTTTCAGCACGCACCCAGCGGCGACGACCACGACGAGCACCACCGCCTGCCCCTGCTGACCGACATAGAGGCTCCCTCGGTCGCTCTCGCCAACAGTCCCTGGGGCGCCGGCGGCGAAGACGTACAGGAGTGGGCTGAGCAGGAGCGCGCACGACCCAAGTCAGGTCTGCGCATGGCTTTTATGAACATGGCCAATTCTATCATTGGCGCTGGCATCATCGGCCAGCCCTACGCCTTCAAGCAGGCGGGACTGCTGGCCGGTACCATCCTGCTGGTCGTCCTCACAATTGTCGTCGACTGGACCATCTGCCTGATTGTCATTAACAGCAAGCTTTCCGGGAGCAACAGTTTCCAGGGGACAGTGGAACACTGCTTCGGCAGGACTGGGCTCATCGCCATCTCCGTTGCGCAATGGGCGTTTGCATTCGGTGGCATGGTCGCCTTTGGAATCATCGTCGGCGACTCGATACCACCCGTTCTCATGGCCATCTGGCCCGATTTGAGGCAGATGCCGGTATTTGGCCTCTTGGCGAACCGGCAGGTCGTCATTGTGATTTTTGTCCTAGGCATTAGCTACCCGTTGACCTTGTACCGGGATATCGCAAAAGTGAGTAATATGGTATGCCAACGGTATATGGACCGAAAGCTAAAGAGACCTGTATAGCTGGCGAAAGCAAGCACGTTGGCTCTCATTAGCATGGGAGTCATCGTGACAACCGTCGTGGTTCAGGGAGCTCTTACTCCTAAGTCAGAGCGTGGTTCCTTCTCACCCGCCCTTTTGACTGTGAATACCGGCATCTTTGAAGCCATCGGAGTGATTTCTTTCGGTATATAAACTCCTCCCCTCCCCCCTCCCGATCCCCAGACTATCTCACCAAGAAGCTCCTCTGACACTCCTCAGCCTTCGTTTGCCACCACAATTCCCTTCTCATCTATGGCTCCCTCAAGACGCCGACGATCGACCGCTTTTCACGCGTCACGCATTACTCGACCGGCATCTCCATGGTTGCCTGCCTCTTGATGGCCCTGGCAGGGTTTCTAACCTTTGGTGATAAAACGCTCGGCAACGTTCTCAACAACTTCCCCTCGGACAATGTGATGGTCACCCTGGCCCGCCTGTGCTTTGGTCTGAACATGCTGACGACGCTTCCCCTCGAGGGATTCGTTTGCCGCGAAGTTATGTTCAACTACTTCTTCCCGGGCGAGCCTTTCAACATGAACCTCCACCTCATCTTTAGCTCTGCCCTCGTTGTTTCTGCCATGATCATTAGTCTTCTCACATGCGACGTCGGCGTCGTTTTTGAGCTCGTGGGTGCCACCTCGGCGTGTGCGATGGCATATATTCTCCCGCCGTTATGCTACATCAAGCTCACCACCAGGTCGTGGAAGACATACGTTGCCGCTGGCATCGTCGTTTTCGGCACCTTGGTCATGGTGATCAGTTTGGTACAAGCGATCGCCAAGATGATTCGCAGTAAGTCTACTCCCCTACGCCCGTTTCCAATCTGCACACCGTTTCGGTGCTAACTTGTACACAGACGATGGCGGACCGGCGCAGTGCATGTAACCGGATCGTACCTGTAAGAGTAAAAGGAGCTCCTCTGTTTTATTTTAGACATGGCAAGAGTAGGGAAATGACAGTCTTCTGATACAGACTGGGACAGGACGGTAGAAAGCTCAGAGAATTTATAAGCAATACTATGGGGAAGGGGGGAAGGGGGAAAGGGGGTGTGTGTTATTGTAACACCAAAAAGCAAGACTTTGTTATTGAAGAAGACGCAGAGGAAAGTCTAGAAACAACGCTCGTCACAAAAAAAAAAAAAAAACACCCACGCGTCTACTTGTTGGATTGCGGCGGCTCCGAGACACTTTGTGAGCGTAGACGTTGTACCAGCCGAGAGTTCATTCGCAGCAACTGTTTGTGGCTTGTTGTAATGTGGTTACTCTCCTTGACAGACGTTTGCACACCTGGAAAAGCAAACTCGGCCAGGGCAGTGACAGGGGCAGCGTGGTAGAGGACTTAACAACAAAGACAAAAGCAATAGGAAAAGCGTATCACAGGCTTTGCTTTTTGATCGAGTCTCCATCGTATTGCGACTAGGTTTGCCGTACGTGGCCTTAGTTTTTGCCAAAACATCAAGATCTGCCGAGGAGCAGAAACCGGCGAAGACTGCCTAATTAAATGAGAGGATCGGAAAGAAGCCGTGATTTGACCAGAAAGAATCAGACGCTTTTATTTACCATTACAATTTATATCTATATCTACAATGGCCGTGATGTAAGGGGCCGTCTGTGTCGGTCCCTGAGGGGGGGTATCATATGCACGTAACTATCCAGTTTCCCATTCGGGTTCGCGATCGTCAGATCACTGCGCTTAAAAGTCAAAAAAATCTTACTCAGTGGAATCCCAACAAGGCAACAAGGCAAAACGTCGCAACAGTGGCTGCCTTGACCACAGTGAGAGAGGCAGACGATGCCGCACCGGAGTGGGATACCGGTGAAGTCTGCGCAGCGGCAGTTGCCGACGCAGTAGTCTCATGACCGCCCAATCCGAGTCCGGGTTTGGACGTCTGCACAGGGGTTCCAATGTTGGCGTTGTCAGAGTTACCGACCACTGGTGGCGTGGCCGAAGTGTCGCTGCTGGACGTGGTCGTCACTGGCGGCGGGTCGACTCTCTTGGCGAATCCTTTTGAAATGTACAGTTAGCATATATCAACATACAGCACAAGAGTACCGTTGAAACTCACCAATACGCTTCTGATCCGTATCAAAGACGGCGTAGACATTCTTGAGAAAGACATCGCCCAGGAGCCAGGCTCCCGTCACGACCTCGTGGCCGTAGATGTTGCTTGTGCAGGTACCATCGGTGCCGGGGACGCCTCTCCAATCCTTGGCGGAAATAACATAGCTGATGTTGGAGAAAGTGTACGTGACATCTTTGTTGCTGTCGCACGGCACCTTGTAGGTTGTGCCGGCCTCGTCCGCAGTAGATCCGGGGATGTTCTTGTGGAATGCGGCAACATCGTCCTTGGGACCGAAAACATACGAGGTACCGGTGTCAATGTAAGCAAGCTTACCTGCCGCGCCAGATTTTAGGCCATCATAGGCAATGCCGTCCAGAGGAACCGCCCAATCACCAAGTGCGTTCCCAACTGCGGTGTAGGTGATATCGCCAGTGTACTTATCAGGGTTGCATACACCGAAACTGATTTCGCTCGTGTTGGGTCCGTCTGCTGCCCTGCTCAGATACACGCAGAAGATGTTGGCGGGAAGCTGCGTGGAGTTCTTGACAACTTGCATAAAGTTTTCCGTCTCGCCGCCTGCCATTGAAAGCCCGAGGATGCCGTCAAAGGGGAAGTGGTTGAAGTCGTCCGAGGTCTCATTGGCAACACCAAACTGGAAGTTAAAATTCATACCAGCAAAGGATAAGGTATCGGTGACCTTGTCGCCCTTTACAGAGCCAGATCCGTAGGCGACGGAAAAGGTTTCGCCGGTGGCCTTGTACGTTGCAGAGTCGGGAGGGCCAAACGAGCCGTGCTTTTCACACGCTGCTGATTTGCAAGATGAACCCATGACCCAACTGGTACCGGCTCCAGTATCCATGAGCATCCACATAGGCTTCTTGTTGTTACCAAGCTTGACCTGGGCAAAGTAGGAGAAGTCGGTGCCATCTTGGGCCACACCGACCGCGTTCTTGAGCTTGGTATCGGCAGCCTTGACGATACGGTACTGGCTCTCTCTCTTGGACCTCAACGCCTTCTCACGGACGGCAGCGGATTGAAACCTCGCATATTTGCGGGTGAGGCGTTCAACTTCGCGGACAACGCGTTCGGATTCAGCATCTTTGGTCTACGAGTTGGGTTATTAGCTTTACATGACATCGGCGCTGGATACAATTACACAACACATAGTCCCCAAAGCAGTGTCTGAGCAGAAGGGAAGCATTCGAATGGAAATCATTTAGACAAGGCAACTCCACTTACCGAGAAATCATGTGTGGCTTGAGGGCCGAGCTGGGAGGCGGGGAGGTTGATAGCCTTGACGGCATCTACAACATCAGACCTGAGCTCATCTTGACCCTTCAACTGCCTCTTAGTTGGCAAGACGCAGTCACCCTTTTCGAGACACTCCGGACTAGGCCAGGGAAAGAAGGCGTGTGTGGATGTGAAGAGCAGCGAAAGGTAGACCAAGGTAGCGGAACGCATCGTATGGCTGAACAAGATGCCGGTCGACTAGGCAAAGCATCAACCGTGACCGAGAAGACGGGTGGCCAATGCAAGGCCGGTGAATAATAGAGCCGCACGAGCAAGGTCAACGCTTTCAAGTCGAATCCAGGGGGGCAACGGAAGGTCAATCGGATGCGTGAGTGATCGGGAAGCGGTTCAAGCAAAAGTGATGCGTGCTTTATCGGCGTCGGTAGACTCAAACTCGGGCAAGGCAGCGGGTTCCAGACGCCGCAATGGTGTCGGACAGATTGTGATATTAAGAATTAAGTCGAGCGCATCGAGGAACTGGTAAGAGAGCGAGTATATAACGGCCAGAAGACGTGGTGGTATAAGGGGGAATGTGTAATCTTTGAATGTGAGCTTGGCGTATGGCTCTGAGAATGCTGTACGCGGGCCGGTCGAGCCAAAAAGGACAGGACAATGAAACAGAGGGACGGGTTGTCGAGGGAGGCGCCACCAGCAATAACTGCTAGATGCAAGACGATGAGACAAGGGCGAGAGCGAAGGAGCCAAGGGCAGGGGAGAAGACGCAGGCGCGATGGGCGGGTTCTCCTGGCTACCTATATCCGCGTCATACTACAAGACAAGAAAAACGAAGCGGCGACTGGAAAGAGTAGATGGATAAATCGACAAGTCGGAGAAGAAAAAGACGAGTCAGGTCCTTTAGGAAACAGGAGGAAGGGTAGAGAGAGAGAGAAGATGGTTAGGTAAGACGGCGATGTGAGGTGAAGAGGGAGAGGTCAAGCAAGGCAAGGCAAGGCAAGGCAAGGCAAGGCAAGAGGCAAAGAGAGGGGATGATCGTGGGGGGGAGTATTCGCAGATATGGGGATTTGCGAATCGGAGAGCGAGGAGCCCTGGATGACTAGCTAGACCCCGGCGAGCTAAGGCTCTAGCGACGATGGACTGGTCCAGGGATCGAATTGGGAAGTGTGGAGGTGCGCAACTTGGGTGTGGAAAAGTGGAATGGAAGGGTAGTGGCGGACATGGTGCATGGCCATGGTGCCTCGTGTATGGTGGTGATGAGTGGCTGGCTGACATGGATATATACTACGTAGTCGGCGAGTCCAGAGCTGCAGCCAAACAGGAGAGGTACAGCTGCATAAAGAAGTCAGACATGCTCAACCTACCTTGGAGGGCAGGTCTGGCAGAGCGAGTACTTGTTCTCTGCCGTACCCTATTCGTGCTGAATGGCCGTGCTAGGTATCTACCGGCCCGCCGTTGTTGCTCGACTATTGCCGTTTCAGCGCTCCAAGAGGCCTTCTTCATCTACGTACTCGGTGCCTTCTTAACCACCTCTGCACTAGTGTACCAAGTAGTAGTCGGCGTGGGACGGGTAACAGTCGCATGCTGCTCACCTACTGACGCCTTCGCCCCCTCTAGCGTACCTTACCTACTTACCTACCTAGGTAGGTAGAGTGTCGATTTTTCGTCAGTTCTGCCAGTGTGTCGTGTCCCGCTCAGTAAACGCCCGTTGAGCACTCGCTGAGGGTGGGGGGCCACCCCCTGGACACACCAAATGGCAACCACTTGGCTCAGTGTCACTCTTGCGGTGGAGACTACAGGGCCCCGTGGTGTCATGCAGGTCGTTCTCTCCCAGGAACCTAGGAGGTACCTACGTAGTAGTGGGCGACAAAGAGGAGGAGGAACCAAGGAACGATGAGCCGCGGTATATCCGTACTCCCTCACCCAAATGTGTCTACCTAGGCAGTGCCTGCGATAAAAGGAAGGGGGAAAAGAAACAAAAGGAAGAAAAAAAAGTCTCTTCCTTGTAGCCGTACAATCTTGAGATGAACTCCTGCCCTCTCCGGCCAATTCGGCTCGTCCACTCAAGTCATCATGTCGCACTGATTGGTCATTTGTTTGGCGTGTCGTCCCCTCCGACCGTTGATTCTTTTCTCCTTTAGAACCGTTCTTTCAGGGGCCCCAAATGCCTCGACTCCGGTTCTCTTCCTCGGCGCCCTAAATTGCTACGTATACTATCCGTACACTAGACGGGGATGGGAATCATCGCCATCTCCAGACGCATGCGTTCCTCGCGCTTGTTTCTTCGACTATCTGATGCCACCTCCTGTCTCGAACTCCTCCTCGTTTTCCCGTTGCTCTTAGCTACTTGGGTGCCGGACCCCACTCCGGGCGGGACAAATCGACCTGCATCTCGGCACAACCATTGTTTGCGTCCATGTCTGATACGATGATGATAATGATGATGATGGAACATCGACATCACCACCATCTTCATCATCAAGCTGCGACCTCGTAGTGCAACGCTTCTTACCCAACTCTGCTTGGCGGCTACCGTGTGGAGATACGAAAAGGCATTTGATAGCCGTAGCCACCATATGACGCTTAGCCTTCTTTGGCGCCTGGAAAACCAGGGTTGTCCTGAAGACTCCACTTCCAAAGTTGCCTCGATGCTACTTCGGGCGACCTTCTTCAGCGTCTCTCCAGGCCGTGCCCCTTGCTAGCACCGTCGCTGTCCCTTTTGGGAACTCGTCCAAATTGGCCTCTCACTGAGGTTTCTTGTCTCACTCTCTCGTGACTCGCTGCACGTTTTCCGTGGCTGCAAAAGCCCACAGATCAGCCGCGATCCAGGAACTATAATTTTTTCTCGACAGAATCCTGACGACTGTTTGCAACCATGAATGACCTGTCCAGAAGGATCCTCGGCCGCAAACGTGCACGGGCAGGCGGACTCGAGCCCGCCATATGTTCGACTTGCTCGACCGCGCATCCACGTCAGGCCAACCATCAAACCAACTGGCGGACGCCGTTGAGGCTGGCTCGTGCTTCCTATGGAGATGGTCTGGCTTTGCTCCTATTAATTTATCCTCGCTTGTCGCTGGAGCTGGAGCTGGAGCCACCACAATGCCAGTCGCCCCAATCTTGCTTGTCTTTGCCCCCTCGCTTTCTGCTTTCGACTTGCGACCTCTGGGAGTCCCTAGCTGGTGTAGCCTGCGAAGGCCCGACACTGGAGGGCCTGTATCCGGGGTCTGATTGATGGACGACCGGCCGACTGAGCAAGACGTCAAACAGGGCACACAGGCAACTGATGCTCGATTTAGGTCTTGTGAGAATCACCGGACCAAGCAGACCCGGGTCCCCAATTTCAATCTCTTGCCTGGAGAGCCACCTATTCTGGTTGCTAATTACCCGGCCCCGTCCTTTCGCCCAAAGATTTTCCTTGTCAATTCCGCAACACCTGGCAGCTCTCTTTACCTGTACGGATTAGAACCTCGTTCTCGTTGAACCGAGAAAATGGCACTCGTTGAGCCTGTCACCCCGAGTTGGCAATGCTCTTGTCTCAACAGTCGTTATACGAGCAACGGCTCCCTGACCCGACTGTGGCGCCACATTCACTTTAGCCCGACCGACCGCGTCGCTGCAGTTTGTCACTGGGAGAGTGGACGCCAGACCAAGAGCGGACAGGCGGACAGACGACGTTGGCACGACTGTTTGCAGTCGGTCTATCCGTACTTGTCTACCCTTCTGACATGCCCTATCCGATCCCAAGAAGGAGGCGATGTCATCTATGGGATGCTACGTCTCTTAGAACGTCTGTGCAAACCACCTCCGTCGTCCCGCCCGCTCACTAGTAGGTCCCGATCGTCTCGCAGGCGCACGAGAGCGTCCGGATGTGGGTGTGATTGGCAGGGGTCGAGGTCTCTGTGAGTTTCAGCCTCTGAACACCGCCGTCTGCTCAGCTCGGGTGGCTGCCGGCTGAGCTCTCCAATAGTGTGCTCTAGTCCCAACATGCATTCCACAGAGCATCTTGTTGGCTTTTTGCAGAGTATGCAACGCTGCTGTGCATGTGCCGCATCTTCCCATCAATTTGGGACTGTCATGCAGCAATGTTGCCAGTCACACGCGTCCTTGCCAGCACGCTGATCTTGATACCCTTCACTTGTGTTCTGCTAGCACTTCCATATATGTCGGTTCTCTCGTGCAGGAACCGATTCCAAGGCTCAACCTGGTAGCATGTCACAGTGGCTTCGGGCCTCGACGTAAACTCCAAATTTGGATGGCATTGCTGCAAGTGCCGACCACGCGATCCCCGCCCGCAGCATCTATTTCCACCCACATCTATCTACTTCAATGCGCCAGAAAATCCCAAATCGCTGTGGAGACCGAACAACTCGCACCAGTGCTGTGCTGTTTTCAGCACCATGGCTTCTGCGCAATCATCGGCGTTCACAACCAAAAGTCTTTTCTGAACAGCTGCGAGCTCTTCTCGACCGGCCTGCCCCATCGCCGCTCTCAAAGCTACCGTGCGTAAAAACCACCATACTGATTCGTTGCACCATCGGAGAGACTCCGTCAGCCTTAAAGTTTCCTCGAAGACGGGCAGTGAGGTTTGTTGCGTGCCGCAACCGTCTAGTCTCTCCATCAAATGGGCAAGGAACGACCAGCCAGAGACGTCGACATGATGTCTAAAAGACCACCTCTTGACGCTTTGGATAAGTGATGACAGCTCTTCAGGCTCGGCATCAGCCAAAAATGTTCTCGTCAACCAACGTGCGTGAGTCCAAGCATAATAGTTGCGCGGATGCCGCTCTCCGGCTACCATGACGATCAACTCGATGTCCTGCTGAACCGCAACTGGAAGTCCTGCAAGACGGCGCTGTTCCATTAACCACCGCCGATGACTCCATAACGTGGGCGATTTTGTATGTCGATGCAGCCGGCTGGTTAGCAAGCTGTCGATAAACCATTTCTCTCTTGCCAGACGCACATGTGCATTGTCTCCCGCTGAGATTGCGTCAAGAAGGATGCGCTTTCTGGTGTTGCTGGCTGTTAGGTGCTCCGGATCCATAAGTAGCATGACGCTTGTGGCAGTGAGCAGCAACTCGATACCGACAACCTCTCCGGCCAATTTCTTCTGAAAAATCTGCCTCGCAAAGAGGAAGGCCTGTACTATGCGGAGTTTGGGCACCGCAACGGCGTTTTCATCCCGCAGCAGGTGTTCGGCCGGCCCCAGAGGATGGCTTGGACCCAAGATCTCGATCTCGAGAAGCCGATCATCCTCCTGCTGTACAAAGAGACCGGAGATGTCGTCAAATATTTTCTGGTGGTCGCCTTTCTTCAGGGCAGCGATGACATGTTTATCCAGAGCTCTTGACATTGTTGTATCGTTGGGAACCGTGAGGTAGTGTGGTCTTGACTCAGAGCATGTCTGTAAAGCTCACGGCGGCGCGTGTACACACAACTGTATGTGAATAGTCGTATACCGGCAATCGAAAGTGACAGGTGATCCACGGAAATGGGCCAAGTCCAGTTAGTGATCCTAACCTTGGAAGACGTTGGTGAGTTGTACTCCGATGGTATGTAGAGGCGGGAGCTTGAGATGATTGGTTCCCAGTGTGTGTGGTGTAGCGGACTGTGGCTTGCTTACCTGCCGCGCTGCGTGGCTCAGGTCCCCGCTAAAGATGCAACTCGCGGGGCAATGACATAGGGACCACGTTTTCGCCGCGAAAGGGCTCAGTCAGATCCCGTCACGCACCGTTTGCACGACAAACCTCAGTTCAGCTTCGCCCTGCACCCACCCCAAATCAGTGCAGCGGCATGCGCTCATAGTCACCATAACCGCTCACGAGTTTCAAAAGGGTATCCGCCATGCCCTCTCTACTCGTCATCATCTTTGTGCTGGAGGTGTTCTCCCACCTGGTTAACACCATCGGAGCTGCTACCATCAACAATCTGGTCCGTTTGCTCTCTGACACAACACCCAACCAACTGGCCTCCTGAAGGATTGTTCATGACTAACTTCCGAGTAGCTTTGGGCATTGCTGAACTACCTTCCCATATCGACCTCGAAGGCCGCAAGGCAGCACCGTCAATTGCAAGCCGAGTTTCTGAAGACTCGAAAGGAGCTGAACGCAACCAGCAGCCAGGATGAGTTCGCCAAATGGGCAAAGCTTCGCCGCACGCACGACAAGCAGCTGGAGCACCTGGAGAAGAGCAGTAGGTTGACGGAGACTGTCTTTCGTTCACACTATGGGAGAAACCATGCTGACGTTTCCCTTCCACAGAGCAAAGTCAAGAAGCAGCGAGATCGAAATTCGATAACTACCTGACCGGTTTCCGATGGCTCCTCACCAAGGCGCCGCAATACGGCCTGCCCTTTTGGTATTCAAAGGAGCCTATGTTTTGGCTGCCCTACGGGTGGTTCCCCTACTACGCCGAGTGGATTTTGTCATTCCCCAAAGCACCGATTGGCAGCGTCAGCATCGCTTCGTGGCAGCTGGCGTGCTCGGGAATGGTCACACTGGTCACCGAAATGATCATCTCGGTCATCGGACTCGCCTTCGCGGCGAAGCAGGGCAAGGCGCAGCCGGTAAAGACCCCCGCGGTGTCGGGCAAAGCTAAGCCCGCGGCCGGTTCGGCGGAGGAGAAGAAGGAGCTCTAAGTAGCTTAACAATGCGTAGCACTAGGGCGAGTAAGCAAGTAGATACCAAATCTAGAACATGCCTGCATTATTGGCGCCCATGGTTTCCAATGCATTTTTCTTCATATCCCGTTCGAAGAAGACTTTGCTAGAAAGACATAACATGACATGACGACCCTATAGCAAAATTGTATAACACATGTCATGGGATGCAGAAGTGCAAGGTGTCTGCCATAGACATGAGTTGCAGCTCATACTGGCCAGAGTGGTACGCATTCACTTTTGCATAGATAAAAAAGATCAATAAGGAGGTGGAATGTATCTCTTTGTAAATTGACGCAAAGTTCTTAATTGCAAACGCTAAGACTTTGTAACACGACGGAGAATGACCCTTGGCAGGGTACTTTGGATTTGCTCTAGGCGTCATATTGACTTTGATTGACCATTGGTATCCTTGCGGACCGCCAACAAAGCTTCGAAAGCGCCATAATCACATACATCTGTAGGCAGCTGAATGAACGTTAGTTGGAGATGCAAGCTGATTGGAGCTGAAGACTGCTTCAGAAGCTCGAGCCCATAATGGCTGGGCTGCCGTCAGGGATTTGGAAAGAGAAGGCAGATATAGCTGTCATTGCAGCAAGCTACACGATGGAGAAAACAGAAACGTCAGTTTGAAGGCATACAGATCGCTGCAAATTAGCGACTGCCTCTTGTCTCTTGTCTTGTCTCGTGCGCCTGTTGGATGTTGTAGAGGAAAGAAGTGAGAAGATTTTGCCTGTGGATAATTCGCAGAAATATTTAGGAAAGTGCACCGCCACGACCCACCTACAGTTCGCGCCACACTAGGCGGAGGGGCGAGTCAGACTTTGGATGGAACAACTCTTTCGCCGAAAGTCCGGTCCAGCCCCATTGTTCATTCGGAGGCAACGACATCAACTTGGCAGCTCCATGTTTAGTCCTGGCATCGAATAAGCTTGATCATTACCCCCTCGAACGGTTCGGAGCTCCCGTCATACATCAAGATGGCTCCGGCACAGGATACCATGTTTCGCTCTGCGAACATGAGTATGGTGCAGCTGTACATTTCCAATGAAATCGGTCGCGAGGTTGTTACAGCCCTTGGAGAGCTTGGTCTCCTCCAATTCCGAGACGTACGTTACCAGCCCTCCGTTCGCAGTATCGACGACAGTCGGTTCATCGAAACTGACATCGTGCTCCGCCTCTAGCTCAACGGCGAAGTCAGTGCTTTCCAGCGCACTTTCACTCAGGAGATCCGAAGACTTGACAATGTCGAACGCCAGTTGCGTACGTCATCACTTGCGACCGCGCGCCCTTTCACGATACAGCAAGAAAAAAAAAACTAACAGCGCGTCAGGCTACTTTTACACTCAGATGGAGAAGGCAGGCATTCCCCTCAGAAAGTTCGATGTCGACGCTGAGCGACTTGCCAACCCGTCGACCTCCGAGATTGACGAGCTCGCCGAGCGAAGCCAGAGTCTCGAGCAACGCGTCTTCCAGCTTAACGACAGCTACGAGACGTTGAAGAAGCGCGAGGTCGAACTCACTGAGTGGCGCTGGGTTCTCCGCGAAGCCGGTGGTTTCTTTGACAGGGCTCACGGCAATGTCGAGGAGATCCGCGCGTCTAGCGATAACGATGACGCTCCCCTCCTCCAGGATGTTGAGCAACACAACTCCGCCCCCGAGGTTGAGCGGTCTTTCTCTGGAATGAACATTGGTTTTGTCGCTGGTGTTATCAACAGAGACCGTGTTGCCTCGTTTGAGCGCATTCTCTGGAGAACTCTGCGTGGAAACCTGTACATGAACCAGTCCGAGATTCCCGAGCCGCTCATCGACCCTACCAACAACGAGGAGATCCACAAGAATGTCTTTGTCATCTTCGCTCATGGCAAAGAGATTCTGACCAAGATCCGCAAGATTTCCGAATCCATGGGTGCCGAGGTGTACAACGTCGACGAGAACAGCGACCTTCGTCGCGACCAGATCCACGAGGTCAACGCTCGCCTCAACGACGTCCAGAACGTCCTTCGCAACACCCAGCAGACCCTGAACGCTGAGCTTATTCAGATATCTCAGGCTCTATCTGCATGGATGGTTCTTATTACGAAGGAGAAGGCGGTTTACAACACCCTTAACCTCTTTTCCTACGACCGTGCTCGCCGCACACTCATTGCGGAGGGTTGGTGTCCAACCAACGACCTACCGTTAATTCGGTCCACATTGCAGGATGTGACAAACCGAGCTGGACTTTCGGTGCCTTCCATCATCAATGAGATACGCACCAACAAGACCCCGCCGACGTATATCAAGACCAACAAGTTCACCGAGGCTTTCCAGACCATTGTTAACGCCTACGGTACTCCCACTTATCAGGAGGTCAACCCTGCCCTCCCGGTCATTGTCACCTTCCCTTTCCTCTTCGCCGTAATGTTCGGTGACTTTGGACACGCCGTAATTATGGTGTCCGCGGCGTTGGCTATGATCTACTGGGAAAAGCCTCTCAAAAAGGTCACTTTCGAGTTGTTCGCTATGCTCTACTATGGAAGATACATTGCCCTAGTTATGGGTCTCTTCTCGCTCTTCACCGGTCTTATCTACAACGATGTCTTCTCCAAGTCGTTGACTCTGTTCGACAGTGCCTGGAAGTGGGATGTTCCCGATGATTACAAGACCGGACAGACCCTCACTGCTAAACTCAATGATCACGGCTACCGATATCCCTTCGGTCTGGATTGGAGATGGCATGACACGGACAACGATCTCCTCTTCAGCAACAGTTACAAGATGAAGATGAGTATCGTTCTGGGTTGGGCCCATATGACCTACTCTCTAATTTTCGCCTACGTCAACGCCAAGCACTTCAAGAGACCCATCGATATCTGGGGTAACTTTGTTCCTGGAATGATCTTTTTCCAGTCCATTTTCGGCTACTTGGTTATCTGCATCATCTACAAGTGGTCTGTCAACTGGAACGACCCGCAAAACCCGCGCAACCCGCCTGGATTGCTGAATATGTTGATTTACATGTTTCTGCAGCCCGGTACTCTTGAGGAAGGAGCGCAACTGTATCCTGGACAGGCCGGTGTCCAGGTCTTCCTTTTGCTTCTTGCTGTTATCCAAGTTCCCGTCTTGTTGTTCCTGAAGCCGTTCTACCTCCGCTGGGAGCACAACCATGCTCGCGCCAAGGGTTATAGGGGCATTGGCGAGAGCTCTCGCGTTAGTGCACTCGATGGTGACGACGAGGACGAACAGGGACTGAACGGCCGCCCCAGCTTCGAGTCTGATGGCGAGGGCGTCGCTATGATCACGCAAGACCTACACAGTGATGAGGAGCATGAGGAGTTCGAGTTCAGCGAAGTCATGATTCATCAAATCATCCACACCATTGGTAAGAACCTCGGTCCCTTGCACTGGAGGTCACATGCTCACACTACACATAGAATTCTGCTTGAACTGCGTTTCCCACACGGCTTCGTATCTGCGTCTTTGGGCCTTGTCGCTCGCTCATCAGCAGCTCAGTGCTGTGCTTTGGTCCATGACTCTCGGCCCTGCGCTCAAGTTCGAAGGCATCGTTGGCGCTATTGCGATTGTTGTCGTCTTCTACATGTGGTTCTTCCTTAGTAAGTTGCTGATGCCATCCTGTCACTTCTCGTTTTTGCTAACGGCCTACCCAGCCATTGCCATTTTGGTCATGATGGAGGGTACCAGTGCCATGTTGCACTCTCTCAGATTGGCTTGGGTCGAATCCTTCTCCAAGTTTGCTGAGTTTGCCGGTTGGGCATTCACACCCTTTTCCTTCAGCACTACGTTGGAAGAGTCCGATGAGCTGAAGGAGTATCTGGGTTGATAACTCATTGCCTTCTCGGGCCTCGACGTTGCGATGTATTGCATCTTGTTTTTTCATTGTAACTTTAGTCCCTCTGTAACATAGCTCGATGCAAAAGAACATTCGGCTTTTATTCTCTCGCATGCAACCGTAGGTCTTTGTGATTGTGACTGCGACTGCATGACTGCAACTACTCTACACACCACATCAACGCCGTAACAGAAGAACGCCACACCCGTCCATTTTGAGATCATCAAATCTATCCCCAGAGTGGAGCCGTAACCTCAGCAGCATGCTCGCACACACGTCTGACGCGGTCAGCGAATGCCTTGTGGCTGCACTCGACCTCCAAATCCTCCAACCAGACGACGGCCTCCATCTTGTCGACCTTGATGCGGATTCCGGGCACGGGGATGCCGATCTTGTGAAGGCGCTCAATTTCGGCCCGGCGGCGCGCCGCCAGCTTATCCTCCTGCTGGGCGTCGTCACCCGAGACGTCCATCGAAGTGTCCTCGCCATCTTCCTTGATCGCCTTGACGGCCGTAGCGTCTTCGTCGGCGTCTCCCTCGCCCTGCGACGGGAGGCGCGGCTCGGCAACGGGGTTGACGTTGTCGGCGCCGAACTGGGCCTCGAGGAACATGAGGAAGCGCTCGAGGCGCTCCGGGGCCGAGACGTTTGCGTGGGGGTTCTTGGGGAGCGGGGAAGGGGCGTGGTCGTGCGTGTGAGAACTTGCGGAGCCTGTAAAACTATTAGACTTTTCTGCGTTGAGGAAAGAATTGAAGACTGGGGAATAGGAAAGCCAAGAAGGGAGGGTTAAAGAAAAAGACGTACGTTTGACGGCGGCGGGACTGCTTTCGATAGAGAAGAGGCATGCCATGACGGCGTCGGCGATGCCGTCGTTGAGCATGTTCCCCTCCCACTCCAGCTCCACCTCGCCGTCGCTGCGATACCGCACGGCGACACAGCCCATGACCAGGTATGCCGCAACGGGATGGGCGACCTCCTCGTCAGCCTCTTCTTGCTTCTGACTATCCTCCTGCATCTCGTGGTCCTCGTTGTCCTCGGTCTTGGTCCCGTTCCCGTTGGCGACCGTACCGTCTTTAGCGGCCTTGGGGACCTTGCGCATCTCGGGGAGCTCTTCGACGCTGCCGAACACGCCCTCAAGGCCCCAGCGGACGAGGTCGATGCCGGCGGCCGTAAGACGGAGGCGTTGCTTGCAGGTGATCGTTGTGGTGTTGAGGCCGGCGTACTCACGCAGGTCCTCCGGGGCCATGAGGGAGAGCTTGAAATCGTTCTGGACGAGAACGCCTGTAACAAGCTGCTGCTGCTGCTGCGTGGGCGAAGACAGGGAGGTCGGGGGAGGGATAGTAGCGAGCTTACCGACGACCTTGGCCATCTTGTCCTGCTTGAAGGGGATGCGGAGCTCCTCGCAGTTCTTGGGGCTGAACACCTTGACCTTTTGGGTCTTGCCGGCATTCAGGGACAGAAGCTTGGACTTGAGACGCATCATGTTATGCTGTTCGCCGTGGACGAGAATCTGAAGGGCGTCAGTCGATTCGCTACGTGCAGTTGGGGAACCAAGGAAAACGACTGCTTACCACAACGGGTGCCGCGACCTCCTCAATAAACTCGCGGTTCTCCGTGCCGTCGACGTGTGCGGCAAACGAGTACTCGGCGACGCTGCACCGGCGTGGGATGAAGAGCTTCTCACTTTCGCCGCCGGGCCCGCGCCGGGCTCCAGCTGTCGTGCGGCTCATGACGGCCTGGATCTGGTCGGGTTCCTGCATAATCTGCTTCGCCATGGTGCCCTCGACACTGTAACCGGTGATAATAACGCCGTTCTTGTCATTCGGGGCCCAGCGCTCGAGAAGCTCACGGCTGACGCCGTTCTGTAGCATACCAGGGCTGGCCAGCATGACGCAGCCGCCAACGTCGTCGAAGCGGTCGAGGTTCTTGAGGGAGCGGATGTACTTGAAGTCCCAAGGACCCCCCTTTCCGGAACCGTCGCCTGAGGCCTCGGCCTCTGCCATGCGCTCGCGGAAGAGGCGCTTGATATTGTCGTTCATGGCGCCGACGTAAGTCTGGTAGACGACCATACACTTGCGGGCGAGGTTACTGGCGTAGTAGATGGGGAACTTTTGGAACTCGGCGTGCTTGCCCCAGTACTCGTCCAGAATCAGAAGCAGCTCCTGGGCTCGTCCGAGAGCGAAGACAGGCATCAAGACCCTGCCGCCGCGGTTGAGGATACTGGTGATGGACTTCATCAGAGCCTGTTCTCGTTCGAGTCGGGGCACGTGTGAGGCAATGCCGTAGGTCGACTCAGTGATGAGGACGTCAATCTTGACGCCCTTGGGCACTTCGGCGGAGACCAGATGCCTATCCTGTTCGCGGGAGTAGTCTCCGGTGAAGAAGATTTTGAGACCGGCGATTTCAATGAGAAACATGGCAGCCCCGAGAACATGGCCGGCAGGATAGGGGGTAATGCGGATAGAGGAGATGGTGTGTGTCGTATGATAGTCGATAGCCTCAATTTGGGGGAAGGTGTTCAGATGGTCTGCCTCCGTATATACTGGTTGTGAGGTCGGGTTGGACGAGGTGTTTCCAACACGAACACTGTCCTGGATGAGCCATTTGTAGATAGCCTTTGTGGGATGGGTCATGAAGACTCGTCCTCTAAAGTTCGTCTTGGACAATACATATGGTAATGAAGCAGCGTGGTCGACGTGAAAACTATCGTCCCATTAGCAACCTGGATCAGCGCAAAGTATCTACAGCGACGCCCTGGAACGACGCCGAGAGCTATCACAATGACGAGGACGACAAGGCAAGGCAGGGTGAGGAAAAGAAGTTTTGTATTGTTTCTGTGTACAGGAATGAAATAGTATAAGAGGCGTAGCAAAAGGCTCCATCAGGGTACCAGAGTCACCAAAGGGCGCCGTCCCGAGCCAAGGGCATGATCCCGTATATTGTTTTTCAAGTCGTTCACTGCCTTGCCCTGTGATCCAACAGCATATGGGGGAAAAGGGGGCTTACTGGCTGATTAGGAGCACGTCGACGGTACTGAGATCGAAATCGTCGAAGAAGGGAAGCGCCGCGAGGCCGTCGTAAGCTGGGTGCTGGCCGGCATCGAGCTACGAGAACATCAGTATCTGCTCGTCTGGCGGGAAGGGGGTTTCGTACCATAACCGTCTTTCCTTTGTATTGGATGATATGACACGACCTGCCGACTTCGTTTCCACCCCCGAGGCAGAGAAACATCAGCTCGTCTGCAGGATCTACTGGTTCGTCAGAGACTGTAGCCGCCATGGCCGAGGCTTTTCTCTTCGCCGCCATGATTGTAAGTGCGATTGTCGCAGACAGCGAGGAAGAAAACTACGGTGTGCAATTGTCGCACCGAATGGTGACCGTCGTTGACCCTATCAGCTCATCTGCAACAGCTCAGCCCTGTGCGCGATGTTTCGTCAACGGGAACGGCCCTCCCTCAACGAAGAGCAGAGGAGTAGGGATGTGGAGCGACACAAAGGCGAGGATGCTGGAGTGACGCGCAGGTGCTAAAGGGGTCGCGTAAAAGTTGACCGCAGCTCTTGTTCAACTGGAGCTTCAGCCTAGACGCTCAGGCCATTCTGCGCGGGATTGGAGAAGAGGCTGGTCTGTCACGTGACTTTAAATTTACGCGGTTCTCAGTTCCGCCTGGAAACAGCGCCTCCTTCCAAATACTCACCATCCCGTCACGCTTGATATCACCCAACGATCAACAGTTCACAACATCGCGATCGCGAAAACATCGAGCTCAAGCTGTAGCAAATAATCAACAGATACGATTCGACCTCGAGAATTCATTGTCTGGGCGATACGACACACAGCAGATGGGCAGAGTCGCGTAAGGATTGCCCAGGCTGTTTGGCCTGCTGAGCTTCATCGGAGCGGCTTCTGATTAACCTCTTGTTTCGACCTACTGGAATCTATTCCTCGACGTATTGTAATAACGCAGAAAATATGGCGCAGTCGCAGCCTCAGATGCCGCAGAGGGCGTTCTCACCTCCTCAACCCTCCCCCTCTCCCGCCGCTACGCAAGCCGGTTTTGCGCTTCCTCCTAATAAACGACCGCGTCTTTCACCTGGCGCAACCCCACAACCCGAATCTCCTTACTCTACTTCACCTTACGCGGCAAGCCCGGGCGCTCCGGTGACACCTTCCACGGCTGCGACGTCCGCCGGTTCTCCCATCTACCCCAACGCGGCGCAACAGCAACAACAGCAGCAGCAGCAACCTGTGACACCAGGCTATGCGACACCATACGCGAACGGCACCACCACCTCAGCTCTTGCTTTGCCGGACACCCGACCGACCCCTCCTCCGCAAGTTTCTACCCCTCAACCGCCGGCGCCACCTACCCTCCCTCAATACACCACGGCGACTTTGGCACTCGGCACCAACACACCAGGCACGCCAGTCATGCAGCAACCGTCGACCCCCGGAGCTATGGGTCCACCCTCCAGACCCCCCGACCGACCGCAAAAGGAGTACGAATACGACGTGACCGACTCATTGGCCGGTACTGGCATCGACCTGCGCGCCGAAGAGCAGTTTCTCTCTGAACTCTACGTCCCTGAGTCGAGAACCGGCTATCCTCCTTACCCCCCAGGCAATAAGGGTAGCTTTTATGGTGCAGGTCCAGCAAACCAGCCTGCTCAGCAGGCTGGCACTGATTCTCAGAATCAACTGGTGGCACAAGCGGCGGAGAAAGCTTGGCAGGAGTCCGCGAAGCGTCTGGCTCAGACTAGGACTATGGAGCTTAACAACGCGTTTCTGCAAGTACCCGTCGTCTTCCGAAAGGCGGAGAAGTTTGCCAAGGACCAGGGTCTATCGCTTAACCTAGAGGTTAAGAACAGCAACCAGCCGATGGGTCGGATGCGCCTGCCAGAGGAGTTTCCGGCGCCTAATGTGACCGTTAGCACTAAGAGCGGGCCCGACTCTACCGTGGTGACGACTTCGGGGACATGGATTCCTCAGGAGGCTTTCTTGGTGGACCAGTTGGCTCTGCTTTCCCTCGCCACCAAGCAGCGACTTAGGACCCTCATGGAGGACTCGAATCGGATTGCTCGGATTCGACAAGCATCGTCCCATGGCGAGGTCCCCGAGGAGTGGCAGACGGCAGCGGCTCCGCTGAAGAGCATCCCGGAAACGCAGGGAGAGGACGTGACACAGCAAACAGCAACTGAAGACGGCGCTAGCCCCCGCACAAGCGCTCAGAAGCGTCAGTACATATGGTACTCATATGCTTTCAGTATGTTGACTCTTATACAGGCCCTCTTGAAAACGCTTCCTCCAGCCAGCCCAGCAAGGTGCAGAAGGTCGCAGCCACGAATACAATGAGCCACACTGTTCGAGAAGTGGGCAAGGCTGAACGAGAATGGGAAGAGAGACGGTTGCGGAAGCGCAATGCCCGCAAAGATGGAACTACCGAGGCCGCGTCAACGCCATCCCGCGCCGGCTCGGTTGCGCCTGGTACCCCCGGTGGTTCAGCGCCAGATTCGGAAAAGTCCATCTCGAAGAAGGAGCAGAAGAAACTCGATGCTGTTAAAAAGGCAGAGGCTAGCAGCCACGCCAATCAGAACATCACGAGTAGCATGTTCGTTGGCATGCCCAAGACGGGATCACTATTCGGAAAGAAGAAGGGCGGCAAGTCGTACTCGTGGATGACGGGCGGCGCCAGTGGTGCTAGCACACCGAGAATGGGCACGCCCGGAAAGCCGGGTGGCGCAGCCGCTCCGGGGCCCCCGGCGCCGGTGAACCACGCCCTGACAGTCGAGGGGAGGGCACGGCTCGGCAGTTGGCGCGAAGACAAGGAAAAGGGCAAGAACATCCAATTGCGAGACTGGGTGGCGGCCCTAGAGGGTGACGAGATTGAGTTGCGAGCTATGCAGGCGGCATACGACAAGCTGGACACATCGGACCCCAAGTAAGGACTGGATAACGTTCGACGCGGTCAGCAATCTGCGCTTGGCAAGCCTTCTCGAGACATATCGGATTCATAGGAGTAGCTCAAACTCCGTGTTGTATTTTTATCATTTTAGCATGGCGTTACGCAGAAAGCATGGTCAAGACGGACGGTCGGCTGCATAGTAGCTCTTTACGGAAGGGGGACAAAAACGATGCCAACCAACTGGGGCCACGATGACGCAGAGACACCAGGCCTTCGGATCATGGGGAGAGGATGGCCTCTTTCTTACCTGTAATGCGCCTCAGAGGCAGACAGCGAGAGCTTCAGTTAGTGTCTGATCTCACAAAAAACAAGAAATTAGTAAATACCTTCAAATACTCCAGCTGTGCCTGCTAACTACCTATACATACCACCAGCCCGGGAGTTCGGCGTTCAGCGATGGCTGGGATGTGAGTAAGCAGCCACCGAGTATCTCATCCAAATTCTCGATTTGACCGCTCATCCTCAGCCGGCAATCTCGACTGCAGATCTGCATCCGACTCGCAGTCACTGGTCTAGAGGATTTGTCAAAAAATTTGTCATGGCATAGCACACCTTTGTGGAGGACCATGATGTCGTGACGTCCGGATGATCAATGGTCATCGTCGTTCGAGTCTTTTCGAGATCGCGGGTCAGCCTCCTTCCTGCCCGTCTTTTCCGCTTTGAGCAGTTGCAGAGCCAAAAAGTTCATGTGGTTCGGGGCTGACATGTCAGTGTGTATCACATTTGTATTTGAATAAGAAGCGTGCTACATTATCAATGGCTGGTTGCTGTGGAGGAGAATGGCCACCGTGACTTTGGTTTTCGTTTTGGTTTAACGTAGGAGATCGGAGTATTACATTGGCCCGAGCGACCATTCGGTTGTCAAACGCCGTCTTCGGCTGACTAGTACTCATGTGTAGAAAATCTTATCTCATGGCGGAGTTCCTCCGGAGAACGTGAGAGGGGATGACTGAGCCTTCTGCAGCAGCGCCGCCCCTCGGACTCATTCCAGAATTGGTAAGCTATGTGGGGACACAAAATGCAAGCTTCGTGGGGATCACAATGTCTTAGCATCGACGGCGCTTGGTTGGGTTGCTCCCGCTTAGACAGGGCGAGGCTAGCGAGTCTCCCTCATAGCTAATCATGTTCTACCTTGCCATTCGGCGCAGCTTCTGCTCTGCTGGAATCTGCGGCAATCTCAATGGAGCCGGTATCTGGTTTATCAACTGATGCTCGTCGGAACGGTTCCCTCCTCCCTCCTCCCTTGGACAATGCTTGAGGACCGGAGCCAAGACCGACTCGAGTACGGCCTGCGACCATGCCCCGAGGAATGAGATCATTTACGGAGCGAGCTATGCAGTAATTTCGGGTTCTCTCTCTCTCTGAGAATGGCGCTGAGTGAGTTGTCGCTTATTCTACGCTATTGTCCCTGTCTTGCAAGATAGACTTAGGGGCTGCAGAATGCTGAGGTCTCTGGGCTCGCTTCGGCACGCTTGGCTTGGCTACGCCGGTTCTTACTTTCTGAGTGCGTTTATGGATACCGTAGGTTCTTAGTATTGGTACGTTACAAATACTATCATGTCTAGAGTAGGGCTAGTGATTAGGCAGGGTGGGTTAGGGTTCGCGTAGGGTACTAGTATGAGTTTGCGTCAGGAGTATGTTATATTATCGGTGAGGAGACATGGTATCAAAAACGGACTCCTTGTTGCCCTAGTCGCCGCCTTTCTAATAGGCCACTAGTAAGCCCGTTGAGGATTCCAATTACATGCTGACATCGCGCGTGCATAAGCGGGCGGCGAGGGTGGAGGATCTGGTCGGCCTTCCGTATGGGCGGGTAGTGGTTTCTTTCCGGGCCATGCCGTCACCCTAACACAATACATTGATATGTGTGTCCTCGGGAAAGGATTGGCATATAAATATCTAGAGCATTATCCCTGAACTTTTGCTAGATGTTTGAAGTTGCCCCAACCACTACGACACAGTCAACCTTGCGTGTTCATACGCCTATTTCTGCTGTACATACAACCAAAAGGACGAATAGCATCATGGTGAACTTGATCTCACTCACGCTGCCGTTGGCCTTCGCAACCCTCGCAGCGACACGAGTGTGCCAAGACCTCACTGTCGAGGTATCCATCACAGCGAGGAACGGCGTCTTCAATATCTCGACCCCTGAGAACAACATCGACGTCACAAACTTCCTAGTCGGATCTGCAGAACAAGGAAGGAATGTATCAGCAGAGCACCTAGTTGGCGTAAGAGAAATACTAAATTTAGAATTCCAAGAAGCAGAAACAAAAATGAAGCCCTGGAGCTAACTTGCACATCTCTAGTACGCAAATGTCGGAGGTACTTACCAGCTTGCGTCAACGTACTGCAGCCCGAACTCTGGCCCCGGCCGCGTGCTCCAGATCCTAACCCACGGCATCGGCTTTGACCGCAGCTACTGGGACTTCCCCGCCAACGGCTACAACTACAGCTACGTCGGCTCAGCTGTGGACGACTACGGCTACTCGACCTTCTCCTGGGACCGTCTCGGCATCGCCGAGTCCTCGCACGGCGAGCCTATCAACGAGATCCAGGGCTTCCTCGAGCTAGCTGCCCTCAAGGCGCTAACGGACAAGCTGCGCGCTGGCACTCTGCCGGGGCTGAGCTGCACGTTCGATAAGATCGTCCACGTTGGGCACTCGTTCGGGTCTATTCACTCGTACGCGCTCACGGCAATGTACCCAGACATCTCGGACGGTGTTGTCCTCACGGGCTTTGCGGCAAACACAACCTTCTTCAACAACTTCCTGCTGGGCGGCGCCTTCATCCAGGCCGGCGGCGTCCCCTCGCTGAGCGACTACGCCCCTGGGTACCTGGCGTCCGCGTACGAGGGTGCTACACACGTTAACTTCTTTGCTCCTGGCAACTTTGACCCCGAGATCCTGACGGCGGCGTACAAGAGCGGTCAGCCGGTGACGTTCGGCGAGCTGCTGACCATCGGGGGAGAAGCCGGGTCGCCCAGCACGTTCGCGAAGCCCGTTCTTGTCATTACCGGTGGTAGGTTAAGCACAACAGTCGTGTGAATTTGCGCGCTGACTACGGTTTTCCTCTGCAGAGAAGGACCTTCCCTTTTGCGGAGGCAACTGCCTTGCAACTGGCAACCCCCAGCTGCCATCGATCCCGGCGGCTGTTGCTGCGGTCCTGAAGAATGCGACTCCGTTTGAGGCTTACGTCGTACCTGGCGTTGGCCACGGCCTGGCTCTCGTGAGATAACCTTTCTGATTTATTGTTCCCGCGCTTACCTTTTCATCTCTTTCCAGAGCTACTCTCATGTCGAGGTGACCAGCAAGATCCAGGATTTCCTCGCCCAGAACGGCCTGGGCAACTAGTCTCGACCCCTGAACATATTGTCTCGTGTATAATATCTCACCAAAGCCCGTTCAGTAGCAGTTAATTTCGGGAGATAGAGAAAGCGGGATTACGTACATAACCCAGAGCTGTCCCGAGAATGGAGCTCGCTCTATAGTAATCAACGATGCGCATGTAATGTTTCCGTCTAGCCTCGTAGGGTTGATTACACATGCGATGAATATGGTGTTGAACGCAACAGCGTTGAAATCATGCTTATTATCTCCAGATGCGTCACTGGCCGTTGGAAGAATGACGTTGGCCTAGGTAGCCCGCATTTGGCTCGACGAATCGACGAGGCTACTAGTCAACCGGCTTGCCCGAATCTGACGTGAGACAGCACATGAGCGTGAACTCATTCGACCTCTCATTAAACGCAGTCACACACTACCACTTGGGTTCCAGAGTGTTTTCACAGCCATCATAAACCTTCTTCCAAAGGCTCTCTCTCTCTCTCTCTCTCTCTCTCTCTCTCTCTCTCTCTCTGCGGGTGTGTGTGTGTGTGTGTATGTTTCGGATGCGAGACGTCTACTAGCAAGTATACAACTCTGGTCTCAAAGGCAACCCAAGACGCCACGGAGCAGGATTTTGAAACCCGGACCGACGAAGCTCAGGATCTACGCAAGATGCTCGCCAGCAAACTCCAAGAGCCTCGCGGGCCATTGTCGCCCGCGATACCCGTCGTGGTCTGCGGAAAGATGGAGCAGGTCGGTGGCAAAGTCATCGCCGGTCTGATGCCGGAATACGACGGTAAGCCAGGAACAGACGGGCGCCCTTCCTAACCTTCCGACGATCCCTCCCCCCTTCTCTCTCCATATTGTTCGCGACATCTCCAATGATTACATATACGCAGCACAATCTGGTGACTGGATTGACACTAACACCTCTCCAAAAGTCATCCACTTCGTCACGTCGCCTGCTTCGGGCGCCGTGATCCTCCCCGCCCTCCTCGCCTCCCGACCCTTACCCTCCCATCCGGACACCAGCACGATCGGAAGCGGCAACTACGCCGCCGCCCCTCGCGCCGTGATTCTCGGCGGCGCCTTCGACGACGCCGCGACGGCAGTTCTTCAGGAGGCGGTCGCCGACGCGCGGGCGCGGGCGTCGGCGGACGTGCGGACGGTCCCCTGGCTGAGGCAGGACTCGAGCAAGCCGGCGCCGCCGCGGGGAGGGCCTGGGTACGGCGAGGCCATAGTCGCGAGGGTGAGGAAGGCACTGGCGAGGCTGGAGGGGGAGGGGAAGCTCGATGGGAACTATGGAGGGGACGAGTGGTACTGAAGCGCGCGGTCGGTCGTGCGCCCTTCTGGCCGTTTAGTACTGGGCGTACAGAGTTCACTTGAACTCGACGGTATGAACAGGCTTCCAAGAGATGACCAGGCATAGAATTCAAGGTCTTGTCGAGATCTAGCTTCGTTCGTCTCATCTTGCTGAGCGTAATGACCGGGGGGATGGACGCCGATGGGGGTTGGGACAGCTCTTTACCCCGCTGCAACCCACCGTGAGATAAGTGATAAGATGGAGGGGTCACCGCCCGAGAATCAACGTCGATGGGCGCTTCCACCATCCAACCAACTCAGACAAGTCCACGTTACATGGAAGATTGTCACCGCTCATAGCTGCATACACCACACGCACCTAACCCATAAACAGCCCGAGTCGTGAACGCCACGTGGACGGCCTAGACACCATTCAAAAGGTTGACAACTCAGGCATCCCTCCACTTTCCCAGATCTTCCCGTCCCAAGGAGCATCCCGGACTCCCGTCTCATCTCGTATCATGGCGATCGCGGTAACGGCCATCCCAAAAGCCTTCAGCCACGTGGTCGCCGCGGTTCACTGACATTCGTACCATGATAGGCTGTTGGTCAGATCTGCTCGACGGCATCGCTGTCGCACAACCTCGAGCAATGCGTGAGGCTGGTCGCCAAGGCGGCCTCAGGTGGCGCAAAGGTACGGTTGCTCCCCCTTGCATCTTGGTCCAACAAGAATGCCTATGGCTTGCTGCACGACACGAAACCCCTCCCAGGGACAGTGAGACAACTGGAGCCTAGGAACACCCGCGGCTGACACGCCACCTTAGGTCCTCTTCCTCCCTGAAGCCTCGGACTACATCGCCTCGAACCCCCAAGAGTCCCTCTCCCTCGGCCAGCCGCAGTCCAAGTCCCCGTTCGTGCTAGGTCTCCGGGAGGCGGCAAAGACCCACTCCCTCGCCGTCAGCGTCGGGATCCACGTGCCCATCCCCGAGGCCGCCCCGGAGGCCTCGACGTCAGTCTCGAAGCTCCTCAACCGCAGCCTCTGGATCAACGCCGACGGCACCGTCAATGAGGCCGCGACCTACGACAAGCTTCACCTCTTCGACTTCGGCGCCCTCCGCGAGAGTGCAACTGTCCAGGCGGGCACCTCGCTGACACGTCCGTTCCCCACCCCCGTCGGCCGCGTCGGCAGTCTCATCTGCTTCGACCTTCGATTCCCCGAGCCGGCCCTCGCGCTGACGCACCCGGGCCCGAGGAGCCCCTTCGTCGACCCCGCTGTCGGGCCCGCCCAGGTCCTGCTGTACCCCTCCGCCTTCACCATTCGGACGGGCCAGGCGCACTGGGAGACGCTCCTACGGGCCCGCGCCATCGAGACGCAGAGTTGGGTCATCGCCGCGGCGCAAGTGGGCGCGCACAACCCAAAGCGGAGCAGTTACGGGCACAGCATGGTCGTCGACCCCTGGGGCCGGGTGAGGCTTGAGCTCGGTGGTGTGGACGGTGAGGGCGGGGCGGTAGAGGGCGCCGAGGGGGCCGTTGGCTTCGTGGATGTGGACCTGGACGAGTGGGCGAGGGTGAGGGAGGGCATGCCGCTGGCCAGACGCACGTGAGTCGTCTTTCACTTTTTGTCCGCAGCTTTCTTCTTCCACCGCCCTTACACCCCCCCTTGGGCATCGTATCTCTTCGTGTGAGGGAGCGAGTGGCCCACCCCCCTACCCCCCCTATGGGTGTGTTGTCTCGTTTACCACCATCTTCCTCCTTTTTGCTTCCCCGTCGGCCGGGTGTCTTCCCCATCGTGCATTCGTACCAGTGGGATGGTTTGACTAATCTCTGAATAGCGATGTGTACCCTGAAATCTGATTACCCCTGGAACAGGTGATCTGTCACATTCCCGACAGGCAGGGCCTGGTTCGGGAGCCGGTACTGCATATAAACTACAAAGTACTACAAAGTACTATAGTACGGGCACAATGCGCGAAGGGACTAGGTCTCAGGAGTCCATGCTAGTGAGCCTCGCCGGGGACGACGGGAGACGAGCACGGGTATGGCATCGGGCCTGGCAGTCGGTAACACCGCAGCGCGGGTCCTGGAAGCTCCAGGGCAGGGTGGGGATATCTCCAGGGGTGAATGCGTACCCGTAGTTTGGGTATGTAGTTTAGTGTATAAAGGTAGACTGTTCCGGTCAGCCGGCACGTATGCGGATGTTCCAGAAGGGGAGCCTCGATATTCCAAGATGGGGACACTCGAGATGATGAGTTGTGGTTCCTGGCCGGGATACTTGTCGTACTGTACCTTGACAACAGGCCCAGAGGGTCTCCATGCTTGCAGGGCGGAAAATGAGATGGGATCCACGCCGGTGAGGCCTCACCGAGACAGCGACGTGCCACTGAGATGCTGGATTCGGTCCGGTGGACGGTCCCGGCAGAGCAATCAACCTTTTCCCAAAGGCCAGGTTAGGCCGGGCTCCTTTGGGGGGGGGGAGGGGAGGTGTCGATGCGTCCCCCGGCAGTTGCCAGACCGAAAGGAAGCCCAATTTCACAGAAATATCCATGGCAACGTCCCCCGGTGAGCCGGTGAGTCAACATCCCAGGGTGTTTGTCTCTCTGTGTTTTCGCTTCCCAAAGCCCCATGTCACCGGGGGAAAGGGGGCCGCCGGCGGATTCGGCGCTGGGTTCGTTCCAGCGGTCCCTTCACAGTGGCAATAAGCTCCTCCCAGCACCGGGGGGAAGGGCCGTAGCGCACCGCGCAGGCATACGTGTACACCATGGTAAACTGCTACCAGGTATGTATAAGCTAGTAGCGTAGTAGGGCAGGGGGCCCCCAACGGTTTTGAAATTTGGTGGTCTCGGTCAAGGGAGGGGCGTGCTGTCGCTGTGCTGAACCACTGGACTGTTGGGCGGGTAATTTTGGCCAGACTACCCAGCCCTTGCTGGAGCGGTTGGGTCTCTCAAGCCCCCCCACTAGAAGAAGGTGAAGAAGGAAAAAGAGGAGCGAGCTAGAAGGACAGTCTGAAATTCTAATCAACATGGTAAAATTAAGAAAGACACAAACGAGATCCACAGCTTGCTTCAGCCGGGGCGACGCGACAAGGGGGAGGGGTGTGGTATCCGGTATTGGGTTCAAAGTCGCCGTCGGAGCCATGATGGCAGCTTGTGCGGAATGGAGTTCGTTTAGGACGGCACCGTTTCCCACTGGTTGATGTTGACCGGGTCCCTCCTTGTCTCCCAATGATCCGTCAGGTCCCCTCGGCAGCCCGGAATCCATGCCCCGGCTACGGTGACCGCATGACGGGTAGAGAGGAGGATAGCCGTAAGAGACCGGAAAGGATTCGGGGCAAATGTACTCGGTACAGGTAGGTGGTACCTTCTTTACGGATACGTCATGGGTAACCCGTCTTTGCTTCCCCCCCTTGATCCCGGAAATCCGAGAAGGAAAGCAAAAAGAAGCGGATAAAGGAGCTTTTCCAAAACCACCGCCCTGGGAGATTTTGTCGGTTTGGGATATGCAGAAGTCATGACTACCCCCTCCCCTGTGGATTTTCAGTCATGGACACATCACAGGGTCACTTCTCGAGGGGGGCTGTTATTTTCCCGAGACCAGGGCAAGGAAGGACGTAGAGGTCACCTTTGTCTCTCGCTTCTCACCGAATTTCCGGATTCCCTTTATTCCACCTGCCCCCCGTCGTCAAGGGGACCTTCGAGAAGGAAGCAAGGACCATCACGGAACAAACATTTATAGAGGTTGGGGACGACGGAGGCCGGGTATAGGACCGGGCTATGCCGTACGTTTGGGAAAATGTGCTCGAGTACGTACCGGACGACCCACGGCACCCAGGGGCCGAAAGGGGTGGCGGAAGATGGGATGAAACGTTCTCTTGCTTGTCAAAATATCCCGTCCACTCAGTCTCGTCGACCACGGCCGCTCTCCTTGGCTGAGCGGCGAACAAAATGGTCGGAGAGTTTGTTGGGTGGGGGCCAGATCCGTCTTTGTCGTCTCCCTCGGATGAGACTTATGAAGAGTAAGGACGAGGACAAGGAGAAGGACAACCCGACCGCTTGGTTGAGACGTCGCATTCCCCCGGAACTACCTTAACGTCCACGCCCCCGAAAGCGAGACGGGGAATGTTGCGTACACGACACGTCCTTCTCCAAGCGAGCCAAGACCGCCGCATCGAGGCTCTTGGGTGGGGGGAGGAAGCCACAGCCACCGCGTCAGGGCCCCAGAATAGAATGACTGACAAGAAAGTCTCATGTCGCTGGGCTGTTTCCTTCGTGCCTTCCCCGCTCCAGTGGTGCCACGACGAGGAGGTGGTGTCTGAGGCTGTTATGGAACACCATGCGACGGCCATGTTTCCATGCTCTCTCGACCCCGGCCGCTACGTAGACCACGGCGGGATGTTGGGGCACGGCCAAGACGGGACACGCGAGGAAGAGCTTGCGACCATATGGGGGCCTTGCAGGCGGTACGGCCGGGCTTTCTTTTCTTTTTTTCCAAGCTATTGCCGCCGTTGTTATATGATGACATGTTTGACACGCCGACACAGGGCACCCGAAAAGGGATGAGGCAGGGACGAGGGTTGATGCGAGGTTGAGGCGCGGCAAAGTACAATCGCAGCCAAGAGTTCCCAAGTTTTCGGTTGGGGTTTGTCGCACATGCAGGCGAGAGAGAGAAAGAGGAAGGAAGAAGATACGTACCTCAATGTGGTGTGAGCACACAGCTGCGACTCTATCTAGGGTCCTGTGCATGTAGCCAATGGTACGGACCAGGCAAGTGACAAACAAACCACATGTGTCTGTTGGTTGCCACATGGCACAGTGTGTGTGTGTGTTTGTTGCAAACTTGCATGTTTCTGTCGGTTGTTGGTCGTTGATTGACAGTTGGTTGTTGATGAGGAAAGTTTGTGCAGGTGTCATTTCGCACAGCCAATGGCGGGCAAACAAGCCACCAACTGACACAACGAGCAGGAGGCTGGGCGCGCCAAATAACAGACTAGATTCTCGAGCAGCGTAAACAGCTGCAGACTCGGTCAGTCATTTGCGTCCGCCGGCGACGTACGTACAGCGGAGAGCCATGACACTCGGTTCCCACGGGCTCTAGAACCGGAAAGAGGTTCCGCTTAGGGGAACAGTCCTCGAGGGGGGTTTTTTTTTTTTTCAAAAAAAAAAAAAAAAAAGAAGAACAGACGAGGAAAAGAAAGAAAATCAAGCGATAAACAAGGTCGAGAACAGCCCTAATGCTTTACTACTGTGTTACCTAATCACCTACTGTACGTACAAAGAGTGCAATCCCCGTTGGAGGCATGTCAAACAAAGGGGATCCAACAAAATATGAGATCGACAACAAGGCGCATGCCCCCCTGCATCTCAATTGCCGAAATAGGTCAGCACCTTACGCAGCCACGCAGTAGTCAGTGGATGTACATAGTACATCGCACCTGGAAGCAAGGTGAGGGTCAGGTGAGGTATGCCAAGGTGTGCTCGAGGTGTGCCTGAGGTAAGCAAGCAAGTTTCTTCTTCTTCTTCTTCCATGTTTGTACAGTACATTCATTGCCTCGTACCCACTCAAGGCATACTAGTAGGCATTTGTCCTGAGACCCTTGCACCTACCTGCCCGGTCATCCGTCTGCGAGCTTAAGCGACATCTCCTCGCTTCCCATTGGTCAGTTTGAGAAGCTCCTTTTCTACGATACACGTGTGGGTGCTTCCTCCCCCCCCCCCCCCCCTGGCCCACCACGGGTCACTCCCGAAAGCAGCAAAAGAGAGAAGGGAAGAAGGTCCCAGCGCACTGGTTCCCGGGGCCGCTGCTGCATTAGCGCAGCAATCGGTGACCTTTTGCAGGTCGGCGCGACCTCGTAGCCACGCAGCCACGCAGCCACGCAACCAAAGCCATACATAGTAAGCTCCAAGCTTGAGAACTGCTGCTGCTGCAGTGCCAGTGACAGGAGCTTGCTCTTCCTCCACACACACACCCACCTACACACACACACCACCACCACTATGATCACCACGCCATGCCAGGTCACCCCTTTCTTGTTCCTTTTCCCACCCGTCCTTTTCCTGTTCCTGATGGTGTCTAGACTCCCCTCCAATTTTCGTACTCGCACATCGTTCGTCCCGTTTTGTCGCCGTGTCCAGCTCGGCGCCATGATCGAACCCAAAATATATGCCGCCCCAACCTATTGCGCAATAGTCGGCGACTAGTGTGGGACCCCGATCTCACACGGGGCGGTGATGGCTCGCAGCCGCCTGCCGTGATACACGCCGCGTCCGAGAGAGAGAGAGAGAGAGAGACGGAAAAGAAGAAAAAGAAAGAACACCCTGCAGCTTGGTCCTCGGGCAGTTGCACAGGACTAGGCATTCGTACCCGATCAGAGGTGTGTTTGCATGCGGCGTTCCTGCGGTCGAAAACGTCTTGTTTCTTTCTCCCCTTGTCGTCCCACGCGTGGCAGCAGCCCATCCGCTACCCACGCGCGCACGCGACGACGCAACACCTACGACATAAGGCAATTCACCCGCAACCACACCACCTTCGTGCCGGGCCCTTTCTGCCGTCCGCCCGCCGCCATCTTATCGGGCCTGTTCTGTTCTTCAACCTCTCCGGTTGGAAGAGT